TGAAAAATGAGAAGATTTGGTTTGAACATGTTGGCGTTAAAAAGCAAGTTGTTGTTGACTTTATGAGATAAGGACAACTGAAGAGAGACAGCGGAGCAACCATGTGAGAGTTTATACTTGTTGAAACTCTCATTAACTGTCATTTTGCACATTTGGATATTTTTGAAGGGTTTAACAAAAACCTGCACAGGGTTTCAGAAAGACTTCAACCCTGTAAACATCAGAATTTTGCTGTTGAACCAACGATGCTGGTTTGACTGCCAGGACGACATTTTGCTCCACTGAGGAAACTCTCTGGAGGCCCGAGTCAGAATCTACCTGAAGATGTAGTGATGACTGTCGATCTCCTTCCCTTTCTTGGAGTCCTTCAGGATGCCTCCGTTTCCCACCACAGCACAGCGGCTGCACTCCGACTTGTTGCTGCGACGCTTCCAGTCGTCCAGCATCTGCCAGCTGGCAGTAGAGTTGAGGACAGAGAGAGTTTCCTGCAGCGCTGTCGACACAGAAAAACAGAATTAATCTGAATGTGTTTCATTTATGCTTTTTAAAAAACATTGTTTTGTGTGTGTAATTGCATCCTCCCACAGATTCAGCTATTTGCAGTCGGTCTGACAGAAAGATAATCCTCAAGGCTGCGCAGGAAGCTGCTCTTATCGCTGCACGATAAGCATCTTAGCTGTGATGAGACCCATATTTCCACAATCAAATTATCTAAAATACTCAGCGTTTCATGTCTGGATGCTCTGCACAACAGTTTCAGACACAAACAGTAAAGTGGTGAAGGTTCACGTGCAGGCTGGAGAACTTCTATACCAGGACTCTGACTATCTGCTGCTGGACTCCTTGTTCTTCTTGTGAATAAAAGTTTGTTCTTCATCACTCTTAAATGGATGTTTGGTCTCACTTTCCTATAATAATGTGTAAAGTAGTAAAATAGAAAACTTTTTAATGCTGAAATTAAAAGAAATGTAGGATGTAAGAAACGGGGAAGTAACAAAATGAAAACAAAACTAAAAAGGCAAAAAGAAATAAAAACCAAATCTCACTCTTGTACTCGATTACCGCCCAGCCGTGAGTCCCTGGGTACCGGCTCAGACGCTGGTATTGTTCAGGCGTCACATGTTCGGCCCACTGCAGGATTGGAATATGTTCCAGGAAGCGCCCACCAAATTCAGTTTGGTTGACCCGACGTCTGATAGCGTCTGTGCAGCCCTGCAGGAAGCAGATAACACAGCCGGGCTGTTAACAAAGCACAGGCTGGTGTCCACAGACCCACATGCAGCCACTGAGGATGTGCACAGAGCAGCATCGTTAGTTCCACCTGGCAGCCTGCTCAGCCTCAACATGAACCTCCAGACTCTCACCGGAGGCAATTATCTGATAATTAGTTACTCAGCTAACAGAGAACAGCGCTGACGACATGGAGACACATTCTTAAAAGCACACAAACACACTTTGCTGAGGTGCAAAACATAAAACCACAAGCACGCAGACAAAGAGGCACAAAAAGGTTCAAGTGGAGGAATATTATAACACTGATAATGAATACTTTCAGATCCTTTACTTTGGTAAAAACACTGCGAAAGTATTCAAGGATAAACGGACAAAAAAATCACTGCATAATTTTGGATGCTAACCACTAGCTTTTGAATGCTACTGTTTGGCCTATGAATACTGCTAGTCTGGAAATGTTAGTGAAAATAACAGGAATGCTAGTCATTAGCACACAAATGCTAGGTCATTAGCTTACGAATACAAATGGTTAGCCCACGAATGTTAGTAAACACCCTCAGAGTGCCGTTGCTACCTTACAAGTGCTAGTGGCTAGCTTTGAAATCGTAGTCGCTGGTGTTGGAATGCTATTAAGTAGCCTGGGAATGCTAATCATTATATTAAGAATCCTAGTGGCTACTAAAGAAGTCTAGTAGCTAGCATAGAAATGCTAGTTTGAAGACTAGGAATATCAGTGACGTATAGGAATGCATGTTACTAACCTTGGGATGCTAGGAATGCTAGTCACTAGCATAAAGAGGCATGTGAAAAGCAAAGCAAAGCTAGTGATTGGCCTAGAAATGTTAATTAGTTGCCTGGGACTGCTTGTGACTTGCAAGTCACTAACCTAGAAACGGTAGTGGCTACCTTTCAAATGCTTGTTGCATGCCTTGAAATGTTAGTTGCCCATGAATGCTATCACCTAGCCTAGGAATGCTTGTCACTAGATTAGGGTGCTAGTTGCAACCTCAGGAAGGCCGGTCACTAGCCTAGGAAAGCTAGGTTAGGAATGTTAGGTAGGGATGCTGGTCACTAGCCTAGCAATACTTGTGACTAGACTAGAAATGCTAGTTGCTAGTCTAGGAATGCTAGTGGCAAGCCAAGAAATGCTTTTTTTCTAAGGCTAGGAATGTTAGAGATGCTAGTCACTAGCATAAAGAGGCAAGTGAATAGCAAAGGGATGCTCGTAAATAGGCTAAGAATGCTAGTTACTGGCCTAAGAAAGTTATTCATAAGCCTAGGAAAGTAAAATGCTAGTTTAGGAGTGCTAGCGACTACTTTAGGAATGCTCATTACGAGCCTAAAAATGCTAGATGACGAATGTGACTGTATGCAAGACACAACCTGGTCACCAGCGTAAAGACACAAGTGAATAGCGAACGAATGCTAGTGGCTAACCCACAATGCTATTTTTAAAGGTGTTACATGAATAAAGGTTTATTATTACTGAGTTCAGTGTGCGTAGCAGGAAATTCACATAAAAACTGTGATTCACAACATGAAGTCATTACAGACAGAAAACCTTGTGATTTCTCCCACATTCAGAGTCTTAGAGCCAGATTTGAGTCATGTTTTTATTTCATCTCTTGTGTTTTCTCATCCTCCCTGTTTTATTCCTCGCAGTGGAAACTTTGTGTTCTCATGTTCAGGGAGTGGAGAAGACGGAGTCAGGCTCCAGTAAACACGACTGTACTTCCACCTAATCGTTCACTGGGAAAACCGACCCACCCAGTCGGACTGAGGCAGCTGCCCAATGACAGCATCTTGAGCTTGAAGGCAACCAGACCAGTGTGACAACCTGACCTCAATGCTCTGCAGATTATTAACCAGTTCCTGTGGTACAACTTTCACTTCCTGCTGCTTTGTGCTTGTATCCTTGAATTAAAAGAGCAGCTGAAGCTCCTAAAAACGATGTTCACATCCATCTACAATGCAACAGTCATCAATTGAATGAGAAAGTGTTATGAAGGAACATATTTGGCGAGTTACAAGGTTTTGTTGTTTTTTTCATACTCAAATATCAGATGTTTTTGTACAACGTCCATTACAGTGTTATCAAACTGTTTTATGGTTGTACACTGACCTGGCAATCATTGCATAACTTCAACCAGAAGCAATTATGCTGCACTGAAACATGACCGGAAAACTATTCAGTCACATGTTACTGTTATTTCTAGGAGACTTCTGGACACAAACATGCAATTTTGTTCATATTTGTCTGAAATCTGCCACACACAGGAGGTACATTTCCAAACCAGGACCAGTTAGAAACTCACTGTTTGTGGATTGATGTAGTCGCTCATATAAGTGTCTCCGACGAACGGAGGCTCTGTGGCTCTGGCAGGCTTCATGGGCCGAACTGTTGGGCCTCTGGTGCTGTTTCTGGTTTTATCTGCACCGTCAGACTTGGAGCTGGACTTTGACAGATCCGGGGCATCGTTTTCTGCTTGCGCTTGCAGTTTAGCAGCAGCAGTGGTGGCTGTGCGAGTCTTTAAAGCTGGGTTCAGAGCGGCTCTGTTCTGGTGGGTGGTCGGTGCCGGCTGGGTCCCCCGGTCGGCGAGGCTCGGTCTGTCAGGAGGCTCCTCGGAGTCGCTGTGGAAGACAGAAGAGTTGGCGATGAGCCCGGTGGGTCACTGCTGGAAATACATCATCTGAGAACCTTTTTTTTTTTCCTCATCATGTGATGTCATGTGGTGAACTGCACTTTATTAAAGGAGGCCTTCAGTGACTTCACTGAGAACGCTGAATAAAAACAATATTATTACAAGTTTTGCTTTTAAAATCCAACTTAAGCACCAGCTGAAAAATAACTCCAGCTATTTCAACTTGCTGTTTTTTTCCATTAATGTGTCTGTTGTGCACTCTCACTGATATGACAGCGTTTATCAGGCAAGGAAGCATCCTGGACTTCCCTTAAATCATTGTAAAGGAAAAACAGAAATTAACCGTCTGGAACAGACGCTTCTCAAAGTGCATTAGGATCTCCATGTGGGGAGACTTACCAGCTGACCTAATAACCGACATGTCCACCCGTGCATGTCGGTTTGTTTACACGTGTCTCTGCTGTACCAACAAAAACACACACATATACATACGAACATCTATCTATTTCAACAGTTTTATTTGTTTTTACAGAACAGGCAGTGAAATGCAAAGCGACTGTTCCACAAGGCTGCTTAATAGCAAATCTGAAAATTTATGTAAAAAATGCATCTATGAAATGCAAAACCACACCTAGCAGACGCACAAGGAAATAGAACACCAGAAAGATGCAAAACATCAAGAAAGATACACAAAATGACACCAAAGAGACATGAAACCATGCCATGGTAATGCAAAACAACACCACAGACACAGAATGACACCAAAAAGAGGCAAAGTGACACAAAATGACAACATAGAGACACAAAATAACACAGAGAAGATGCAAAAGGACACCAATGTGACGCAAAACAACTCCAAAGAAACACAAAAGTCAGATTAATTTATAAAGCACATTTAAAAACAACTACCACCGTTGAACCAAAATGCGAACCATGAAACACAAAAAACACAAAAAACACAAAAAACACAACAGCTAAAAGACAAATCAGAGTAAAATAATAAAAACATACGACGTAATAAGGGATGAAGTCAACGCCTCAAACTGTATTTGGATCAAATATAAAAGAGAAGAGCAGCGACTTAAGCGTTTCTAAAGTCTTCAAGTTTTAATCAAGAGTTCACAGACATGACAAGGTCAATAATCCTTCTGCTTATTTTTCCTTTTGTTCACTGTTTGCGTACGAGGAAGTGTGTTTGTTTTGAGGACTTTACTGTCTCTTTAATCCGAGGAACAGGACGTCTCCAGTTTCTATGAAACGTGTCGACAGAGTTGGTGTGGATCATCGTCGAAGCCAAAACCTCCGCATGAGAACATCGTTTTGGTTTTTTGGTCATTTGGGAGAACGAAGCCTTTAATTAAGCTTCCCACATAATAATATGTTAATTAGATGTGAGAACACGGAAGAGCTGATGTCATAAATCCAACCCATAAATCCATGACTGTTGTCTTTACATTAATGAAGATTTAAGGTCTTAGTGAATGTTCTCTCCTCTTCTGTTTTTAAGAGATGGAACCATATTTGTTATTTTACACGAGAACATTTCTGTATTTATGCTGATCTCACTTTTAGAGAAGATAGAAGAGGAGGGGAAGTTCGTTAATTCAAAGAAGCAGAATCACAATCTGATAACAGTTTATGAGAAAGTGTGAGTTTGTTCTTTAAAAAAGGAAGCAATTAGTGGTCGATTTCATTATCTGTAAAGCAAAATCTAACCGCTTAGTCTAAAAGAAATACCTGAACACAGCAAATACGGCCCGTTGTGTTTTAAGAGTGGTTGATTTAACGGGTCACATTTGGTTCAAAGTCCCAAAATATTCAATATGCAATGCTGTGAAGCTGGAAAGAGCCAACATTTGTAGGTTTCCTGAATAAATCACTTGAATAGTCCCTTTTTAAAAACATACTGATCTCTTCAGGAGATCCATTTTTTAGTTTTTGACACCAAAAAGACACATGACACTAAAGGGACACGAAACAACAACAAAAAGGAAACAAAAAGACAGCAGACGGACACGAAATGATACCAAAAAGACACAAAATAGCAAAGAGACACAAAAAGACACTAAAAACACACAAAACAACAGCAAAAAGAAACACAATGACACCAAGACGACACAAAACAACACCAAAGAGACACAAAATGACACTAAACACAGAATAAAACGATACCAAATTGACACAAAGCATCACTTTTTCAGTAAATAAAACCCACTCAGGTTCTACTTTTTAGCTTGTTGTGCAGCTTTCAGCCACATCTTGTCACGGATTCAGTCTTTCACTTTTTATTGTGCCACAGATTACATTTTAAATCCGATTCGACAAACTGAAAACATTCTTAGACATTTACGAAAATGTGTTAAAATCCAGACTCCACTGAGTCGATAACTGTCGACTGTCGGAGGTTTTATGGAGCTACTTGGTGGATCTTTCTTTAATCTGAACAGTTGTGGAGCTGCAGGTTTATTCCATCGATAAAGTGTGATTAAGACACTGCCTCACAGTGTTGTGTGTCCATCCTGTTGTGCATCAGGTGGGAAACATTGCAGCTGATAAGAGGCGTCTTGTCAGGTAAACAAAGCGCCCTGCTTCGCCCTGATTGGCTGCTGGCTTTATGAGCTCGACGGAGCAGCTGCTGCTCCCGTTGCCGCCGGCCGAGAACAAATCTCGTAAAGCCGCTAACGAGCAGCAAACGTCATAAAGCAGCAGAAATAAAATGTAACTGGACCTGGTGTGTTGAACAAAGATCAAAAGTTCACCGGCAGAGAAGAAACTTTAAAACGGGCTGTTCAGATGTTACACGAAGCTGTGAAACCGCTTCTAGTCCAGAACCGTTGTTTTGTTAGTATTTTGGGTGTGTTTTTTTGCTGTGCTCTGTATTGTCGGGCTGGGCGGCGCCACGGCCGAGGAGAACTCACTCGCCCTCCACCACACCTGTCCTCATTGTAATCAGCGCTGCTTTTAAGCCGGCTTCTCCCCTCGATTCACTCTGCTTAGAGCGGTAGATCGACCAAGACCAGTTCTCGAGTTGTTTGTTAACCTGTTCCTTTCATTTCCTTCGCCTACTCTAGAGCCTCCTCAGCCTGACGTCCTCTCCAGCTTTGCCACAACAAGTCAGCCACCAGCAGCAGCACTCCGGTTCGCACTCACGGGTTTCTTCACGCCTCGAGCACCTTTCCCCTGGAGCACGGCGATCCCCAGCACTGGACCACATCACTGGAGTCCCTGGATCCCCCCCTAACCTCCTCCACTGAAGACCTACGAGCACCGGCGCTCCCCTTCGCCTCTCTGGTGTTCCACAATAAACCTTTTTTGTAATCACTCCCTGTTGCCCTCGTCACATTCTGGGTCCACTCAGTACACATTAGGAGCACCTCCTAACAGCAAAGACCCAAACACACTGAAGGTTTCCTCCAAAACCACAAACAGGATCGTTTTTAACGCCAACAACTCGCAAACATGAATATTTGCTGATTTTCTAACATTGTCGAGTCTGAAATGATAAAAATGATGTTAAACAAAAACAACACATCACCAGGGACAGACTAACCAACGGCCTGATGGAGTTCTGCAGGAAGTGTTTCTACGATCAGTCACACAACTCAGATTTAAAAAAATACACAAAACAACTACAAAGAGACACAAAAAAAGATCCACAAAATGATACCAAACGACACAAAAAAGACAAAACAACTACAAAGAGACACTACATGGCACTAAAGAGATACAAAAGATACAAAATGACACCCAAGAGATACAAAGGTGACACTAAAGAGACACGAGAATTAGACAAAAAGACACAAAATGACCCAAAATGGCCCAAAATGACACTAAAAACACACAAAAAAGACAAAACAACATCAAAGACACACTAAATGGCACTAAAGAGACACAAAAGATACAAAACGACACCAAAGAGATACAAAGGTGACACTAAAGAGACACTAAATGACACAAAAATACTCAAAGTTACACAATATGACACCAAAGGGACACAAAAGAGACCAAATTATGCCTGGGAGACACAAAACGACCCCAAAGGCAGACAAAGAGACACAAAAGGTCACCAAAGAGGTGCAAAATGACACAAAAGACACACAAAAATGAGACAAAACGACATCAAAGAGACACTAAAGGGACATAAAAATGACACTAAACGACCTAAAATGACACCAAGGAGATGCAAAATGACACTAGAACACACAAAAAATAGACAAAACAACATCGGAGCGACATCACATGACACAAAAGAGACACTAAAGAGACACTAAATGACACAAAAATACTCAAAGTTGCACAAAACGACACCAAAGAGACACAAAAGTGACACTAAAGAGACACTAGATGACACAAAATGACCCAAAGGTACACAAAAAAGACCAAAATACACCAAAGAGACCAAGGAGATGCAAAATGACACTAAAGAGACACAAAAATTAGACAAAGAGTCATAAAATGATGACAAAAACACAAAGTACGACAGAGAACCAGAACGTCACTGGAAACCATATAGAACATTCACTCTCTGGAGTCTCACAGAGCTTCTGTCCTTAACTTCACCCCTTTTTTATTTTGTTCCCTCCATGTTTCCAGTCTTTTGTGTGTCTCTAACTGATTCCTGAATACGCCTCATATTCACTTACATGCTGCTCCGTGGGCTCTTCCTGCTCTGCGTCTTATTTTAGGACATTCAGCAGCGCATTCATGTGGCGCTTCTAATGCAGCCATTCACATCCAGGCCTTTAAAACCAGCTCCTCGGGCTCAGACTCACATTCAGAGCGAAACGGAGCTCCGAGAATCGAACCGTCTTAATGCATCGGAGCTGGACCGCTGCCCGTCCCAACAAAGCCTACACTTCACATACGTGTGTGAGAGACCACCTCCAGCGAAACAACTCCGGGGAGTTTTTTCATTCGAGCGGCCACGGCGTTGTGTGGCTCCTTTGTTGAAACCGCCGCGATACAACTGGAAGAGGAGGAGGATAAGTGCCGGTTACACAAAACTCCTCGTAGTGCTCGTGATCCCAGAGTTTAACCCCTGAACCCGGCCGACCTGGATTCTGTCCTGGACGTGGACCATCGATGCGGTCGCCAATAGACCCACAGTTTCCCGCCAAAACCAGAAACACAAACAGGATCAGTTTTAATCCCAAAAGTTCTCAAATGTGAATATTTTCTAAGATGGTCGAGTCTTAAATGATGAAAATAATGTCAGACTAAAGTAACACATCACCGGGGACGGACTAACAAACAGCATGCTATGGGTCACACAACTCTGGTCATAATAAACACAACAAAATGACTACAAAGAGACACAAAAGAGCAAATAAACTGACACCAAAATTGCACAAAAGAAACACAACAGACACAAGAAAGCGCCAAAGAAACACAAAAGGACACCGAAGAGACACAAGAATTAGACTAAATCAAATCAAAGAGAGACAAAGTGACACCAAAGCTACACAAAAAGACAAATATCACCGACGGACACAAAAGAGACATGAAATTAGACCAAAGAGACACAAAAGAGCAATAAATTGACACCAAAGTTACACAAAAGAGAGAAAAACGACACTAAAGTCTGACTTCAGGAGACAAACGGAGTGAATGGAGCCATTTCTCAAACAAAATCCAACATTTTCAGGGTAAAACTTGGAGTCGCTGCACTAAAGTCCATTTAAAAGTCTCTAGAATTCACTAAACCTGTGAGTTCTGAAATCCTTAATCGTGACAAATCAAATCATTTCCTCCACCTGCCCTCCTCAGAATCAGCTGATGTTCTCTGTGCAGTTAGTTCAGCATATTTAACAGATGGACGCATTTCAGGATGAAAATCACATCTGGTAAAAACTGACACCAGATCAGTTCTGCGTCCATCCAGGTGTCACAGTCTGAACACTAAATCTGTTTTTTGTTCGGTTTTTCACAATATTTGTCTCATTTTGAACAAACTTTCAGTCATTTTGGACTTTTTTTGTGTGTGTGTGGCAGCTTTAATCTTTTTCAACAAATTCTGAATCATTTTGAATAATTTTAAAGTTTGATGCTCGAAGCTGTTCAAATACTTTGAGCGTCAATATTATGGGATATAATAATTTAACAAGCAAATGAAAGGTCTGGTTTTTACCAACATTTGATACCAGGATGAACTTCTGAACACGATTCACTCTGTGCTGAAGAATGCTTTGATATAAAGGAATAAATAAAGATTTAATTAGAGTAAAGCTGTTGTACATGAATAAGAGGGTCAACTGGGAACTTTATTTGTTAAAGATGTGCTTGATTTTATGTGGAATGAATCGTCTCTAACAGTAGCATGAATTAATTCCACATTATGGTCACACGGCGTCTTTAAGCGTCACTTCACCAGGTTTAACATTTAGAGCTTGTGTTGTTCAACCTTCATCATGCTCTGAGGGCTGGAACAGAAACTTCTTGGATAAAAGTAGAATTTCAAGCTAAGACTTTCTAACCAGACTTAAAACTTGGCAGCTGTTTGTTTTTAGGGAAAATGTGCTCCGATATAGAGCAAGTATAATAAAAACAGGATGCATGCCTGTCTCCATATGACTTTTGTTGCTTAATAAACCAAAAAGGAGAACTTCATTCAAGTTTAACTTCTGTTGGTCGGTCCATGAATTTTAACAAACACAGAACTTCTGCAAATTGTGAAGACAAAAGCTAAATTATTAGCAGCTTTCAAATACGCTGCATCTTTCTCCTGAAAACAAAAGCACAGCAGGAGGTTCAACTGGCCGAGCTGAACTCTGGACTTTTAAATGTGTTGTTCTAACTTTATTAACTGTGTCCATTTTGACAACTGCATATTTGACTTTAATCACGTGTCAGCCAGATATTGTGGGTGTTTATTCTGTTTGTTCCAACTGTGACTTTTATGCTGCATTCATGGCCTGAAGCAAAGATTTCAGTTTCAGCTCTTTGATCCTTTGTTTTACAAAAAATGTCAAAAATCTGGACTCAACGTGGTCAACATTGTTCTGCCCACGCATGTTAGCAACACTGCAAGGGTAATTATTTACCTTTGTACAACTTCTATAAACGTTCAAACTATTCTGCACATCAGCTGTAGAAACATGCGTCACCGTGTTTGAGCCATGCTGCGGAAACGGTGAAAACACGGCCAACAGTTCACCTGAAACTCTCTGAAATGAATTTTTGACTGTTGGCCTAGTTTTTATCAGCATCTCGTACACACTGCACATTTTGAAACAGTCATGTAGAACAAACTGTTTTTCTCATGAAATATTGGGATTTTCCCCTGATAGAACTGCGCGATTCGTTCACAGGCGGTCGGAAAGTTGAAAATCCAACGATTCTCTCCGTTCCTGCATTTTTGTTGCTCTGATAAATGGTGTCATTTTGGTAATTTTTTAAAAGATGACATGCTTTTCACACCCATGCACGCGATTGGTTCAAAGACCGTTGGAAAGGTGAAAACCCGATGACTGCACATCCGCTGTAGGAAGGTGTTTCACCATTTCTGAGCCATGCTGCATTTATTTATTGATCCAGTATGTTGGATTTTCCGGCCTGCAGTTCACCTGAAAACTTAATTCACTTAAATCAATCATGGCTTCTGGAATTTTTAAATTAAACAGAATCTGGTGCAAGCTGTTCATGTTTGGAGCTTGTTTTGAATTTTGTCATGATTTTTCAAAGCTTGGATTTAGTTGTTTTTCCTGATAGAAGTGTGTGTGTGACACACACGATTAGTTCAAGGCCCGTTGGAAGGTTACAAATCTGACGATTCTTTCCGTGTTTGCAACATCTTGCTCTGATGAATGGTGTCATTGTGGTGATTTATGATAAAAGATAACTTTGCTCAGACATGCTTAGTTCAAGGAATGTTGGAAAATTGAATATCGGATGATTCTGTTTTTGCAGTTTCTTGCTTTGATAAATGGTGCCAGTTTTAAAACAAAATGTATTTTAAATGTTTTTTCTTTTGTGGGTCAGAGGGTTAAATCAAATCAGATTTCACACCAGATTCTTTGACACATGATCACATGCCCCTCTGTGTGATTAGGATCTCTACTAAATGCAGCTCATCTGATGTGAATGTGAATAATGTCAGTTTTTGTGTGTCTGACAAGCCAAAACAGTGAAGAAACAGTCTTCGAACTCGTGAACTGACCTGAGCAGCGGAGGGATGGACCAGCTGAAGGGCCTCTCCAGGTTGAAACACAGGACGTAGACGCACAGCAGCAAGCTGACGGTCAACATGCAGACCAGCAGCTTCCTGCGCAGCGCCATCCCCGTAACAGTGAGTTCGCGCTGCCCTCCGCTCTGCCTGCAGGAACATGAGGAGGCAGAGGACGGAGGCTGAGGGAAGATGCTGTCCCGCTCAGGACGGTGGGGTTTTTTCTTTCTTTCAGCTCGACCAGGGGGAGGGACGGTGTTGATGGCGATGGCGGGGATTTAATTAACCCACAACGGGATCTGGGCTCCGCTCGGGACGTCTCTCAACACAGCTACAGCGGGAGGGAGACAGAAAGTGAGAGTTGGAACGAGGGCAAAGACTCGGGAGGGGAAACTTTATCTTTGGGCGTCACTGTGCCAAATAATCCCTTTTTAATGAAACCTTTGCCGAGGCGGCTGAACACACAGTGCAGGGTCACAATCTGCATATGCAGCTTTTAGTTATCTCCCTTCTGCTCATCCAGCCCCACAAAAGAGGAACCAATACTAAGAGAAGCACAAAAACCTGATGTCAGCTGCAGTGGGCGACCAATGCAGGAAGCCAGAGACGCTCGCAAGCAGGAAACTTCTTCTTATCCGCCCCCACATGTAGTGGTCAAGTCTGTGAAAGTCCCACCACAAGTGGAAGGCATTATCATACACTGTGAGCACCAACCCTCTCCACTTCACACCTCTTTGTAAGCAGTGTAATAAACCGAGCCTGAGGCGAGGCGCTGAACTCTGCCCCCTAAACTTCTCCTCAGTCGGCAGCTTCTTTCTCTTCAGTCAAAAAAAGTCGTGGAAGCCGAAAAATGTCAAAAAAAAAAAAAAACCCCACACTGGTTTTTTGATGACAGTGACTGTGTGAGTAGGTGCTTCTGTCTGAGGCTAAATGGGGAATGGAAAGAATGTGAAGTGATCCAGAGAAAAACCTTCACATCTCTGATAGCACACATGACAAGTATCCAAACAAACATAAATCAAAAGGAAGTTTTCTACTGATTTAAATCCTCTTTAACGTGGCAGACAAAAGATTCAGAGCAGAATATTACAGAGGACATGCATCAGACTGTGACAAATCATGACTCAATCCCTTTTCCTTTAGTCACTCTGTGTCTCTACTGAAGCACAAAATCTCCTCAAATACAGCACTGAGGGGTAAAAAATTCAGAAAAAGTCAAGCTGCTCTCACCGCTCGAAGATTCTTTGAGTTTCCTTCACAGTGTGGACATACTCCTGTGAGTAAACTGAGCGCTGCCGCTGATCATCTGGCGTGTAGCGGCTGCGCTGCCAGCCTAGGCACTGTATGGGGCGGGACCATTGTGAAATGAGCAACAGCTGCTGGCAATTGGTCAACTCCCCCTCGACTCCAGCACAGAGGAGGGGGAGCGAAGCCCACTGCAGGCTGCAATAAAGTTAGTTAGACATGAGCAGGCAGCTCTGCTATGCTCACAATGTGTGGAGGAATCACAGCACCACATGTAAACAGTGAGGAAGCGTGAGGCAGCGAGCAGCAACATGCAGCCTCCATCCATCTACTCAGACGTCTGTCCGTCCGTCCAGCAGACAGTCAGCTGGGCCGCAGAGCCAAGTGAGAGTCAATAGTCGGAGCGCCTCTCTCTGGGTTCAGTTTCCTCCCTGAAAAGAAAGGAAATACACCCCTGAAAGAGGAGACACGCTCAGCGCCGGCTGCAGTTTGGAGGAAGCGAGTTAGCTGCAGGGTGAGGAGGAAAAAGAGGAGGAGGAGGAGGAGGAGGAGTGGAGGGCCGGGAGAGAAAGAGAAGAAGAAGTGGGTCAGCGCTGGACATTATTCCAGATGTATAGACGGAAAAGTCCCTGAGGACGGTTTAAACCCCACCAAGGCGTCTGAGAGCTGAACATCATTTATGAAAGTGATTTACACAAATTAAATGGTGCAATTAAACAGTCGATGAATCACTTCAGGCTCCAAACCAACAACTATTTTGGCTCATGATGAGGATTCCAGAGGGAAGCTGAGGCGTCTTCTGCTCAGAGAGAAGGCGAGGGATGATGGGAGGGTGTAGGCCAGGAACAAGCAAACAATTGTGTGAGAACAGAGACACAGAGGAACACAGTGCAGTCTTTGCTTTTTATTGTCTCTTTGCTGAAAAGATTCTTCACAGTTTTTCGAACCATCACCATGAAAAAACATGTAAAAACTAGACTGAACAGGAGGAAACGGTGCGTTCAGGAGCTGTAAAACAAACAAACAAACAAACAAAAAAAAAGGGAAACAACAAGCAATGACAGCTGGAATGATTTGTGTGGTGAGTGCGAGTCCAACACCGGGGTCGGTTCGGGTCACAATGGGAGGAATGGTGGCGCACAAACACACACACAAAGGAAGGGCTCATTGGCACTTGTAGGACGGGCATGCGCGAGGAATGCCAACTCACATCGCCGCCCCGCCGGGTCCCAATCCCCCGTCTGCTGTGCCAACGAGGGGCTGCAGCTCGCCACCGCCGCCGAAGCCTCGACCTCATGACTCACAGCGAGTCTGTGTGACACAGCAGCTGCTCACGACCCGAGCTTCAGTCCAATCTAAAGGAGTGTTGGAACCGAACTCACTGTTCGGTGTAACGGCTAATAATGCGGCTCCAACTACAGCTGCACTAGTTTAACCTCCAAACTACCACCAGTTCAACACATTAGCCGTGCCTCCATTTCTTAATTCAAAGCGTTGCAGCAGAAAAAGGCAACGACAACAGCAAAACTTTAAAAAGCTGAGTTTTTTTTAAGCTTGTTGACTTTCCAAAAAAGAATCAAGGGTGAACAATAATAAAAGTTTTACTTCTATTGTACACAGGGAATGTTGAACTGAAGTCCTTCTGCAAGTTAAATCGCAATATCGGTCAGCATGCAAGTATGGATTTTAAAGTACGGCGTTAGAAAAAGGTCACGCAAAGGGCAACATTTAAAACGACAGCTTCTATGGTTGAAGGACGAGGCTTTTTTGCTTCTTCGAAAAATAACTGAGTAGAGATTAAAACAATTGATTTTAAAGTGCAATTAGCACACAATTTAGGTTTTACCTGATGTGGCGCATCTGATCCAGAGTTTAAACTGCCACGTCGATGGTTTCACAAATTCATACTTTTGTTAATGCTCGACTTTTCAACGTTTGACCACAAGCCATAAAATATTGCACGAATGTTTGTCGTTTGTCGTCCTACATTGCCACCTTTGCGATTTGCCGATTGTATTGTGTCAAATTCAGATTCCGATTCCAACGCTACAGTACAGTGTGCTAGAAAACAAAAGCATAGCATGTTTCAGGCTGTGCGACTGCATCCGGCATCATTTTGCAGAAAACCACAGACTACAATGAATGTATGAGAAGTGTGGTCATGCAGCAACAGGATGTTCTTTGTAAGGACAGCTTCAAAACGTACGTAAGTGTGCGACTTTTCCAATAGCGCCACCTTCTGTTTATCCGCTGCATAGCAGTCGATGGGAACAAGCCTAATTCACATATTTCTTTTTCATAAAATGTTTCACGAAATTTCGAAACTTTGCTTCGAATTCCCCAGACAGTTAGATGGAAACACGGCTAATGTGTCCAAACCAAAGCTGCTCTACTTTATGCTCTCGTCTATTACTCGTTTATGTATTTCACTCGTTGTGGCTCGGACAACTTCCGTGTCAGAAAAACCTGACGTACTGTATTTAGACCATCTAAAAATGGCACCGTTATAACACCTCACTGTGACTGTTTAGTTGCAGAAGGAATAAAAAAAAAAAAACACTTGATGTGTTGACAACGTTTGAGAGAAACTACTTCACATCTTCGACCTCTCTGTGGACCAACAACACTACAAAGGTCGAGCGCTACAATAAATAAAGGAAACAGAATAAATACGGTCTGACAGTGAGGTCTAATCTGGAGGCCTTTACAATCACATCACACTGCCGTCTTTCACATCATGTTGTACCTAAATAACAGGCCTTCCTTCAGGGTTTAGAGTTTCTCTGCGCAGCACCAACTCTTGTTACAGCCGCTCCACCCCTCGCCAAGTCAAGCTATGGACCAGCTCTTACTGAAATCTTATCCACAAAGACTTTCTGTGTCTGCGAGAGGGGCTTCCACATGTCTTCATTAAGGGTTAAGAAATAAAAAAAATAAAAGAATAAAACAGGCTGTGGCTCCTGAGAGGATTTACAAAACAGAATAGTTTGCATATGTGTGCGTCTTTCTCCCTGCCGATGCGTTTTGTCCCAGTGCGGCCTCTGGATCAGAACCCATATGTCTTTAAACATACCTCTGGTCACATGCCCCCTTTAACCCACCTACCGCCCTGCTCTGTCCCAGCTCTGCTTTCCTAATCCTATAAACATTTTCTATGCACATTCCTTCCCCCCCTCCTTCTACCTCGTCGTCTTTTTCTTCCCTACGTTCAGAAAAACTTTCAAAGCCACTCTGCAATCATCTGACCTCAAACGTGCCATCAGACGTCCCATTTTTCTTCCTTCGTTTTCCTTTTATGTTCCCAACTCGCTCTTTCTAGAAACACTCTACACGCTCTCTAACTTAACTCAGCAACCAGTGTTAGTACTCCTAACCGCGTTGTTAGATTTTGGTTCAAGACAAACAGACTGCTCAGAGCTGGCCGCGGGGCAGCAGCGACGGGGGCGGTTATGGATCCAGTAATTAGCGCTTGCCTCGAGGGGGCACTGGGACAAAACGCATGACTCAACAGATAAAAGGGCGCACCGCGGCTTGTTTCGGGCTCGTGCTTTGGGCTGTGATGCTGCGAGTCTCTGGTCCTACAGTAAGAACAGCTCCCACTACCACTACCACCACCATGGCGCCCCAGTTCCCAGCGGCCCAGCAGGCCCGGGCTGGTCTCTGGAACATCTGGAAGTGTTCTGTGTGGCAGCTCTGTGGGGAACAAATTCCTGCTCCCACCGACGGCAGCGTGAGGGAAGAAGACGGGGTACAGCCGCACAACACAACCAGAAATCCTCCTTTGGAAAGACAAGACAGGCGGGTCCATCTGTAGTCTTTAATCTGGTGCCACCTGGTCTGTGGCGTCTAAATGAGGGAGCACAACAGGCTCCTTCATTCCTGGGGGGGCGGCTACACAGTCAGGACCAGTGCGTTTCCCCCATTTTTTGAGTTTAGCTTCAGCTGAGGTAGACTCAGTCACAACCTTCTGAAGCTCCACAGGTTCAGTCTTGCTGGCAGGAACAACATCCAGAGGGAGAAGGGGGGACACAGCGACACAATGAGCACAATGCAGCTCATTGCGATGGGAGGGCGGGGAGGGGGGGAGGTCCACGGAGATGAAAACCTGGCCTTGCTGTCAGTCACTTCTCCAGCAGCTGCTTCCTCTGCTGCTCCCACAAGGCCTCGAGGTGGTCCGCCCTCTTCAGAGCAGCCTATCAGAGCAGAGGACGGTGTTTACACTCGCTGTCACTCATCGCTCAAACTGTGCGCTGGTATTAGTGTGACAGACTTCATCCGGCGACTCACCTCGTGCTGCTTCCGGAGGTGACCGACGGTTTCTTCCTTCTTCAAGATAGCCGACTTCACTCTGGCAGATCACAGAAAACAACAAAGCGCTGACACCTTGATTCGTTGGTTTCACTTTTCATCTGAAAACTGTCAGCAAAGCTCTGAAAAACCACAGGAGCTGAAACACGATGTTTGAGGAACTGGTTTTGGTTTTTGGCCTTTTAACTACCTGAACCCTGCAACCAGCTGGCAGAAAAAAAAAAAAAAAAAAAACACCCTAAAACTACATCATGTACCTGAGCCAGGAACTGTAAAAATATCAAGAATAGTTGGATTCGTAACTTTCTGATGGTTCTTTAATGCTAACATGTAGTTCTGCTGGAAAAAAAAGACCAAATCAAAGCTTAAGATTGTGAAATCTCATCAAAATCACTTTAGTCTACATGCGTTCTTTAAAAATGAGTTGTTAGCAAGTTTTTTCAAACTGAACTGCAGGCAGCGTTTCAACAAAGGCGAGAGGAGACAAGTACACAAACATCTACATATCTATAGTCTGTGGAGTCACTTAGAAAAATGTACAGATTTCAGGTTTCTTCAATTTTTGTAAAAATATTTTGTAAAAGCAATTGAAGTTTAACTTTGTCATTGTTATGATCTACAGCATTCTAACTGTGCCATTCAGCACAGATGACATCTCCGAGTTCTCGCTCCTTCTTCATGTTGGTTCCGTTTCCAATGAGTTCATGACTTTATACTGCAGTGAAAAATGATCCCACAGTGAGGAAAAATGCAGCGGGAGCAAAAATCGCCCAGAAACTGCCTGGATTTAGAGGATTAATACTGTTACTGGTTGTTTTCCTAAATATATGAAGACACTCTGTCTTGGGACTGCTGTGTAATTTCCATTACGGTTTAAGCTCAGCCTTTAACTTCTAGAAATGCACAGTTTATATTCCAGGCTTTTCGTTACGAATCATTAAAAAAAAAAAAAAAACAGCAAAGAATTTGTCCCAGTAATAAGTAATAATTACTGTCGTGCATCAAAGCCTGACGTCTTGATCCTCTGTGCTGTACAGCTTCACTGTTGTCCAGAAAACATTAACACAGATCAGCTCTCTCAGCTGCTAAACGGAAAACATCTTGTATGTTTAATAAAAATAGGAAACAGAAGCCAGAGTGGGGTTTTCTGAGGAGATCTGGGTGGAAATCTGCAGTTTTTAGCAGTTGGAAAGAACACTGCTGGAAAAATATTCTAAGATATTTAAGGATCCCACACCATGAAAAGTACAAAAACACAAGAGAGACGTAAAGGACGCAAATCATTTTCATATATTGTAAGTTCGTCCTGAATGGAGTTCATAAGAGACTCTAACATCCCAGAACTTTGACACCATTTGCTTGCATTTCAAAGCTGCTGCAGGCTGTTTTAGCAGCAAGTAAAAAATTTATCACTAGAAAGCAGCTCGGTGCTGTTTCACCAACACAGGGAAGATTAGTATGATTTGGAAATATTCAAAATGGAAAAAGACAAATTCAACCAAATTTGATGCAAATTGATCACATTTATAAGTCCAGTGTGAGCACACTTTGTTTTAAGGTCCCAAATAAGCCTTAATGGGAAGAGCAGAAGAGTAAGAGCACCTGTTTCTATTGTTGAGACGCAAGTAAGTGAAACAGGAAAACTGCAAACAGGTTGAAGCAGGAAGAGATGTGTATATATATATAGCAAAAATAACATCAGTGAGTTTCACAGTTGGGCTACAACACAGTCTAATTTATTTAGACTCAAACACCCTGCAACTGGAAATACTCACTAGAAATGTGGATTCATCCGCTGCTCAAAATAGTCCCTAAAACACACACTGTACCCGTGTGTGACTAATGTTTTGTTTCACATTTTTAGGGGAAAAAAAAACTACATATTTATTTCTTCAGTAAGAACCAGTGGACACAGGACCACAGGAGCCACAGACTGGGAGGTTTCTTGAAGTAGGCATTTTAGATAAGTTGCTGCATACTTGCTGCACGACGTCATACGGTCTATGATGCAGCGCAGGTTCGACAACAGAAAGGAGAGTTCCTGTTTCAACACAATACTGTGTCTGTGAACTAATGCTGACAGCTACACCTGCATCAGTGCAAGACGTCACTGGTGACGTCGTGGTTAGTTAAGTTAGTTGTTTGGTCTATAAAATGCCAAGAAACTGGTGATGTTCAGCTTAGTGTCACCACAAAATATTCACATCCAAGAAACGGTTATGTTTCCTGCTGGGCCCTGACAGTGGTACAATGTTTGACCATGAAAGTAGACCATTTTTACTGTAGTTAAACTGGCAAAAAGTAATGTTACTACTAGAAAAATTCTAAACAATGAATTGCTAGTGTAAACATTTTTCCTATTTGTTGTTAAAGCACAGATTCTAACTCGTAAAACCACAGAAAAAAAATATTAATTTACATGCTGACTGTAAAAAAACAAAAACCATCAGAACCCGTCAGTAATAGTAATTTGCTCTTTAATAATGTGTGACCAGAAGCCAGAATCAGACAATTTTGGCTTATCTTTTTCTTAAAATATTACTTAAACCGAATAATTGATCAATTGTTGCAGCTCTACATTCAGCAATAACATACAGAAGAAATACTGTGTGTTAACTAAGTTATCAATCTTATTTTCAGGAGTTCCACAAGTTTTAGAGCCACACTGAACTTTGTGTTGACATTAACCAGGGCTTCTTCAGAATTCGCTCACAGCTTCCTCATATTTCTCCTTTCTTACGAAGTGGCAGACGGCCAGCGGTGCGCTTAAGTTTCCACCATTTATTAAGTTTGAACTGCACTTTGAACTTGTGTGCCAACGCTCCTTTTTTGCACCTTTAACAGAGCCGATGTGTGAGGAGCCAGCTGGCCCCCAACAAAGCTTATTAAGCGTTGACCTAAATCCACGGCCTGACACACACACAGGGGTCCTGACTGTTTAGAGACGCTGATTTATGGAGAGCTTTTGTGAAGTTTTGGCTTCATAACGTTCAGACACGTCCATCTCACCGTCATCTCTTTACCTTCAGTTTGCAGACAAACATACAAGATCTGCTTCTACAATTAAAGCAACATATTGTCACACTTGAAAGTTCAATTTGTACTCTTACAAAGCAGTTAGACGTGTGCTTTTACTTCAGCGTTTTAACCTCAAGCTTGTCAGGTTTGGAAACTATGTGACCAAACAGGACAAATGTTTCATCCGTCTTACCGCTGGTGGACTTCGGCCAGCTCCTCCTCCTTCTCCCTGGTGACCCTCTCCACCTCCAGCCTCAGCCTCGCTCGGACCTCCGACACCTCCACCTTCATCCTGCGGTTCTCCTCCTCCGTCGCCACCAAGCGGTCGGCGAACTCCTGCCGGATCACCTCGGCCAGGCTGCGGCGCTCGTCGGCCAGCTTGTCCCTGGTCTGAGCAGAGAAGTCGGGCAAATTAAAACGGAATCTGTACTTTTGAGTGTCTGTTTTCCATCTTTTAAAACAAATCATGCTGATGGAAAGAAGCCTGTGATGACTTGATGTTTTGTGGTGCACAGAAAGGGAAAAGTAACAAGTCATTTCTAATCGTCTGAATGAGAACGTTTTGCTTCTTACCTGTGTGACGTCCTCAATCTCCTGCTCCTTCTGTCTGAGCAGAGCCTGAAGTCTGATCAGTTCTCCCTCCGTCTCCACCTGCTGCTTCCTCAGCTCCTGTTGTTTCTCCACGGACGTCCTCTCGGAGCGCTCCAGCTCCCTCAGCTCGGCTTCGTACTTTTCTCTAACTCGTTTCACCCTGCAAACCGAGTGCACGGCAGGTTGGTGTTGATGCAGACTTGTGTGGAAGAATGTGCACATCCCAAAAATGCAGCACAATTTCAGAACCTGCCTAAAGTTAATTCATCTTTAACGCCAACATTTGTCTTGTGAGACCTGCGACTGTGGATATCTACAGCGTTTGTGGAAAGGTGTAGGGGTGTAACTAGCAGGCTTTAATATGAAATACCCACTAATAAAGGCTAACAGCTTCCAGTTTGGTTTGAAAATGTCACAGAGAGATAAATATTGGGACACTTCACATGTTGTTCATATACTCTGGACATTGTGCATCCATTAGTGTAAAACATTTGGTACACAACGTTCACCAATGTTGAAGTTTTCTTGAGTGCGTGTTTCACGTGGAATAAGGAAAAACTAATAAAACTTTGTCCATCTACTAGAAAGAAATGAAGAAAAAGTCTTTAGACATTGTTTTCAGTCGGTGAAGTTGTCATTATTCTATCATGTCTGAAGAAAACAAACAAAAAAGAAATCTATCTGAACAGTCATGTGAGTTAAATGTTTGCTACATCTGGATTCAAGATTCAAGATGTTTTGTTGGTCACATGCTTGTGCAGCATGTGCAGTGAAATGCAAAGTGGCTGAACCTCAAGGCTGTGCAAAAACAAGAAGACACTGTAAAGGACAAATCTCTAAATAAACAAGAGAAAATTAGAAAAAGTTATGAAACTTATATAGCAAAGGTCTTTCCATTTCCTGTTATGCACACTGACTTTGTTTTAACAAGGTAAAAAAAAAAAAGGTTTTCTACAAAGCTAATGCCCTCCTTCAAAAACACACCTTAAAATACATCATAGACTTTTATTTACTTATATTTATTTTTATGTACGTATGCAGGTAAAAATGTTTGAGAACCAGTTCTCATTTGCAAACAGAATCCTGTCAAGCAGAAGAGGAAACCAGCGTTACCTAGTTTAACTTGTTCTGGCTTTAATGCGTCATTTAAGGCAAATATAACTTCAGGTAACTGGTCTACTTTATACTTGATGGTAAACAGATCAGTCTTGTCTGCGGATGGTGTGTTTGCACGTCAATAAGAATAATTACAATGATTAAAACTGACTTTAAAACAGAGGTTTATACCGAACGGTCAGTGCGGTGTGGTTGTCACACTCTCCATTATCTTGTTCAGTGTCAAACAGCAGGATCCGGTGAACACACACCTGCTGTCAGCTGCCCTCTCACACTCCTCCTTGTCCTTGCTGGTCTCCTCCTCCAGCGTCCAGATGGCGAGTTCGATCTCTTTGTCGCGATCCCGCCGCAGCTCTTCTTTGAGCTGTCGCTCGCGGCTCAGCATCCACGCCTCCTGCAGAACACAATAAAACACACCTCAGTTAACGTACATCTGCCTTCATGCCGTTAACAGTTAATCATTTACTGTCATTCCTGCACAATAAAAGTTGTCTCTTCCCTGATTAACATGTTGTCCTGCAAGTCCGACTGACTGCGTGTGTCATTCATACCCAGAAGAGTTTATCTGAGTGACATTTAGGTGAAAGTTGGAAGGTGAAGGCCAATTGTAGAGAGCTGCGAAAACAAACTAAACTTCAAACTCTTTACCATTTATTTCTACATTAACCACTGATTTGCATGTTTTGGGTTAATCATTTCTTGTCAGCAAAGTGACTTCCATGTAGCTCGACATGCTCGTGTGCAGGTTACATAAAGTTCTAAGAAAAGAAGAAAAGTCCATCGAAGGAGGATTTTTGTCTTTGGAAAGCTGGACTCAGCATTTCCTATATGGTGTGGAAAACTGATCACGTATACGGTCCAACGAAAACCATTTCCTGAGTTTTCGGCTCACTATAAAAGCTGTTATGTTTGTGCTTCTCCTTTGAGAATCTGGACGAACTTTGTTATTTTCCATATTGCATACAGTATCACATTTACCAATGACGCAGCAAAGTGTGGCTTTTTTTTTTTTTTTTTAGGTGTAACAATTACAGCATTTTTCCCCGACCGAGCTGGAAACCTGCCACCTGCCTGTGTTGCTACAAAAAGACCATTTTTGGCAGAGAAGTTCAGTTCCTGTTCTTTTCCTGTTTTTGAAATGGCTGCACAAAGAAAACTGGAACTCTTAAGAGTCTCCTGCAAAGCTGAATGAGTGGGTGACCCAGATGCCTGCACGTCTACAGGCACAATACTTTATGTTTACACAGTATTTAGAGGTTTGTTACACTTCACAGGGGACAAAAGAAGAACAGGTGAGAACAGATATAGTACAAAACAAGTCCACAATGGCTGTATAGACTCGTTCACACACCTCCTTCTTCTTGTAGTTTTCTTCCCAAGTCTGCTTTTCGATGTTAAGACGTTCTTGTAGTGCCTTCATCTCCACCTAATCACACAAATGAGACACAACGTGAGCTCCAGTTCTGTTTTGGAGTCCATCCGAAGCTGCTCTGCTGTGTTCACACTCATCACCTGGTGTCTCCTCTCCTGCTCCTCTCGGGTTTTGTCCAGCTCTTCTCTGAGAGCTCGTCCGGCCAGAGAGCTGTTCTCCTCCAGCTGCCGCCGCAGATCCTCCAGCTCACCGCGTTGCCTGCGACACAAACACAACAATCACCTGTAAAAATGCTGTTGATTTATCGTTGAGGATTTTTAGGCAACACTAAAGCTATTCTTGGAAATGCATCCTACACTCAGTAACATCAATGTGGGATCGAATTTAAGCAAATGACAGGCTGCTGTTATTAAGACGTCAAAGTATCTTGTGTTCCTGTCAACAGCGTTCATCCAAATGCACACACAGTTTAGTTTCCACTGTCTCAGACTGTTTTTGTTGCTTTAAACGACACTCAACAGTCACTTGAGCAGCTGTAATAACATCTGAGCAAAAACATCTCTAAGGGATCCATGTATTTTATATTCCCAACAAGACAGACAGATTTCCAAGAACAAACACTCTTGTACACATTTTAACATTTGCTAGTCTCTAAATCTGTTTTAAACATCTAAAAACCACCAAGCTTTTTGAACTTCATTTTATTTGTTTAAATAGTGCAATTTCGATAAAGTTTGATTAATTGGTTGATTGCACACAGGAACAACCGGAACATCTGAGGAGCTTCGTTTACTGTACTTCTCTAAGCTGCGTCACTGAACTAAAAACAAACCACAACACTGGACTGAACACCTGCAGGGTTTTTCCACTGATTCAGCCTCTTATTCGGAGCACTATCGTGGACTACTGGAATATCCTGTTATCACGGTGTCCGATGTCTCCCTGAGCTCACCTTGCGGCCAGCTGAGCCATCCTCTCCTTCTCGTCGGCCACCTCCTTGTAGAGACGTCTCCTCTGCTGCTGCAGTGACAATTCCTCCTCCTGAAGCTGCTTCTCATATCTGACAGACACAAACACAACTGAGTGTGACAGTACACAGGCAGCCACCGGTCACATGAACAGTATTTACTACACACTGACGGAGTGAGCAAACAAGTGTCTCATTAAGCTGCTGCGAGCATCTGTTAGACTCATTAATTCTAACAGTGTGTCGCTGCAAACGGAGCCAGACCATTCCTCAAACCAGAAGCTTTCTCGGTCTCTCTTTGCAGGAAAGGCACCATGAATTCAACACTTCCACAAACAGCCACAAAGAAACTGCTGAATAAACTGCAACGACTGAAACCACCTTCATGGTTTTAATGCATGAAATTCACCACAGGCATCTGAGTTCTTTACTCCTGTTCAGTTTTTTGTTTTTCTGACTGGAAAACGTGAGTCTGGCTGCTGCGAGCTGGCATTCGAGCTGCAACCATTTATCTTAATCTATACTATTGTGTGTTGCATTTATATAACGTTGTCATGTATTTGATGAATCTGCAACTATTTTGATAATTAATTTTGAATTGGTTTGAGTAACTTTTGAATTGAACTTTTCTAACGTGTGAATATTTACCCTGTGACACAGTAGATCCATATTAGCCGGAGAAACTTGGTGTGACATGAAAATCTTTCAAGTTTATTGGATTTTACATTTTATTTTGTGGGATGTGCCTAATAAAGGTTTGCCAACACTTTCAAACACACACAAAAAACTCAAAAGGAAGAAATCATGACTTACTCCAACTGATTAAACAAATATCAGAATAACTGCTGATTAATTTACAAGCTGACAAATAACTGAGATAGTCATGACTCTTGTTTGCAAACGTATTGATCCATTTGAGAAGTTTTTTAAGAAAACAGTCTAAATTCTGTGAAATGTGAATATCTTATGGTTTCATCCTCTATGACAGCAAACTGAGTATCTTTGGGTTGTGGATAAAACAGGACATTTGTTATCTCTGGCTTTGGGACAAAAGTTATCCACATTTTTCACCATTTTCTGATATTTCATAGTTGAAACAACTAATCGATTGTGTCTGTGAACATTCTCAGTCATCCAGGTCATGGATATTCTGGTAGATGAACCATAGTAACTGCACTACAGTTACCTGTTTACAGTTCAGTCCTAAAAACTCTCCCCAGGATGATGAAACCACATCCACACCTAGCCACAAAAGACCTTAACAAAGCCCTTTGTGGCAGGAGGGAGCGCTAACGACTCACATAACAAGGGGCAGGACCGACAAACCCCCAATTAAAACCAAAACTCAAGTGTTAATTGCTCCTTAAGGATATCAGTATGTGGAACTTCCAACGAGTCAGTCTGACCTGATGAAGCCTCTTGGATCAGAAGTGGAACGTCTTCAAGGAACTCAAGCAAGTCCAGTTGCTACGATTAAACTACCAGAACAACTAATCCATTAATCAAGGAAATAACCGACAGATTATTAAACAATGACAATAATAATTCGGATGCAGCTCTACGTGACATTTGCTGCACTTCACAAAATATACACTTATCACAGAATGTCAGGTCAGGATACATATTAGGTGTAGTACAGGTGCAGGGCACTGAACATTGTCAGGGACTCCTCACACCCTCTCCATAAACTGTGTGAACTGCTGATCCAGATATGCAAACACTTCTTTTAAAATTGTTTTAAGTCACTGGATCCTGAAGAAATGCTCTCTCTCTCTCTCTCTCTCTCTCTCTCATCTTGCCTGTACTACTGTGTATGTACAGCAAAATGACAATAAACTTGATTTGATATGCGGTGTACATGTTTCTGTGCAGAGGGACTGTTGCATTAGAGGGACATGGTACCTCTGTTTGGCCAGATCTCTCTCTCTCTGGCACTGCTCCTCCTTCTCCTTCTCCAGCTGCTGCCGGAGCTCCTCACACTGCCGGACGTAGCGCTGGGCGGCCCGGTCGTCTGCCTGCAGCAGCTCCGCCTCGTGAAGCGTTCGCAGCTTCTTCAGTTCTTGTTTGTGCTTCGATATCAGCTTCTGAATCTCTGGCTCCAGACCTGAAGGAGAGGGGGGGGGAACAAAGACCAAGGTTCATGCTCTGTGGCTGGTCAGGGCCTGCACAATGTTTACGGCTCACGAGAAACTATTTGCTGGCAGAAAAACGACTATGATTCATGTTTTCTTTACCATTCTGGACATTCTTGACTTAAACTCCAGATAGGCAGCTCTATTTTCAGCCCACATATACTGGTGAAAACACGAGGAAGTAAACCAGAGAAGTGATTAAAAAAAACACAGCTTCTGCCTCTGTGACTGTACGAACACCTCATCAGTACTGGCTGACAGCTGCTAGAACCAGCTCATCACAATAAATACTGGAACAACAATATAGAACAGCACCTCTTTGTCTACTTTGACCTTATGCAAACCTCAAAAACTATTTAGTACATCTGCTGAGATAACATTACTTGGTTCATTGTACAAGTCCAGTGTCCATAAAAGAAACACTTTGCTGCATATAATAGAAACCGATGGATCTTTGAGGTTGTTGCCATGTTAAGCTGCCGGAAAGTCAAAGGACGCACCAGGTCATTACGAGCACTGAAAAGAAGCTTCAGCTGAATCATCCAAATACATGTTGTCGATTTCACTAAACAGTCAGCACAGGGCTCAAGCTACTGCGTTTACCACAGTGGTGAAAAGTGGTGCTTTTGTAACTCCAGTGACTCTGTCAGTCTAAAACAAGCCGTTTAGTTCCTGTGTGTTAAAAACATAAAGTGATCTGTGGCTGATTATTTAAGAAGAAAATGAGGAACGAGGAGGCAGACAGAGAAAGATCTGACTCAGACACCTGATGGTCAGATGCAGGCAGGAACATACAGACTGAACTGGTGACGGAAAAAAGCGATGGCTAGCGCCGTAGTGGTAATGATTTTAGCTTCGTTACATGAGCACGATCGACTGTAGTATTTATAAATGCTCTTCTCGTGAAATGTGCTGTTTTCTATGAGCGGAGAAAATGGCACGTGTAGAACTAAATTATTTGGTGTCATCTTGGACAAATCTGACATTAGAACGCCCTTTTCGGTTATTCCTCTTAAAGTAGCTTGTGGCCACACACCTGTCTGAGGGTGCTGCAGCTACCTAACAGCATCTACGGCAGCCTGTACTGTGAGGCGTTTGGGGAACGTCTGTAAATTAAGTGTCCATTTATAAGCAGATGTTGGAGAAGTGAGGTGTTTGTCTGTGCCAGGGTGGGAGGTTTCTTTCTTATTTGGTCGCACCAGTAAAAAAAGTTGGTCTGGAGCCCTGCAGCAGCTGATGTTTTGTTGTCTAACAAAGTCTTCGGCGCAACCCGTTTCTGCCAAGCATATTAAAAAGGGTTAAACCATAACGAGGAGAAGTCAATAATGTCAGGCTGCAATGAACTACTGGTTTCATGACCCAGTGATCATTTGGCCACAACACAACATGTCTTAATTTGTCAAACTAATAGTCTAAACCCACAAAACATTACATTTACAGTAAAGTGAGACCAGAAAAAATAAGAAATTTACATATTTAGGAGGCCGAAATAGTGTTGTTTTGTTAACTTGATTCTCTAAACCCACAAAAACGACTTTGAAAGGCATGTGTTCTCCTCAAAAAAATGTTAAACTCACCAATATTACAACATTTACCAGAGTAGGTAAATGTATAAACAGAAAGAATAGTTGGATTTTCAAATTCCCAATGGTCTGTGAATGTATCATGTGTGACATGCGGTTCTGTAAGGAAAAAGTTGTGTGAAAAACCCTGAGTTTCTTAAGGTTTTAAAACCATAAATAGCAAAAATATCTATAGTATGTACAGCATTTTTCCAGTTTTATCAACACCTGTGGTCATCTGGAAAAATGTACATGTTGATACCAGTTTGCAGAATTATAATAAAATAAATAATCAAAAAATCTCCTTTCTGTGTCACACTGCACTGAAGACATGTCTGAGTTCTCTCTCCCTCTTTATCGTTGTTCTGTTCCCATAGAGGTGCAGGAAACTTAGAAACTGTAGTTTGGCTACAAAGGTGTTTGCTTACTGAAATATTTGCAGAGAACTTTAATCTGTCAACTGACACTTGCAGTTACACATCAGTAACATGGAAGTGACATTATGCGCAACACCCAGACATGATGAGAACAAAAGCGTCCTTGATGAGACAAGACAGGGAATGTCACCCTTAAGCAGGGAGTGTTGCTCACCCTGCCCTTATTTGCTTTATCAGAACTTGAGCAAATATATATCAGATTTCCACACAACGCTGACACTGTATACACTACCTTTGACTGTGATCTCTTTGATTTTCTTGGTTTTCTCATCAATCCATTTCTCCCGGCGGATCTTCTCTGTGGCGCTCATAAGGTCTTTTAACTTCTTGATCTCCTGCGGAGGGAGTCGAGAGGAAAAAGGGTGAATCATGGTGTCGCACTGAAGTGACATTAAAGTGATGAGGACCTTTTTTACAGCAGCAGTACAGCATTTGTCTTATTAGACACAAAGGAGCTACTTTTAGGTCACTTTTCACGAAAACTGGATAAATGTATGAGCGACACAATTAACCTAATAGCATAAAGCTTCATATCTAAATGTAAAAATAAATGAAAAAAGACTGAAGAGACTCACATGCAGACAGACTGTCCAAGAGAAGTGGTGAGGGACAGACAAATGAAATGAAAAATGATTGGTAGAATGAGGGAGATGATTGCGCCAAAGTTGACCGAGTTAGAGGAGGGAAAAAAAAGTTACCTCGCACAAGGGACCGAGAATTTGCCACACCTGAAAGCGGGAAAAAATAGATATGAAGACCAAGATGGAGAGTGGAGAGATAAGGGAGGGGGGAAAGAGAGAAAAGAAAGTTAAACAAAAGCAGCACTGCAAGAAAAGCCAGATACAGTCAGACCAGATGCAAAGCAGAGGCAGAGAAGTGGGAGTTCTCAGAAGTGTACGTTTCTCTGAGCCGTCTCACCATTTCATGTTGCTCCTGCATTTGTGCAATCTTCTTGGTGTACTTCTGGTCCACCTGCTTCAGCTCTCCGACCACTCCTTCGCAGCGCTCGCTCAGGGCCTTTTTATCGTTGATGAGCTGAAGATGGAACATATATTAGGCCAGAGAAAGAAAGACAGAACATATTTTACATCAGAGAAGAAGAAACTTAGCATATATTAGTCCAGAGAGAGAGACGGAACATCTTTTTTAGCGATGGCACATATTTTATTTATTTGTTGAATTTGTTTCCTATTTCGACATTTGTCTTGTTGTACAGTTTTCACAAAGCGCTATACAAACACAGCCCTTACTATAAGTATTACTAGTCTTGAATATGAGAGATTTAGAAAGAACCCATTAATCTCCACTGAAGACTTTTACCCCTTTTCCACCAAGAAGCACCAGGTGCTAGTTCCGTGCTGGAGCTAGGGCCAGTGCTTCATTGGTTCCAATCTAAGAACCTATTTGCTTTTCCATTGGCAAGGAGCCAAGTTAGAGCCACGCCATACGTCACTGCATACGTAGCCGTTTACCAAAGAATGCTTGTGCCACACGGAAGTTCACACAGGACTCCAGATTAACTTTATCACTAGTGTGAGCAACTTTCTCATTTGTTTCCACTTCCCACCTTGTCACAGGCAAAACACATGACTTGCTGAACATTTTCTTATCGACAGACGCTACAATATACTCATGTTCCCCGAACGCCCCACATAGCAGGCTGCAGCAGCTGCTGTTGGTGGCTGTGGTGATCAGACAGGTGTGCGCCCAAAAATGACTTTGAAAAGAGTAAACCGGGCGTTCTAATGTCAGACTTGTCCAAGACAAAAGCGGCTGATTTTTTTCTCATGCGGTCTTTTCTATGAGCGGAGTCAACAGCGCACATAGGTGAGCTCCATTTTTCATGAGAAGACCGCATTTCTAAGCGGAAATACTGCAGTACACCGAAGTTATAAGAGTCCTGCTTTCCACCACTATGGTGCTGCTGGTTGGACACAGTGTGTGCAAAACTTCTGTGTGTCCCTGGACTCATTCCAGTACATCTGTGATCGGACCAGGGACATCGTGGTGAAAAACGACACAAATCACTGCTTGTGTGTCACATTCAGTCATCTGTCTCGGTGGTCACGATAACTCGGCCCCCAGCCCCTGACATACTCGGTGCTTAGCTCTGGCCCAGCAAAGAGTTGGTGCTTGCTAAGCACCAGTTTTGGGAGCCTGGAGCCGGTGCTTAGGCGGTGGAAACACAAAGAACGGGTGCTAAGTCAGGCACTAGCACGGAACTAGCACTGGAACCGGTTTGGTGGAAAAGGGTTATTTGTCATGGTGGTCAGTTGCAAGCTAATCCCCCACAATGCTTCTGCTTCCCAACACACCTCCTCAGGTGGCTACAGCATTAAACACAAACTAGCTGCAGTCTACCATCTCATTAAGCAGTAAGGGGCTCCATCTGGTGGTGCAGCCAGGTACTACAGCTGATCGACAACACATTTTCTGACATCATGTGCCTCACCCTCTGCCTTATCGGTAATATTTTCTAATCAGATAAAACATTATTAGCATTCCTAATGTGTACCTGATCGATAAAGGTGAGGTGTCTCTGGATGGTGGCTTCATACTGTTCCTTCTGGAGCTGGAAGTTCCTGCTCAGCTCCTTCTCGGTCTCCTTCACATGTCTCACTGTCAGCTCCCTCTGCTGGGCCTGATGGACAGACAAACAGAGCTGTAAGTAATCTGCAGCATCTAACAGGGTTACAAACAGCGACATATGCGTGTGTCTTCTCCCACCAGCGCCGTCTGCAGCATGTTGACGGTGCGTTTTTTCTCCTCCAGCTCCATTTTGATTCTCATCATGGAGCCGGTGACTTCGGCGGCGGTGGCAGACGCCTGTTCGACGCCGACCAGCTCCTCCTCGGACAGCACGGCCTGAAAACAAACAGGAATCATGAATTAACCTGTCAGCGTGTCACCTTTCTGCATTGTGGCAATAATCTGGAAACTCGACAGCAACAATAGGACTCACATGGGCTACATCCACTCTCATACGCATTCATTTTAACCTCTGCTATGTTGGCCTAGTGCCACAAAACTGCAAAGATTTAGGACCCTAAAACAGAAACTTTTGGAAATGCTGTCGAAACTATTAAAGATTAAAGGTGTGGCTGACCTAGAAGCTGTTATGCAGTTAAGGAAATGTCTGGTCTTGCTTTTCAACATTGCTGTTCTTCCGCTCTAGTCTTTTCTGGAACTCAGCAAATTTCTGGTTTAGCTAAATGATCCACACAATCACAATATTTACTCCACTATCTGAATTAAAAGAAAAGACAGCTGGTTGTCTTGACCTAATAAAAACAAGTGTTATTTGGCACATGAAAGTCCAGCTACATGATAAACCCTCCAGCATCTGACCTCTCTGTGCGATCCTGAGGTGACCGAGCGTGGTCTCTCCTGCTCAGACTTCTCCATCTCATCCAGGAAGCTCATGATGCTCTGCAGCTTGGCCTCGGAAAGCAGAGCGCCCCCGTCTGGCAGCGCCGGATGGTGGCTCAGCTGGCCGTGACGCTCCAGGTTGTCGGTGGTCAGAGAGTTGGAGTCCCCGTCCTTTAATGAGACCAAAGTACAGTCATGACCGCTTCTTTCTGAATACTTACAAAGGTTGCACAACTAAGAAATGAATCCTGACCTCGTCTATCCAGGAATATTTCTCTTTGCGGTAGCACTTTGGCTCCGACAGCCTCTCTGGCTCCTCCTCCAGCAGCTTCAGGGTGTCCAGCAGCTCGTTCAGGGTGGTTTTGGACTGAGCCCTGCTGGACAGAGCTCCCTGCCGCTGGTCCTCCACACTCACTGACCTCTGCAGGATCTCCTGGAGCACAGAGGTGACAAACATGCTTGAAGTTTGACCACACACAAGAATAATTACAAACAATTTCTGATGAGTAATTCTGAATGAGTGCAGCTACTCACCTGGGAACACTGCGAGCCTCTGCGATTGGACAAAGCTGGAGAAACAGCTCTGAAGCTCAGCTCACCTAAATCAGCCACGACATTCAAATTGGAGTCTGTGGAAACACATGCTCACGTTATAAACATGACACAGCGGCCATAAGTTGACGTGAAGATGGTTTTGGTGTTCAATAAGGCAGCACAGTAGGAGCAAGCTTCTACGACAGACACACAGGACAGACCTGTGTTCTTAGTTTTGGTGTCTGTCGGTGACATCAGGCTGTTGTTGCTCAGTGAGGCTGGACTTTTGTTGGTCTGGGGAATCCTGAGGGGCTTCTTACGTCCCACCACAGCAGCTGGCCTCAGGTTTTCCAGGTCCACCTCCGCTGCATGATGCACCTCTGCAGCCCGGGTTGCTCTTTTCTGCTGCAGCCCCTGCAACACCACACCACCAGAGGGAGACAAAAGACAGGGAATACCATTATTTAAAACTCAGAAACACTGTTTAAAGGCTAAACAAACGGTACGTACATCGGATGAGTTGACCTGGGCGGCAGCGAGGCGGGCCAGACGAGCTTTCTCTTTACGGATCAGTTTCCTGTCACTTTCCTGATGCTGCTGCTCCAGAGAAACGTCCTCATCTGCTCTACCCTCCTGCTCCTACAAGGGAAAAGCAAAAAAAGAGCTTTATAACTGCCAGGAAATAAGCCTGAAGAGCAAAGCTGTGACAACTAAAGGTGAAGAGTTATTTACCTGTGAACACTGAGAGCCCCTGTGGCTGGAAAAAGCTGGAGAAATGGCTTGGAAGCTCAGCTCACCTACGTCAGCCACAATATTCAAATTGGAGTCTGTGGAAACACATAATTAATCAACACACCTATTAGAATCAGGCTATATAATCCATGTGTGATTTAATGCTCTACTGGCAACCATAAGAGGATATAAAATGCTACATGACGTTGTGATGAAGCCTATATGAGTAGACAGTGATTCATACAAACCTTTTCTAGATAACTTTCGATGTCATATTTTTATGCACAAATTCGATTTTCTTTTTTTTTTAATCGTTGATTGATCTGTCTAACATTTTTTCAATTAATTGATGAGTTGTTTGGCCAATAAAATTTAGGAAAATGGTGAAAAATGTCGACCAGTGTTTCCCACAGCCAAAGATCTTCAGTTTACTGTCACAGAGGAAGAAGGAAACCAAAAAAATATTTGCAAGAAGCTGCAAAAACATAATTTAGGCTTACTTAAAAAAACGTTTGATGGATTATCAAAACAGTTGGTGATACAGTGGTGAACAGTTGGTTAAAACAGCACAGCACGGACCTGTGTTCTTAGTTTTGATGTCTGCCGGAGACATTGGGCTGTTGTTGCTCGGTGAGGCCGGACTTTTGTTGGTCACAGAAATCTTGGGCGGCTTCTTTCGTCCCACCACACCAGCCTGCCTGAGGCTTTCCAGCTCCACCTCAGCTGCATGATGCACCTCTGCAGCCCGCTGTGCTCTTTTCTGCTGCAGCTCCTGCAACAAACCATCAGAGGGAGACCAAGGTTATATATCACTACAAACAAGGAAAGGCATCCGCAGTCCTTATCCAAATGTTAACACGTTATAATTTGTTGTTGTTGATGAAACTATGCTCCATCTCTTGGGGTCATAGAGTTTACATGACAGTTCACCATTTAACAAAGTAGATTTGAATCCAAAAAACCTCAAAAACCTGGAGTTAATCAGTGTTTCAGCTTCAGAAGAGTTTCGAGTGGCCTGGCTCTGCTCATCTTTTCATATCAGTCCAAAAACGATTTGTCAGAGAGCCACTGAACTTGCTATAAGAAAGCCTGTGCTACAGACTGGGCACATGATTACAAAGATGTGGGTTGAAAAGAAGAGTTGCATTCTGGGAGGGGTTGGATTCGGTGTCACACATATTAGAGACGAACAGTGAAGCTATTTGAGAACCTGTTTTGACCATTTTTATCAATATGTGCCCTTGTAAGTCTCCAAACTTTATGGAATTAGAGTTGGGCACCTGGATGGCAGCGAGGCGGGCCAGTCGAGCTTTCTCCTCACGAATCCGTTTTCTGTCTTCGTCTTTCTTCTGCTGCTGCTCCAGGCGACTGTCCTCCTCTGTTCTCTCCTCCCACTCCTACCAAAGGAAAAACACAGACAGCGTTGGTGCAGTAGAAAGATGAAACTGGTTAAGACAATGGAGAATAAAAGGGAACCAGTAAGGCAGCCTGGAGGCAGACAGATACCTTTCTTTTACTGGCAAGGATGCGTTTAAGCACTGTCTGGTTCGTGTGCTGTCTCTTGGCATGGCGTCTGTACCAGCGCTGAATAGTGACTGCTGCCTGGTTCACCTGCTGAATGAACCTTCAGAGACACAAGAGGACGGCTGTGAGCCACAGAACACAACAGCAACAACAGCAGAACTGTGGAAACACTGTTCGGCATGTCTGACCTTTCAGCCTCCTCCTCCGTGACCTCCCTCCTCCGAGGCAGGACTGGACTTCCGCGCTGAGCCGACACTGGAGACTTGTTGTTGGAGGTGGAGGACGCTGAGGAGAAATTCTTCTGGGATTTGGTGAGGGAACCATTTTCCAGCGACACCTCGTCATTGGCTGTGGCCTTCAGGATGTTACTGAGAGACAAATATCATAAGAAAATCAGAGAAACCTAATGCATGGTCCTGAAACATCAGAAGTTGATTGAGATGGTTGTTTTGTTGATGTACATTTAAAAAAAAAACAAAAAAACCTTTGAAACCCTCTTAACCCCAAAACCAAAAAAAAAAAAAAAAAACCTTTGAAACCCTCTTAACCCCAAAACCCAGCTGTCGATTTAAATGCATGCTACTTTTTAAAAATCATCAAAATGACACCGTTTATCGGAGCCAGAATATGTAAAACAGAAATGAGCAGATTTTCAACTTTGTGCGATTAAACAGTTATCATGCAGTTTTCTCTGGAAAATGATTCAAATCTAAGCTTCATTAATCACTTCATTTTACGTGTCACATTTTAAAATTCCCCACAAAAAAACAAAAAAAACATTTGCACCAGATTCTGTAAAAACAAAAAACAAAGATTCTGAGCTCCTGAGCACAACTGAGACACCGTGACTGACTCAGTTGTGTCAATAGTAAAACATTCAGGGACTTTTTAGTTGAACTGCAGGCAGTGTTTCCACAGAGCAGAGAGGAGACGACAGAGAGACCGAGAGCAAAATAAAACACACTGGATCAATGAAATAAATGCAGCATGACTCAGACACACAGAGACGCAAGTTGTTGAAGGATCCATCCAGCATGGTGGAACATCTTTCTACAGTTAATGTGCAGAGTTTGTAGAGGTTGTAAATAGTAACATATTTGTAGTTTTTTTTCTCCCATCCTGTGCATGTTAATTCCATTTTTTTCTTCTGCAAAACAAATAATTGAAGAAATTCAGGATTCATTTGTCTTTTTTTTTCCGATTTATGGCACTGCAAACTGAGTCGCCCTGCACAGGAGACATTCCTGAGTTCTCTTTCCTTCTTCATGGTTGTGCTGTTTCCACAGGCGTGCGGGAGTTTGCATCGTAGTAAAAAAAAAAAAAAATAAAATAGCCCACAGCGAGTAAAAATGTGGCTGGGGTCCAGAGGGTTAACGGAATATGCTGATATCCTGATATTGAGTATAGGTTTGTACCTGTACCGATATAAATAATAAGCAGGACTGGTCCCTGACTCCATGCCAAGAAGAGATTGTGATCATTTCAGGACATACTTGAAGGACGGCTTCTGGTTGGAGCTCTTCGGTGTGAGCGGCTTCTCAGAATAGTTGTTGTGTAAGATGGTGGTGACAGAGTTCCCCACAGCTCCCTTGTTGCTCCTAAGAAAAAGAAAGGGGAACAATGAGACTCTCCAGTGGGCAGATATGAATCATAAACTGGGCTAAACTCAAGTGTCTGTGTGAAGCACTGACAATGTCACTGCTACTTTTCTTCCACTTCAGCTCCTCCGGCAGTCACAGTAACCGACACTGAACATGCTTTGACACAGATTCTTACCATGTTACAATCTCAGCTCACACAGATTTTTCTGACTATTTCCATGGAGGAGAAACTCTTGAAACTCTGTGTGGGTGGAAATTCCTGCAGCTATTATCAGCTGCTGTGATCAACAGGTATGAAACATGAGGAGCAGCTGGAAATCCAGAATGCAGCAGTGCAAGCAGACACCTGGACTATTGTGTGTTTGTGTGTGGACGTGAGAGACGCTGCCCACCTGTTGTTGGCGGTGAAGGTGGCAGCCAGAGCGATGCCAGGCTCTCTTTTCTTCAGGCCGGTGGGAGAGTCCACGCTACCGGTGCTGCGGGAGCTCGAGTGCAGGGGGAAGGCTCTGGGCTGGTCGTCCTGAAAACAGGGAAAACAAACACTTATACTCATGTAAACACCCTGAAACTAACATCTTTTATCATATTAATGTTTGGAAAGGAGGAAACACAGTTGGTAAACATGGTGAAATTCTCCATCTTTATTTCTGAAATTGGCCGCACACTTCAGCCACTTAGCATCCGACAAAATTCTCATTGATTGACAATCTCTGGTGTTGCTTCCATAAAAGCGGAATAGGGCAGGATTTGTGCTTTCACTGTGTAAAATAATCACCTATAGACTGTTTCATCATTGGAACACAGGAACAGCGAAATGGACGGTTTCACGTGGCAGGCAAGGAGAGAGCGACTGCACCATTGGGGAGGACAAAGTACTGCTTTCTAACATAATAGCTCACACAGTAACTACCCGTGTTGGCTGGAGGGGCATCAAAACAGCCTAATGATCATCAAGGACCCGCACACATACCATCTGAATTTGCAAACACTCAAAAAATGATGACAGTGAGGAGCCCTGTGAGGAAAACAGCAACAGACTTCCAGTATTATGCCATTATTTTCAGCAGTGGGAGGAACAGGCTACCTCTGAACACCCCCGCGTTTTCACAACTTTGGTGCAACCTCCCGAGAACCACTAGATCTAACTTATTTAACTAACCATTTACTCAGAATCGTCTCTAAAACTAACTGACACCATGCGAAAGAAGTTGTCAGTGTGGCAGCACTTTGCCCTAAAAGTTGTGTTTAAACTTTGCCAACAGCAGTTTGTGCATCACAACAACCAACATGTCAGATCCTATAAAAAAACAGCTGCCGACTGTTCTGTGTTATATTCCTGAACACTTCTTGTGCTGGAATCATCACTTGATATGGTGCTATTTTCAGAAATCATATGAATATGTGCAGTTGTTCGCTCCCAATCTGATTACCATAAAACAACCAGGCTGAAATGATTTAATACGCTGCGAACAGTAGGGTTGGACCTGAACAGCCGAATAGCTGACTATTCGTTTGCTGTGCTGGAATCAGGTTATCAATTTTGATCTCAGAATATTTTTTTCCCCATAGTCGATCAGAACGAGCAAGTTTGACTTCAGATTTTCTTTGGTTGACTACAACGCTATTGGGACGTATATTAAAATAGATATCAGAGTAAATACCAGGATGTTCCATGTGGTTCTGTCCGGTGAGGTCTTGCTGAGGCTCGCCAGCTTCTTGCGTCCATCGGAGCTGCTGTCAAACAGGGCCAAGTAGTCCTCGCTCTGGTCCTGACTGGAGAACACACAAACCAGCACCAAGACAGTCATCTCAAATCCAAACTGTCTGCACAGGAGTGTGAGAAAACTTTTTTTTTTTCTTTTCAATTTGTTCAAACTCGCTCTTTAACGTGAGAGCTGTAAGCCGTGAAAGCTATTTTAAATCTGTTATTAAATGTGGGCGAAGGCAGTTTGTGGGTTCAATTTTCACACAACAAGGGGCTTAGCAGCGCACGACACACAAGTAAAAAACTAGACACAAAAGCAGAACCTCGCGTCGTGGCTTTTAGTGGCAGCTTTTGTGATTAAATGTTGTAATGACAGCTGCAGAGACTGGTCCCCTCCTCTCACACCCCCAAGCTCTGGAATCCAGCAGCTGACTCTCTGCGAAGGGGAACTCCGTTATGGATTCCATGTAAATGCATGCATATGTTGATCCCGGCGGCCAGTCGCTGGGCCTCCAAATAGCCCTTCGCTCCATCGTGAGCACAGATGTAGGGTGACCTCCTGTCTGGTTGGGCCTCTGCTGGTATCTGTGGAGGGTGTTTCTGTCTGTGTAAGTATATAAATGAACGTGTGTGTCTTCAGAGGAGGGGGGAGTGAAGCCAGCTGGCTCAATGAAAAGCAATCTGACAACACTATTCAGGCAGCACATTCCTCCACTTTATGCCTTACAAGTGAGTGATGCTCAGACGGGAGGAAGCAGTGGAGAGGGAGAGGGGTGGTGAGTGACCTGATGACAGGCCTAAAAGACTGCAGGGGACTTAGAGGGGGCACTGGGGGTATTTAGAGTGTCTTTAAATTTAAAGCCCCTCAGCTCTGCATCCTCAGGAGGCAGAGGGAGGAGGAGGGACGGTGGCAGCTGCCGGACAATAGAACCAGAGCTCGCACACACACTTCTCCTTTCACTGGCTCCTGGTGCAGGGGGTAACCTGACCCGAAAGGTCCCGGCCCTCCCCCTCCGGCATGGGACAAAGCGAGTCCCTGCACCCCGCGACCCCAGCAACAGCCACCCGGCTTCCCTCCACTCTTTATCATGCAGGAGCCGGCACGCCACAATTCCCATTGTCCGAGCCGGCGAAGCTTCAGGGCTGCCAGCTGTTGCTCGCTTAAAGAGAGGCGCTCTGGTTTAAAGAGTCTGAGCTGCAGGGATAGTTTCTGGTAACACAAGTGCCGCTTCATTATCTGAAACAAACGCATTCTTTTCTGTCATTTCCAAAAACACGTCCTTCATATCTCAGGAGCGTGTGCGTTACTGTAAAGGTCACTTAATGATCTAATTGAGAACCAAAGAGCAAGTCCTGCCTGAGGCTTTGCAGGGTTCATGTATCAGCACATACTGTTCTGTATACACGTTAGCGCGTCAATGTCAGCGATAAGAAAATGAGGAAAAATAGGTTCGAGCCAGAGAATTAAACCAAAGTACTGTACAGTTAAAGCAGTAAAACACAATGACTAAAAGACAAATCGAATTAAACAATAAGACGACTACAAGATAAGAGATGAAGACAAGGGTGTGAAGCTGAATCAAATGACAAAAAGAAGCAGCAGTAATTAGTAAAACTTTCTGAAGTCTTAATTGTCTCTATTTTTGAGCTGGATCTCAGAACATCCAGGAGCATCTGATTGGTCGACCTCAGTGTCCTAACTGGGTGTGATGGTGTAACTCATTTAAAAACTTTAAAAACAAAGAAAATCTGAAAATCAATCCTGGAATGGTCGAGAAGACAGTGGAGGGAGGTAAGCACTGGTGCTAGCTGGTGAAGTTTTCCTTTTCGTGCAAACAGAGAGGCACCTGTATTTTAAAGAATCACAATAGTCTAACCACGTGGTGATAAAAGCATGAACAACTTCTTCAGATCTTTGGGTGGAAGATAAGGCTTTATGTTAGCTAAAAGTCTTAACTAAAAAAAAAAAAAGCAGTTTTTGACCTGAACTCATCTGTCTGCTGAATCTGAAGGAGCAGACAGATTCTAACTTCTAATTCTGAAATATCTGTAAACATAAAAACTGTGATTGGCTCAACAGGTGTGTATAAAAGTGTGTGTTGTCACCTTAAACTGATGTTGGCCTGCTGGTTAACCTGAGTGGTGCTGTTGGAGCGCCTCAGGTTCTTGATGGAGCGGGAGCTACCGAAGCTGGCGTCGCCCTGTGGATTTAAATTTAAATATAAATGAATTAGAAGTTAAGTTTGGGAACATTACGCAGCCGGTTTTGTGGAGAATTCTGAAACAAGCAACCAAGAGGACAATGCTGATTGTCTCATTCAATCATCTTGATCTGATTATCCTATAAATTATCAGCAGCTGCGAACGGTTACTCACCAAAGTGTTGCGTTTTCCTCTGCTGTCACTCGCCACGGAGACCGACACAGACCGAGAGAAGTACTTCCCTGGCGAGGCGCTGCTCGGCCGTTTGGACATGGAAAGCTGGGAGCCTGATAAGCTGAGGTCCAGGGCATCTCCTGACACACCTGTGGGGATGGATGAAGGGCTGCGTGTCGTATGCATCCTTTGAAAACCTGGAAAAGAGTAAATTAGATATTAGACACAGCAAGCCACAAATGCTACTTCCCTGGAGACTCAGTCAGCACAACCACAACAACAGAGGAAGTAACACTTTCCCCTGACTGTTTTGTCTCCCACGGTAACCAACAACAAAACCAGTCACTATTTTTACAGCAGCTGGGAAAGTCTGACAACGCTGAGAGAGATGTACAAACGGACTACAACTATGTGTTTATCGTGTTAGCCATAAATCGAGCGAGTTACAGCACACAACTGATATGAGTAAATTCCTGTGCGATATCAATGAAATGTCAACTGATTAAAAATTGTAAAACCTCTGAGTAATTGCAAAATTTCTGAGTAGAACAGTAGAGTATTTCATCTCATGAACAATCAAAAACAAATACTTCAGAAGACTACATTAAAAATTAAAAATTCAGGCTCCAAAGTAAAAACTCTGAGTACATCTGTGATTTCCAAACAGCCTGACTGCATGAACGTGGTTCTAACATGAGCTGTGAACATCAGAACTTTCTCAGTTTTGGATCCATGTGCTGTGTGTAGCTGCATGTTGGCATTATGGCTCCACGTGGAAAAGAATTGCCAGAAATATGATCGTGAAACCTTGCAAAAACATGCAAAAGGATACAGGAAGATTAGTGAGCAACTAAAAATCACCGGAAACACAGTTGTAGCCATGATCAGGAGGTACAGAAGGAGTCACAGTACCACTAATCAGGGCTGCAGTGGTCGTCCTCCTAAAACGACTCCACAGACAGTGATTTACTTTCACAATCTATCTGTGATAAACAGCTGGCAGCTGCTTTACACTTGGCACTGGAGTTATAAATGGAAATCTGAGTTTCTGTAACATGGGTGGAGGACAAGAATAGACCTTGGCACAAAACTTCCAGATGAAACTTTGCTAAAACCAAACAAAACAAAAAAAAACATTAAAAGAAGTCTGATTAATATTGGGGGCGCACTGTTAGGTCAGATGAGACCAAGATACATTTCCTAGGCTCAGATGGAGTCCAGCAGGTTTGATGTGAACCTGCCCAGGACAACCACAGTGAATGCATAGTGAAACACGGCGATGGGAGTGTGGTGATATGGAGCTACATGAGTGCAAAAGGTGTTGGGAAGATGACATTTATAGATGCACCATGAATGGACAAGATAACTCCCAGCCTGTAGAAGCTTGGCACAGGAGGAATATTGTAGCATGACAACCATCCAAAGCACACTGCCAAAATTGCACTTGAGTTTTAAAAGAAGAAAAACTAAAACCTGGCCAAGTATGTCGCTTGACTTGCAAAGTAGAGCAAAACAACCCCTACAGCAAAGAGCAGCTGGGAAAAAAAAGTTTCTCAATAATGGCAGAAGGTCTTACTAGACATTTGATATCTTGCATGATGAAGAAAATAGTTTGTCATCAAAAAAAAGTACTGAAAATATAAACACTCTCCTGACTTTTATTGCACTGATTTCCTACTGTGGGGTCTGCATTTTTAATGTAGTACATCTAAACTTAGTTTTGAATTTTACAACTTAGCAAGTAACTTAGAAGAAATGCAATTATTGAGGGGTGATGCAGTTTGGAATTATATGACATTAATTAATGCATTCACTTCTGTTGTACACTGTAAGTATTAAAACTGTGTATAAAATGTAATTAGCACGCGGGAGTATATTTCAGACCTCATGTTAACACTCTCCTTGCTCCTGCTAGTTACACTTTGGCAGGTGTATGTTTGTTAGCTCTGTTAGCTAACGTTGCCATCTTCCCATCACAAAAAGAGAAGCCTGACACTATGATCCTACTGATTAGCATATCGATACTTGCTGGCTAGCAGACTGACAACTTCACAGTGAGCTAACGCAGCCGGTCACTAACGGTAAATGTTTGGCAACGTTACCTTGTTGACTGAGACGAAATAATCCCCCGCTGCTTCAAATTTCGGATATTGTCGCACCGCAACGCCACTGAAACGAGGTAATTTATTAATTTACCGCCTCGTTTCAGCCGGCAAACTTTAGCTAATGATTATATTCCAGCCGTCAATCACGGCGAAGTAAAAACGGCAATTTTTTAAATGAAGTCTGGTCAAGTCGAGAGCATTTCTAGCTAACTGTTCTTTAACACAACAACGCCCCCCTTACAAAAAAAAAAATAAATAAATAAATAAAAGCTGCTGAAGAAAAACGTGAGATACTGAGATACTTACTTCAAAAGCTGGATGCCACCATAGCTGAGAAGCTCCAGTTGTGTTTTAATTCCCGATGCAATCCTCTGATACGCAGTGAAAGTCCTCCGCGGACTCTCGGGACAAATACTGGGATAAATAACACTATCGTTGTGGTAACAACACGGACAGGCTCCGCCCCTCAGCGTCTCTGATTGGTAGAGGTGACGTGACGGCTCTTCATTCGTGCACCTGATTGGTTGAGCGGACCTGTCCGTCCACAGAGCAGATTCAAAAGGGGCGTCTCACAGCACGGTTTGGTTGACTTTGCAAAGAGATGACAAATTGTAATTTTTCCAACTTTTTCAGTGTTGGTAAATACTTTTACAGAAAACAAGACTCCAGTTTATTCATTTATTAATTGTTCCCTGACGCCTTATCAACAGATTGGACATAGCATCAGACATCAGGAAGATTTAACCATTTAAAAAGTTACATCACATTCAGCCAGAATATGTCCTCTCATATGGAATGAATTATTTCTTAACAGTTAATCTTAATCCAGATGTTCCAGAGATAACTCAGCTCAGAGTCTGAAGGATCTTAAAATACTGGAGGCTCAACCCAGCCCAATAATCTTTACATTTTAACATGATAATTGTACCATTTTCCCCTTATTTCACAGTAAAATTAATATAAACTGGGAAACACTCTGCTCTTGACAAAGCAAAGTCATCCTACTTTGTTCCTATGCTTAGCCAATATTACATAATACAGTGAGAGGAGGACAGCTAAAGCTAGAGCTGTGTGCCTTGGGATATGTCTTATTTATGATGATTTTCAGCTACAATTACATATAAAGGTGTGCCTTGAAATACTCAGGTGACAGAGCCTTTGAATAGTCTAGAATTAGAGATGCAGGTGCTGGTTAGGAGAAAAAGTTCATGATAAAGTCCCACAATGCAATAAATCAAAAATAAATAACTAACAATAATCAGAGCAGACGAAAAACAGTGAAAATTCTGTTCATATTTAACCGAATGACAGCTTATCTAACTGCAGCAACTTTAAAAAAAACAATAAAATACGCTTTCATTGCTTCTCAGCTCCCTGCCGTCATAGTTTTATTGATTGAACAAAATCTTAACAGGAAAACACTTAATATGAGAGACAAATATTTAAGCAAACAGTTAAGACTTTTAATAGTACCCTCATGTTTTTAATCAGCTATGTATTATTATTTTCAAGGGTATTAAAACATGATTGGAATGACATAAATAGATCCACAGCTATTTCTTTTAAATTATTCTTACTTATGTACAAAAAACAAAAAACATTTTTGATCCAGGGCTATTTATAAAACATTCAGAGCCTATCGGCACCACTGGCGGAAAGGCACATTTGAACAGAATCTATGATATCATATGGACTTAATTATGTCATTACTGACAGTCGGTCTTAATCCAGATGTTCCAGAAATACTTCAGCTCTCCGTCCAAACACTCTATCTTCTTTTAAACTCCACAGCTGCCCTCCACACGTCAGCGCCTTGCCCCAGAGTTATCTCCTCGGGTAAATCCTCCAGCCCCAGCAGTGGAGGAAGGTCTTTCTGCTCCAAATGGATCTCTAAGGTGGACCTGATGCTGCAGACAGCAGGGAGGGAGGACACCAACAAAACAACTGTTAGCACTGCATCCATTGTTTTCACTGTTCGCTGCCCTGCCCAGCTGCTGCTTCAATACAAGTGACCTGCGGCCGAGGGGATACAACTTAAGCTGCTTTCTCCTGACAGATGGCTGCCTAGAGGGGTCATGCTCTGCTCCCTTTGGGAGTCAAAAGGCTCCAAATCCCAGGGGAGAGACCTCCACACTTCACTCTGATTAAAGCTGTCCAGAATCAATGGATTCCTATAGACCAGGGTGGTAATCTTTCAACTGAATAGGCACACTTCTTTAAAGAAATCTCTGTAAAAACACCCTGAGGCTGAACTAGGGAATGAATGTCAATAATGCAAATGCTTTGGGGCTGTTTTACCATTTGGTTTTACCACCTAAAAAACTCACAAATGGTAAATTCAGTACAGAGAGGCGAACGCAGATGGTTTGTGCTTACTCCCAGTGTGGTTGGTAGGCCTGGTCCGGCACGGCGTTGCTCGTCTTCAGCAGCAGAATTTCGTGCAGCTCCAAACAGAAAGTGTCGACATCCGTGACAGCAAGGAACGCCTTCAGGGCTTTCCTCTCCTCCTCCGACAGCTTCTGCTGGAACTTAGAGGGCAGTCTCTGAAATGGATCCTGCAACAAACCCACAATGTGTCATCTAAGTTCTGTGCGACGAGCGCTTTCATACTTCTCAATCTATATTTTCTCAGCGCATAATAGCTGCAACTTCTGGAGAAAGAATTCCTGACGCTCAGTTTTTATTGGGGTCAAACTCTGGGCGCCTGTCGTGTCAGACGGCACACTTTCAACGGATTACAGCCGAGAACATTTAACTCTCTGCGGTTTGGTTTGAGGTCAGTCAGCAGCCAGCGGAGGTCACGAGTGAAAGCACTGACTTAAATTATGTGGTGACCATTTGTAGAGATTCCTTTACGGATTTTTAAAAACGTGCTGGCACAGTGTCCAAAAACTTGTGTTGTTCAGTGTTCTATTGTATTTTCTCATTACATTCAGTAAATTGCTGGAATTTGACTTTTTATTGATACTTACCTGCTTCTTGTTTAGCATAAGTTCAGATTTCCAACAAGTCAGGAGCTGCCAGGTGAATATGCTGTGTTCAAGCTTGCTCTCTCCAAGACCCTGAAATGAAACAGAGAAGTTTAATGTTCAGCGAGATCATACCAGTGGTTTTTATTCTGACAGTTTGAGCCCCTTAGTTATAGCTTATGTATACATTACACTTTAACTGATCATTTTGAATGCAGACTGCACAGTTTAAAGTATTTATGATGTATTTTTTTCTACCACAGTCATTGGTGTCGATTCAATTTTTTATGCAACAGACTCTTGAAACCTGCATGTGTTACATTAGTGTACTTATCTTTCAAGTTTCTTGCACCAGGTCAGACTCAACAAACTCCCAAAAACTTGTCACTACCTTGACTCTAATTTGTGCAATCAGTTCAATTAGTCTACTATTCTCCTCTCCAAATACCATTTGAGGCTTCCTCTCTTGATGGTTTAATTCATTAACATGTTACCAGAGCAAAAAGAAGAATTTCAAACCATGCATCTTGCAGTACAACAACATTGGTGGACGTCAAATACCCCTAAATCATTACGACATGCACAGTTTAGAGTAAATCTCCACCGCAGGACTTGATTGAATGTACTGTTATGGGCTACAGGACAATACTCCACATCCTGTTTTTACCACTGATGGTTTCCATAAAGTTTGGTTTTCATAATTTGTAATATAAAGATAATCACTGTCTTCTTGTACGTAATCAACTGGGGAAGTTTCATGAGTCATTTAAACATTTTACCCTTTTCAATTGTAGTTTCTCCAGACTGTGTTTTCTTAAATCTCTTTTAAAACCTTTACATATTTGAGAAACAATTTCCCCGCTGAGACTATTACAGTAATTCTGCCCATAGGTTTTTATATTTTACAGAAATTCCTGCAAACCAAAGGCTGTCTAAGTGGTAGATTTCCAACATGAAAGAAGTAGATGCAATGCAAAGTGTTTTAAAGGCACAATGAACATTTCTATTTCACTAACTTCCAAAGAACATAAAAAAGTCATCTGTAATTGGGGCCTTCCTAAATACAAACACAACAAAAACGGTGCTGTAACAGTGGAAAATGAGATCAACATAATTCCATTTTGCTGGTAGTGGTGTTGTAATCTGGAGAATTATACCTTTGCTACAGTGCTTGAGATCTGCGAGCCCATCTGCAGCGAATCAGTCAGATACGACAGCAGCTGACTCCGGGGATCTCCGCCCGTCTTTCCGAGGAAGCGAAGGCCGATTTCCACCACGTACACGGCGTCACAAACGTCCGTGAAGGATCGCAGCACGGTTCTCGTGGCGCCGCCCACCGAACCCTTCAGCGGCTCCTGCAACACAGAAACTGTCAGCGTTTCAAAGGACAGGAGGGAAGGAATGTGACCTCTAACAAAGTGGCCTCACTGACATTCTACAGGGGGGAAACTAGTGTGAACATTCTTCAGCTGGCATCAGTCAGTTCCACATGAAAACACTGGCACTGTAAGATGGTTCTACCTGGTGGATCTTTTCTCTGACTTCGGCTAGAACCACAGAGAAATCCTGCAGGTGTCTGTTCAGGTACTTTGACGTGTCCTGACAGAGAACAAAGAGAAACCAATCAGCACAGTGTTTGGTACATGTACATTCAGCCGTGTGATCAGTTTGGACTTTTACCGCCTGGATAAGAGGTTTTCCGGCCATGAAGCGGCGGCTCAGCTGGGTTTGGATGCCCTGCAGGTCGTAGCTGCTGTCGGTTTCGCCGCCTTTCTTCAAGGTGTAGTGGCAGTGGGCTAAAACCAGCGGCAGAAGCTCCCTCTCCGGGTGGCACAGAGTCAGCTGGGTTTCTGAAATCCTCTCTAAAGGAACGCTGTACTTACTGAGGAGAGAACACAGCAGAACATCCATGATCGGGTGGAGTAGACGACTGAACAGCTTCAATGAGTCAGTCTGTCGGTGATACTTTAGGACCGGTGGATCTCCAGACTGTTAGACGAGTCGCAAATCATTTTATTAAGATAAGATATAGTCATCCTGAAATTCCTGAATCACTCAGAAAAAACTACATTACATAACGGAAGAAATGCAGTGAACAAAAAGGTGAAACAACAGTATCGTTTCAACACTTTATTTTAAATGTCCTGAATGTTTTAGGTCATTTCTTGGAAACTTTTCTTGAAAATTCCTTAAAAAAGAAGCTGTAAAATACTGAGATAATTTCACAAACGGGATCCAGAGTTTGGTGCTTATTATAAGAGAAATGGTGAAGTGGTATTTGATGGTCATTCAATCTATACTAAAACATCAGATAAATCAAATAAGAGCAACTGCAGCTCCTCCAGATTATTTAACAGTTAGAAAGAGAATATTCTCATATTTGGCGAGATCTACAGCTAAAAGAGGACTCTCTGTAGCCTGGTGTTGTGTTTGTTGGGATCAAATGGTAAATGGTTGGTACTTTTGAAGCTCCTTTTTAACCTGAGCTTGGTTCTACAAAGGGCCCTACAGTGTGCTTCTCATTCACACACTTCAATGTTGGCGTTCAGTGTCTTGCTTGAGGAAACTTGGGCACATGGAGGGGATCAAACCGCCAACCTTACAACTAGCAGTCAGCCCACTTCATCACCTAAACCATGGCCGTATAATCATTTAATAGTCAATAAACTAAGAAAGAAACAGAAGACATCTGTGTTTTGGGACTGACCTGTCCTCCTGGCCACTCGCCTTCCTCGCCTCTCTCACCAGACTGTTGTGAGTCTCCGCCAGAAAGTCGACCAGAGTCCGGAGACACGATCCCGGTCCACGTCGGCTCGGTGTCAGAAACTCTCCGGAGCTCTCGGACGTCACCTCCTGCTCACACAAGTTCACATCGATGCCCAAATCTGCTGCTGCAGGAAACATAACCATACAGACAGGTGAATAAAAACCTGGGACAGACAATAAACCACTGCTGGTATTATGATTTATCTATTTGAATAACAATTAATCAACCCACCGTCTTCACTATATAAACCTAAATATACCATGTAAGACTCTTAGTTTTCGTGCAAAGTAAAAAACACCTAATTAGGTTTTACTTTTTTCTATCATAAGAAAAAAAATTACTCACTATTATAGCAGCAAACACAGGAGTTGACACGTTATTTACATTAAACATGGACTGTGCTTTTAAACTGATTTAAACGCAGAACATACTTTTAAAACACACGACTAGGCTAGAAAATGCTGCAGCTGTCATTAATACACATAATTCCTCATTCACTGAATACGCAATACCAGGAAACAATCCCTGTTCTTTCACAAGAATTATGTCTTCAATAAGACAACAGACCAAGTGTGACGTTTCCACTACGAGACGCCAAACAATCACGATGTCACTGTTTATATTAAACACTGCGGTCGAAGTGGAACTTGAATTAAAACACTGAATATCATGTTGTGTTGTCACAATAAATCATAAACGATCCCGTTTCATCAACGTGCTGCATGTTCAGCTTTTACTGTATAAATAAATGTTTCAGTAGCGTTGAAGTCATGTTTCTATTGTTTGGAATTAGTTGAGTCATTTTAGTTTCATATTAACGGAACAAGAGATAATGGTAACTTTATCTCAGAACATCTTCATAAATAAAGCTGCTCCGTCTCGTGTTATGATGATGAAAACAGTTGTATAGTTTTAATCTTGATGTGCCCTAATTAATGGAGACATGCTTACAGTTGTTTGCCACCTCTGTCCTCAGGCAGTTCCACACGTTGATGAATCCGTCCACTCTCTCAGCCAGCATCTTCTTCTGGTATCCTGAAAAGGAAAGAAGAAGACTCAGTTTGTGTTGCTGCAGGTGTTGCGTTACACTAAAGCGGCAGATCATGACGTACCTGCTGGTATCCGCTGCAACATCTGCGCGATCGTCTGCTGCGTCGACTCTGCCGCCAGAGGAAACGCTCTGAGCAGGTCTGACTGGAGAGCAGCCAGCTCAGGCAGGTGGCGCAACTGTCGCACACAGTGGATCTGAGATGAGCACAAACAGAGTCAGTGGGACAAAAATACACAACATGTATTAAAATTCACTGAGAAACAGGCGACATAAAGCCGGAGTTTACACCAAGGGTTTCATGTTATGGAATTACAAGAGGAGATGAACTCTTTAAACATGTAACATCCTAAAAGCTTGAAAACATTTTGTTCTTTTGACTCTTAAAGTGAAAAATTAGGCAGCACACAGTGATTTAACCAGTATGTGCCTCTGAGGAGGACAGAAAACATAAGAAACTACTGCTTTGCTGTGTTTGCACTCTTATTAAATCAGATTGAACCAATTCGCAACAAAAGTCCTCTTATAACACCTCTCCTTGGAATAATTTATTACAGAGACAAATCCAACAAATCCAATGATAAGAAGGTATTTTAATCTCAGGTGTCATCACTAAATTATATATACATATATATATATATACTAGGGCTGGGACTTTAACGCGTTAATTACGATTAATTAATTACAGGAAAAATTCCAAAAATTAACATATTTAATCACACCTTTCTCTGTTTTCTGATATCTGGCAACACTGAGGCACACTCCAGCCAGTAGGTGGCGCTAATGCACCTAAAGTTTGCACTGAGTGACATCAGCGCACAAGAAAGTTTGGTGAGGAGACCACATAGTTTGGCTTTTTTTTTTTTTTCTTATTAAGGCCTGATGCTACGTGACCACAGGAGTGATTTTACCAAAAAATTGCCAAATTTGCAAACAAAGTCTACTTTATGCAAATGAGCTTGAAACTCCCTGAGACACTCCAGAACACAATGCAGGGCGTTTCACTGCACAATGAATGGGAAGAGAGAAATTGCTGGTTGTCTGCAAATTGCGTATTTGAATTGAAAAACTTTGCTTTTTGTGTCAAATATTGCTATTTGACAAAAATGCCATTAATCCTGATTAATTAATCACAAAGTCTCTAATTTATTAGATGATTTTTTTACTCAGGTCCCACCACTAATATACTATTAATAATTATTATTAATGTACAACTAGCAGCATGCCATATGACCACATTGTGCACGATTTGACAAAGATTAACGACAACCATTGTCCAAATACTGCAATTAAGTAACTTCCTGGTAAAACTGGTCTTTGTTACGGGTCATACCGCTCCCTCTCCTTCTTATTTATGTCTTCATCTTCACTAATGCTGATGAAAAATAACCCCCTCAGATACTCTGTTGGTGAGTCTCCACCAAACGTCCACTCAGGACTGGAAGAATGACGATGACGGTGATGGATACCTTTTTAATGAACAAGCTGAGCAGCGGTAAAGTTCTGCCTCCCTGCTTTTCTCCCACCAGCTGAGAGAATCGCTCCACCGTCATCGTCTCCGGTAGCGTCCAGAAGGAGGACTGATGCGTCGGACAGTTGGAGGGAAGCGACAGCATGTTTCCAGGATCCCCGAACAGGAGGTTCATCAGGGGACTCCCGGCGAGTCCATCGTCGGCAGCGATTCTGTCCTGAGCTTCAGCCAGATTCCTCTGCAGATCCTGAAAAACAGGCAGAAGAAACTTTACCACCTGAAGCAAAAGACGTCTGAAGTGTCTGTTCCAGTCATCACATCGCTGCAGATCTTTTCTACCATCGTCTTTTATGACTCAGCCCACAGCTGAAAGAATAGACAATTAAATAAGACAACAATATCAATGTTCAATATTTTAACCTCAATTTTAACTTTAATATGTAATATTTCAGTTTAATTTGCAATATTTCTTCATCATGTGCACAAATTTAATGTGTAATATTTAATCTTTCAGGTGCCTTTATAATGTGTAATATTTTAGTTTCATGTGTAATATTTCTTTGTCATGTGTAGTAATGCACTTATATGTGCAATATTGTATTTTCATGTGCAATAATAATTTAATTTCATGGGAAATATTTCATCTTTCAGGAGCAATATTCCAATTTAGTTTATGATGTGTAATAACGTAGTTTCATGTATAATATTTCAATTTCAATATATATATTTTTTCATGTGTAACACTAGATTTCATTTGCAATTCTTCTTTATCATGTAAAAAAAATCATGTGTAATATTTGTTTAACGTGTGATGACAATCATGGCTACTGTCTTATTTTCATTCTCGTCCTATTTTAGCTTCCTTATGTCTATTTTCAGTCGTGCATCTTATTGCTTTACTGTTAAGCACTGCATTTATTCTCATGTTAGGTAATTTTGTTTTTTTGAGCAACGTCTGGCCAAAGAATTTCCTTTGGCATTAATAAAGTTTTGTCTTATCTTAGCTACAGACTTTTTAAAACATAGCGCTCCTTACCTGAAGGACTGGGTTGATGGCAGAGTCACAGACGAGCTTCTCCCAGTCCTGCCGTCCTTGTCTGGAGGACAGATCAGCTCTTCCACCGCGGGAACCTTCGTTAACATTCAGCAGAGTTAGTGTTTTCTACGTACGAGGCACAGATGTTGTAAAGTCATAAAGTGAGCGTTACCTGTGGTGAATCTTGTCAGAATCAGATGAACCGTAACCGCCGTGTTGTCCATGTTCTTATCCAGAGTCTGTCCCAACACCTTCAAGTCCTTTTCAAGGTGACTCCAGAGGAAGGTGATGACATTGTGTGGTCTGGGCTGGATCATGTCTCCAACACTCTAAAACCCCCCCAAAAAACAGTACGGGAGTTCTATCACATGATGCTCTTATTTAAAACCTATAAAATCAGACTCAGGTGGAGCCTCACCCTCTGATTTCTCGTGGCGCCCTGAAGCATTGCCAGGTGAGTTAACAGCCGCAGGATGCAGGACTGAGCGGACGTCATCTGTCTCTCAGGAGCTTCGGACCTCCGGTGAGCTTCTCCGAGGACGTGTCCGGTCCGAGTCTGATCTCTGACATTTTACACACATTAAATCAAACACAGATATTTAACTGAATGTCACAAAGCTGCTTAACTTAATTTCCCTGAGGTTTTGTACTGAAGGGATCAATAAAGTTTTATTCTAATTCTAACCGAACCAGAATATACCTCTGTGCTGACTGCTGAGTAAACCCAACCACCGGGACGTGTCCTAATCCACCAACAGGAAGTCCGCAATCTGGACATGTGGACGTAACCACTGGTCTTCCACACTGTGCAACAACAAATAACGTATTAATACATATCTTTAAAAATGTTATTCACAGTGTGTGATGTTAGCAAATGCACATACCTCTCCCACAAAGCACACATGTCCATTTGCACAGGCTGAAAAATTATTTTAAAAAAAGACATTACAATTAAAGAACAGATGATAACACAAATACTATTCTTGATAATGTAAAATACTTACTGTACTGTACAAGTCTCCGATCTTTCAGCCACTGTCTGGCTTCAGCTGAGTGATCATCGGGCATCGTCGGCAGGAAGGAGTTCTGGGAGGAAAAAGGAAATCACGTCTTGAAACCTATTTTTATAGACTTGCTTTAATGTCATGCTGTCTGTTTCATTTTGTATTATTTTGTTCAGCTACTTTATTCTCTTCTCCTGTTTATTTTATCGATTTATTTTATCCTTTCATGTTTTTGTTCTCTATTGTACTTTATCCTTATTCTTTCTTTCTATTTTTCTTTAACGTGAAATGGCATTTTTGGTACTTTTATTATTTCATTTGCATTACTCAGTGTTTCACTGCATTCATTCATATTCTGCATCTAACATTTTGCATCTTCTACAGCGCTTAACTCTGCAGATCTGCGTTGAGATGTAGGGAATTACTTCACCGATGTGTGAGACAAGCTTTTAGTGCTGTTTGTTTGTCTGTGAGAAGCATTCAGCAAAAACTAAGTGGCCAAATTGTATGAAACTTGATGAAGAGGTGTAGTCGGGCCATTTCTTAAAACCTCAGGGGGGGAAGTGCGCTTCTCAAATTTAAAATGTATTAGTGGCAGTAAAACGGTATTTCAGACTACGGTGGGTCAATTTTGCAATTAATTAACATCATTAAAAACCTCAGAAGCATCAGAGAAAAGGATTACAGTCTAAAAAAAGACGGAGATCAACACTGAGGCTTACATCATGAGCACCGTAGTCGTGTAAGTACTGCCAGAAGAGGGAGACTAAAGTTCTGCAGGTTTAAGAGCCTTTAAGACTTTCTAACAATCTGCTTTAAGAAATATAAGACCTCTATTATGGCCCCCCTCGTGACATGTACACTAACATTCATGTGCCAAGTCAGTGGACTTACTACGACATTCTGCGTCTGGAAGGCGATCTGACGGAGAGGAGCCAGCAGAGGGTTTCCACCGAGCAGCACCGAGTCCAGGTGGACCAGCAGCTCCAGGAGGGTTTGTCTCTGAGCCGACAGATTCGGGTCGATTTGGAGGAGCAAGTCCCGTCCACCGAGCCGATTCTTCAGAAGGCAAGAGCAAAACTCCCTGAACTCCCTCGGCTGGACGTTTCCGAGGAGCCCTTCCAGCCTCGACGTCTCCTGTGAGAAACATCGTCGAAGGTTTACTGAAGCCGGCTACAGGAGACTTTTGTAAAAGTAGTAACTGCCACCTCAGACTACAGCGAAATCAATGGGGTTTCATTCAACATATTTAAAGCTTAATCACATATTTAAATGTCCATCCATCCATTATCTATACACCGCTTAATCCTTACTAGTCAGAGACAATGACGACTGATCCACTGTAACGGGGTAAAATTAATATTTTATGCTGTTTATCTGCTACACAGTTTGGATAAGAGTCTTTAAAAGTCAAGGCTTTATTTTCTGTGCTGGTATTTACTTGGAAATGACAATAAAGTTGAATGTAACCTAAAATTAAGAGATATCTAAACTGAAACTGAGCTAAATTTGGCAACACATTTAAGACATTAAGTGTACATTCTGCACAACTGTAGTACTATTTTTCAGTACGAGGCAGATCCTATGTGGGAAATACATGAACGTAAACACAACATTAAAGCAACATCATGACATAAACTAAAAAAAACGCTTCGGTTTTCAATCAAACCGTCTGTTAACCTGCAACACACAGACTTAGCAGCTGCAGTGAAGCACAAGCAGACTTTAGACGTCACTCACCTGCGCGGACAGATGCAGGTTGACGTCAGGTGACTTGTAGCGGCAGGTGACGTGTCGGAACAGAGCCAAGGCCACGAGGTTGATCTGAGAACCTCCCAGCTTCTACAGAAAAAAAAAAAAAAACACAAAACAAACGATACATTCAAGCAAATGAAATATAAGACAGATGTTTACTGCAGCGAAGTTATTCAAAGAACCTTAAGAAATTATCATACTAACTTATAGTTTTAGACGAGAGGTTTTGCATTTAAAAGCAGTTTAAATAGATAGAAGTTGATATAGTAAATCAGAATTTTAGGTATATTTCTCTGCTGCCCAACATGGAAACACAAAAGTATTGAGAACAAATGAAGCATGGTCCAGATGATTAAATTGTTCCCACATCCTCCATGAGAAAACATTCAGTTTTAATCAAAGTTAGAACTCAAACGATAAGACGGACCAAAGTGACGTTTATTTCAGGTTTAATTTAACCCTGTTTCCACGTCCATGGTTAAATCTCAGGTTCTAGTTTTGCAGAACAATTTTTAATTCATTTTATTCAAGTTTGGGCTCATTAGAAATCTCACTTGTAAAGGTTTCTTTTTGGTTTGCAAGAATTCTGTAAACACAGAGACAAATCCTGCCATAGGTGATTTAAAAATAATTTAAAACAGTTGCCATTGATTAAGCAGGTAGACATTTTTGCTGTATTTGTAAAAATGGTTTGGTTGCTTAATTCAAGTTCCTCATGTGCTGTCTCTGCAAAAACGGAATTTCTAAAGGAATTAAAGCTGCCAGAAAAATGCAGGAAAAGAAGAAGTACAATATTTCCTTGTTAGACGTAGTGGAGTGGAAGAACAAAAAGACTCGTATAAAGTACCTGGTATATATCTGTAGTAGTGTACTTGTACTTCAGGACACGACTTGACTATATATGAACTTTGCTCCACTATAATTCTCACGTCCACGATTACCTCTAGTGGTGATTAGCAGACGTGACACTGTTCTCTTTCAAACTGTGTCCAGTAAACATCTGTTCATGAGCTCTGGAGTCTTTCTCACTTGCACAAAGCTGTCAGATCTGTTCTCCAGCAGAACCTGAGCCACGGCGTCTCTCACGGCCCGGTAAGTTGGCCCGTAGCAAAGGAACTGATCCACGATGGTTGGAATCCTCCTCTTTGAGAAAAAAGAACATTTTAGAGTTAGTTAAACAGAAAAAAAAATCAAAACTCTTTGTTGACTGTTCTCAGTGATCCTGGTTTCTTTACACTTCTTTCAAATTATTGTTGGTTAATTATCAGGTCTGTTGTTGTCCTTCCTGCTCCATAAAATCCTCAGATGTCTTGTTATTTTTGTTAAATTCTCTGTGTTGATATGACAAGTGAAATCCAAATGTCTTGGTTGCAGTATTTGTTGGACTTGACAAGTTGCCAGAAATATTCAATTCTGCTTTACATGAAATTACATAAAATTCCAATAAATAGTTTGTTGATTTAAGTAATTAACTTATTAGCATAAAATAACTGGTAAGTAATTTGAACATCTGTTCATCATTTACGTAATTTTTAAGGAGGAAAACGACAAATGCATCTGTTATTAGTATAAAACCACCTCATCTCTTTATGTCATTCTTAAGTATTTTCCTGTGTACTTATTTTTTTTATGATAGTAAACTGAATGTGTTTGAGTTTAAGGCAGTTGGTCAGCCAAAGCAATTGATTTAAATAAAGAAATTCACTGTTTTCATGCCTTTTATAGCCCGCTGATTAATCAATTAATCAAGAAAATGAACGAAAAAAGGATAAAAAAAAAAAGTCCAAGTTGCAGCTCTAAAGACGAGTGTTCAATATGTTATGATAGTAAAAGAGCCAATAACTGCTTTTGATTGGTTACATATTCCTGAAATATAAAGTGTTTTAAGGAGAAAAAAAAACAACAACAAAACCTTTCTTGTTATAAAAACACATGATGCTGCAGGAATAAATGATAAAGTCTATACATTAATACAAGAGAACCAAAGTGACTGGTTCTAACTTGAGATGGTTTCATTTACGACTATGGAAGCTCAGGATGATGACAAGAAAACTAGTTTTATTGTTTAAAGAAAACATTTCCTTTTCCTCGCTGTATATTTTTAATACTTTTACCTGAAGTTGCAGCAGATGTGGAGGGAAGATCCACCTGCAGGCGGGGCTGTTCATCAGGGCCAGTATGCAGTCGATACCTGAGCACCTGTTAAGCGCTCGCAGGAGGTAAACCCTGAACCAGTCGTTTCCACTGTACTCGCACACAGCTTTCACCTGCTGCAGGAACTGATCGGCCTCCACTGCTGCACCTTCGAACACATTTCATACAGAAACGAAACGAAACTTGGATTGAATTCCACCAGATGCAGCTTCACGACTTACACACGGATACCACATGTGTGCAGCTATGATGTAGTGGTGGTTAAAGTCAAACACACCTTGGACTGCCTCCTCCAGCAGGCTGGCAGCAGCGCTCAGACATATTCTCAGTCTGGCCGTGTTGAGCAGGAACTCTGCCGGATCTTCTTGTCTGTCTGGAGTCTGTTTTCTGGCGATTCTGCTCAGGAATCTGGTGTCTGTTTGCTCCTCGCCACTCTGCTTCTCTTCTCTCGCTTTAGAGCACAGCAGAGAGTCCTGAGGAAAAAATATACAATTAGTTTTAACGCCAAAGAGGTGACACTTTCAACAGCACCGACAGCCACTTCTTGAGAATAAAGAAACTGTCAGCTACAATTTCCAAATCCTTCAGCTGCTTTCTGCTAAATGCAGCCTGGAACTAACATGACGACAACCAAATTTAACTGCAACAAACAACTAAGACAATAATCTCAATGCAGATGGGGAGTGATACGTAGCATGTTTCACCTGGAAGCAGTTGACAAACAGCAGGTAGAGCTCAGTGCGGTCTTCTTTGTCAAGAAGGTTCTCCTGCAGATTCTTCAGGTACGTCTGAATGTGAGCCTTCGCCTGGTCAAAACTGAGAGATGCACCAAAGTTAACCAACACAAAGTTCACAAAGAAGTGTCAGGATTCCTGTTGTCTCCACTCTGACACTCATCCATTCCAACATCTGTTCCCAGTTTCTTCTGACTTCTTTCTATTTAACCCTCTGAGCCAAACATCCACTGACAGTGAGTTTGAATGGAATGCTGTCTTTAAAAAAAATAAAAAATCGCCAAAAGGACACCATTTATTTGACATTCTGACAACTGAAAGAACCTTCAGATTTTCACCTTTCTGATGCTCCTTAAACTAACTGTGCGACGTGCAGTTTGGTCAGTAAAATGAACCAGTTCTCAAAATACAATCAAAATTCTACCTGTCTCATTTAGACATCTGCCAAAAATAAACCACCAGATACTTTAAAAAACTAAATAATTCTAGGCTCTTCTGTGCAACTGGCCAGCCGTGACCAACAGTCACATGACAAAAATTCAAATAGTTTTCATCTGAAGCGCAGGCAGTGTTGAAAAGGAGCAGAGAGGCGACGAGAAGAGAGACTGAGAGGAGAAAATTAACATCATCATGCATCATGGCTCAGAAACAGTGAACGGAGGAGCAAGTAGTTGGAAGAGCCAGTCAGCATGGTGAGACGTCTTTCTGGCATTATAACCGTGTCAGACATTTCTGAGTTCTCTCTCCTTCTGGTGGTTGTGCTGTTTCCATAGGGGACTTTATGTTGTGGGGGAAATGAGCCCACAGTGATTCAAAATGAGACAGGAGCAAAAAAAACACCCAGAAACTGCTTCGAGTTCAGAGGATTAAGCGACGTCATTAGTTGATTGTTAAAATAATTGCGGCTTAATCTCATCTCTGTCAACTGTTCTACATCAGTGACGTTATGCACAACACTCCAACATGAGGGAATTAAGATGAGAACAAAATATAAGAGGAGACAGGAAAAGTCACCCCTAAGCAGGCTGTGTTACTCATCTTCTGCTTTAACTGAGCTCCAGAAGTCATCGTTCAGTTCTTTTGAGGTAATAATTTAAGATGGACCCTCATTGAATGTTGTCAGTGTGGTTGGTGTTGCTCTTGAATCGGTGCCTCCTCCTCCCTCACCTGTACTGCAGCAGCAGCTTGGGCAGCACGGATCGAACCACCGGACTGTTATCGACACACTCCAGGAAGGGAGTGAGCTCTCTGGTCCTGTACACGTCTCCTGTATCACACCGAAGAGCAACAAGATGTGAATCCTCCTTATCTCAGCATCATCAGTTACCTGTTTATTACCACTGACTGACTGTGTGTCGCTGACCGTTAGCAAAGACGAGCAAAGAGAAGAGCAGCTCCACCACTCCCTCTCCGGGCGTCTGTCCCTCCGACAGGCAGAACCTGGACACCACCTCCAGGAAGAAGGAGTTACAGCAGCGTCGCACGGCGGCCTGCTGCTGCAGTGACGCCCTGAACCGAGAAGAGCCAAGATTTACTGAGGAGGGAAACCGTGAGGCTAAAACAACAGCATGGGACACTAAAGCACTTCTTTAGGGTGTCCTATAGCCTGTTGTACAATCAAACACTACCCAGTAAAAGAGTTTAACACTAATTAACACAGCTAACAAATGAAACTAGTAGTTATTAACTGCTTCTGAAAGAGTTCTACTTTTATGTAATGGCTGAGCACAATGAGCTATACACTGATTCTGAGAACTAACCTTCCTCCTCAGTCTATTAATTCATAAGCTTTGACCTTTAGGGAATCAGAAATTACTTTTTGTTGCCTAGCCAAGCTCATTGATGAGGAGGTAAGGTTTGACACTACTTTATTTACAAATTAAAACAAATAACTTAACCCTTATGTACCGTTGTGTGTCAAGTTTGACCCGTTTTGACATTTGACAGCAGTAAAAACAGCCTAAATGTCATTCGTTTAGCCTGAAATCTGATGACTTTTCCTAAAGTGACCCATAATACACAAACATTTCAATATTTAAATGTTATACTTCTGTACAGGTGCTACATTTTTTTGTATACTGAGGCTGTTGGGAGTCAAATGTGACCCATAAATCCATTGAGATGGATTTTAGATCTACCAGAGTGGGTCAAATCAAGGAAAATGGCGGCTTTAAGGAATCTTGAAACTGTGAAACTGTACAGGCCGTGTTTTATGTGTATTTTTCATTTACATTTATTAATGTGACATCAGCTATTTAGACATTCTAAATAGATCTGTAGTTTAAACGTTGGTATGGACACTTACTATGAGGGAATTCTTGACAGGTATAAACTATGAACAGTGCGTAAGGGTTAAAGTTATCACAAACAAGTTTACAATAAATTAAAGTCTTCTTCACTGTTGTGATTAGAACGGTTTTAAAAGCACTGGGTGACGTACTAGAAAAATAAGCTTCAAACTACAATAATACATATATTTGTTTTCCACTTTGCATTCGTAATGTGAATATTATCTTCATGCTGGCAGTCACAACAAAAGGAAGATTACTGTCAGGGAGGTTTCTATCCATTTAAAAAAAATGAAGAGACGGTGTCCTTTTACATCTACAGCAGAGCAAGGAAATTGTAAAAAAGCACAACAATAATGCACACACAACACCAGATCAGGTTTGGACACAAAGGTTTAAATCTTACAGTCCAGGAATGAATTTTGACTAAAAGAATCGCATGCTACTGTATTTATATTATTTCTCAACTCACTTGACGGTTTGAGAAACAGTCGGATTGAAGTCTGGCGGAAGGTCAAGTCTGCACGTGGGGCATGAACGCCTCTGATGCTGAATGCAGCGCTGGAGACACGGCAGGCAGAAGATGTGCTGGCAGGGCAGGACGGACGGTTCGCGGGGCTCCGACAAGCAAACCGGGCAAGAAATACCGAACCTGTGCAGAAGAAAACCAAGACAGAATCACCTTAGTGCAACACAAGACGGAAAAGATTAAACAGCAAACATCAAGACAACTTCTTTTATTATTATTACTTAGTGGAAGTAGTCCAGATGTTCTCATTAATTGAAACTTACGAGTCTTGAATGCATATGTTTAAAAGCACGTTCTGACCTCAGATCTCTGCTGATACACTCTTCGTGGAAGGAGTTGAGGATTCGGATCAGCTGCTGCAGCGTGTCCACACTTCTGACATCAGGAGACTCCTGCATCAGCTGTTAGAAAATCAGAAAAGTCATGTTGGTCTCATCTTTGCTCCTTATTATTATTATTCCTAACGTTTCTTCATGTTGAATTTTATTCTAGATTTACTTTTGATTCTCCATCCAACACATTCTTCACCAATCCTGGCACACACCATGTTTGGAGGATCCCAAATATTGTCTGCATGTTTGACTTGAGATGTCAGTTACTGTTCTGTAATTGGCTAATAAACTTTTATGAGTGTGGCCAAACCAATTCAAACTGCTGTGACTCATGAACGCTTCATAGAATTAACATCAGATTTGGCTCAAGTGTAAAAACTGAAATCACAAATATGAGTTCAGAGTTTGATGCAGTTTGGCCACAAGGTGGTGCTGCGGCAGGAAATTAATGAAAATTGTTCAATACAATTTGCCACTACTCCCTCATGGTGACATCTAGAAATATGGGTCTGCCTTTAAAATGTCTAGTACGGCTTGGTTGTGTTAGGCTGAAAATAGTCTGGTGATATCTACTTTAATTCGTGAGGTTTTAAATGTTAAACTCTTAAAGTTTCTAACATCTCAGAAACAGTAAAGGTGTCAGAAGGGAAACTTGGCAGTCAGTTGATAAATGGTGAAATGTTTCAGGCAGTCACAAACGGCTGCAATAGCACCACTGTTGCAACACAACAATCCTGGGCACTTACACATGCTCCTTCTCCTTTTTAGACACAACCATGCTTTCGATGATTAGTTGTTCAGCAGGTTAAATCTACAGGCTCTCTTCATTGACTGCAAACACATTACGAGACCTGAGAACCTGCCGTCACAGCTGGATGCAAGCTGCAGACACTACAAGCCAGCAGCTGCAAGAAAGCTGCGAAAGATTTCAGCAATCACTCAAGTTGTCAACTTTTGCGAAGTTTACAACTATGTTTGACTTGTTTTCAAAGTCGCTGGGCTGGGATTCTCCATCTATTTTATAGCAGAAGTGGGCCATCTCTGATACAGAAACAGAACATTGTAATAACTCTGAAAACATACATTGAGCTTTAGTTAAAAAGAGAAGAGATGTTACATGCTAGATATAGCTGAGAAATCCAGTTTAGGATTGAGAAACCTTGTTGAGAAATGAAGAACAAGAAAACACTGCTGCGTACGTTCAGGTGAAGGTTGCAGTGTTTGAGAGAAAGTTCTTTCAGTCTCAAGTCGTCCTGTCTGACTTTAAAAACCACATGTTGGATGAAAGATGCAACAACCAGCATCCCGTGCCAAAGGGATCTGAAACGGACAGATGAAATTATAAATAAAACCAGGAAACAAATGTAAATTTCAGGGGTTTTTTTCTGCTTCTTGCCAGACTCACCTGATGGAGTCCAGATGTTGCAGACAGCCCGGGCTGCAGAGGGCGCTGTATTTCTGAGCAAAGGCTCTGTCTACGCATGGCTGCAGTAACTCTACTCTTCTCACAAAGGACTCACACTCATGCAGAGATGTTACAGTCAGAAGTTTTGTCTGTTCAACACAGATGCCAAGAGCTAAAATGTCCTCCACCTGCCGAAAATAAAGTACATCATGCTCAGGTTCATAAGGTTAGAAATGCTCTCGTAGCTAGTGAAACTCTTACATCTAGGCCCTCTGTACTTATGGTTATATTCCAACTAAAAAATGCAGCAGTCACAGACACTTTTGAGGAATTCGAATAAAGATTTTTAAAAAGACGTCACCATGTCTGGAGTTTCCTTCCTTGACCCTCGCTGACAGACGGCGGCGCTTAGCTGTGGCTGCAGAAGAAATATGTGTCCGAGGGTGTCCAGTCTGGCTGCGAAATGTTTCGCAGCTGCCGTTATCCAAGCAGGAGAGAGGTCCGTCGTGATGCCCATAGACGTCTGAAGCTCAGATACGCAGCCCAGCAAGGCCCTGGTGAATACCTGTATATGAAATATACAGTCAACGTTACTGTAAATGTGTCGGTGTGGCCAGACAAGCTGACTATTGACTGTTGTTTCTTGGCCAGATGTCAAATTAGGCATTAAGTTCTGGATGAAAGCAAACAAAAACAGAATAAAGAGGTTAAAGGAGCAAGACAACAACTGATATAAGACGATATTAACAAGATAATTAGCGGTGGTAGTTTAACATGTCAAATAAACTCTTTTTCAGTGTTTTTCCTGTCCTGATTGGCCTTTGGGGGATGACGATAACACAATGAGCTTGTGTTTGACAGAAATCTATGCATTTTCTTGTTATTTTTCACTATTTTGCTAAACAAAAATATCTGTTGTGTTTGAGTAAATGAAACCCATCCATCCATCCATCCATCCATCCATCCTTCCATTATCTATACACCGTTTAATCCTCACTAGGGTCGTGGGGGGCTGGAGTCTATCCCAGCTGACTCAGGGTGAAGGCAGGGGACACCTATGCATATGTGTTTTTGCAAAATATAGAAAGTTGTCCTGAATTTTGCAGCTTCCATTAACTTTTTCTGATGCAACATTTCAGAAAACATGTCACAGAAACACAGCTGGTGTCTCCTCTGTTTCTGGATCTGGTTAATTTAGTTAATTGTGGTCAACGGGAGCGCTGCTAGCTCATTAAGAACTGTATTTAATTGTGAAGGAGACTGCAAAGAAGACTATATTCAGAAAGCAGACGCCTTGTACAAAAACCTCACATGTTTAAGTTACACCTAAATAGAAATAACAATGTCTATACCTTTAGCTCGTCCTTTGACTTGATCTTCAGAGAAAGCAGCAGAAAGTCTTGCAGATAGAAGCGTCCGTACTCCGATCGCTGCCCCTCGGAGAGTTTCTGAAAGTGACCGCCCATCCTGCTGTTGTTGAAGGTGCTCACAAACTGCAGAACCCTCTCCGTGCCGCCTGCTTTTGTGACTGATGAGAATGAAATCAGTGTTCATGTGCTGTACATTACACTATAAACGATCAGTTTGTGGGTTTAAACGTTCAGGTACTAACCTGGCATGAATTCAGACTCATCCCACAGACTCTCCAGGTGGATTCTGACGAGCCAGCTGAACGGAGCAGAGCAGGACTGTTCTTCACCATCCAACACGAAGTGGTGCTGCACAAGAACCTCCTGGTCCGACTCACTAGGAAATAGAATAATCAAAGAAGAGTTCATCCTTTTGTTGATTAAACCGAAGCAGTTCTGACTGTTCAGCGGGGTCGAGAGAGGATGATGAGGCCGACACAGAGAGAGACACACCGGAGACTCAGACGACTTAGGTTGAAATAAGGTTTACTGACATCAGGAGAGTATATGCAAGCAACGCCAGCATCAATTCTGAGGATTCTCCTGCACTCTAGACTTTACACCGTCCTTCGGTGGGAAACCATATCTAAATGTATGGATAGAAGGGGAAACAAGCGTAAACTGGCCTTGAGAGGCAGAGAGACCTGTCCTCCTACAATACATCTACATGATGACAACATCCTCTAGAAGAAGATTTATACACTGGTGTATATCTGTTATAGGTTTTACAGACTCATGTCATACGATATCCTTTTGGGGGGGAGGTCAGGAGAAGTTTAGAGGGCAAAAGGTCATCTTCAGAGGCTTAACTACAAGAGAACAAAGTCATTTTTCCTTCACACTGACTACTCACACAAGAAGTGAATATTGTTCGTTATCCGGTAACAATCGGCACATTTCTTAACGTAGCGAACATGTTTGTATGTATATTCAGTGACTGGTGCAAACAATCTTTCTTGAACATACATGTTTTAATGTTGGCACAACTTTCATGAAAGTGTCTTATTCTTGTTTATGTTTTTTAGGTTGTTTTAACTTTCTGATTTACTGGCAAACTTTGCAAAAAATTCCCTCTTGTTCACAGAAATGTCATCTCAAATCAGTCAAATCCAATTTTTTAGACATTAAAATTGGAGGCTGTTTGAACAACAATATCTCAGGAGCTATTAAATTTAAAAGCCTGACATTTGTATTGTTATTCCTCATTATGTCCTTGATTCAGAATCTGTAATACTGGACAAGTAGATCAAATAATGTCTGACTATGGGTTTGTTGAAATATGAAAAAAAGTGTACGCCCTCGTGAAAAGCCCCATCAAAAAAAAAAAAAATCATAATTCAAGAAGTCGACTCGTGTTTTGTTCTGATCAATATGTCGCTGGGTGTCACAATAATACAAAAAAAAACATATAGAAAACGTTTTTATATGAAACACTTGGTCACAAAAATGAAAGAAAGGATATTTTTGGTTGAACTGTCATAACCGATTGAGCAAGTATAACAAGTTGTACAATGAAAAGTACATTATTGCAGCATGGCCTGATCCAAATAGAATAGAGCTGTGGAGTTTTAAAATAAAACAATCCTTCAGTGGGTTCAGGCTGCTTCTGTCTAGTCGGAGATGGACGGAAGTGTTTTGCTCGTTGTGTGGATTGTATTTATTGATGATGATATTTGCTGATGGCTGTTTAACAAACTCTCCCTTGAGGATAATAAAAGTTTACCTCAACTTAAGTTTTTGTAGGACAAGTGGGCCAAAGCGGCTCAGACCACTGGGTCAGAGCATCTCTGAAACTGCAAGGCTTGTGGGGTTTGAGGTTTGAACTGCGGTGAATCCAACAAGAAACTTGCAGAACTTAAAGGAATCTGCTGCTAACTTCTCAGAGCCTGATACCACAGGGCGCCTTCGGAGGTCTGTGGAGTTGTTTGGTACCACTTAAATGACCAACAGCGTAAAAGACAAGCGCTCTTAACGTTTTGGCTTCTCAGTGAAAATGTAATCCACAGTACCTTGGGTTTTGGACAGGTGTTAGGGGTAAAATCTGCGAATCTTCCAGGATGTCCAACCACAGCTGTATGAGGCCCTGACTGAGCCGGTCATCAGAGAGCAGGTCCAGATTCCCGTAACGGTCCATGACCTCCAACATGGTGGCCAAGATGGGCGTCACGGTGGACTGAAGACAGCGCCACAGGGTGTGTCTACCAGAAAAAGACAACACAGTCAAGTTGACTTCATATGAATATGTAGCTGACAATGTCTCAGAGTGCATCATCTAACTAAAGATTCCGTTAGCTGCAGGCAAAATTCAATTTTGAGATATTTTGCTTCCCAAACATGTTTTCTTTTAGACTAATGGTAAGAAACATCCAACATGCACATTTAGGAAACTATTTTACTACATGTTTGTCTATTTGCATCTGTAGAATTTAATTAGAATACACATCTTTAACGGCTGTTTTCTCAAAATAAGTTTTTTCCTCCTACTCTGCAGCCAGAAATCTGCACTTCACTTACATACACAAAACTTTCTAGTTTTATTACTGTCTATATTCTGACTGTACAGATGGTTTGTTGATACTCACACACAAACAAATGTTCTAGACCCAAAACACATCTGTCTGACTGGATATTTTAAAAACTGAAGTTAAAGATTCATGCTGCAAGGAGGACACAAGGACTTTTTTTTTAAGTCTACCATAATGTTATGAGATTTTACCTCAGAGTGCCCCCCTCCTGCAGAGCCTGGCGCTTCTTGGCTTCTATGTTCACCCATTCTTTAGGAGCACCCATCCACTCCTCTCTCTGTGCCAAAGCCTCGGCCAGTCTACTCAACAGCACCCTCTGAAAGTGAGCTTCAATAAAGATTGAATCAGACACAAGTGACGCTGCAACAACACAGTAAAGAACGTGTGAAGAGCAGAAAGTGTCAAACGAAAGTACACTGTAGTTATATGCATTCTAAAATCTGCATTATATATTCACCTGCTGTGTGCTTTGGACCAGTTCCCAGGAGAGTCAGAAGGATTTGCATCCGCTGCATGCTCCTCGGTGTCACGTCATCTGGGTCCCTCAGCAAACCCACAGCTTTTTGGATGCAGGACCTCACCAGAGACAAGCTGCTGAGGTGGGCCCTGTCCGTCTGCACGCACACACAATTATGTTGTCTTTTTTGTTTTTAATTAACACAACACGCGAAGACACAACACAACTCACCGTTCTGTCTTCTTCGGAGTCTTTTCTTCTCGCCACTGTTTCACTGTCTTCATGGTTTTCTGTTGAAGATCAAGAATGATGTTTATTTTACGGTAAAAACACAACAGCCGAGAATGCCTCACAGAGACAAAACACAGCGACGTATTTAGTTCAAACTGAGTTAAGACATCTTAACATATAAACACGAATCAATATAAATTGAATTTCCCTTCTGGGATAAATAAAGTATTTTTCATTCTTTCATTTCATTCATTACCACATAAATATTAAAATAACACATAAATCTGTACCTTTTGCAAGATGGAAGAAAGCTAATAATAATAAAGCTAATTAAAAAGCTAATTTACACACTTTGACTGTCTGTTGCGCTTGAAATATCCTGTGAATCCCAAAACTTGACAGCAACTTTCAAAAGCATGCTATCTTTTAACAGAAAAATTCAGTCCTTAAACAAATCATGTGTGACATACTGAGAAATCACTCTACATATCTCGTGTCTCTCTCAATTAAGTGTTCAGGTTGAGCTGTAGGCAGTATTTCCACAGATCTCTGCTCTTTCTTTTTTCTTTCCCAGCAAGAGAATTTTTTTTTCACAAACATAAGAGATTTTAATCAGCACCAAAGGAAAATCACCAGCACAAAAATGATAATATATATGATTTCCTCAAGCATAATATACATTTTTTTGTTCAAAAAACTGCCAAAATAACAGGAAATTGCATGGATTTGTCCTTCCCTTTACTGCATGCAGACTGACTGTGCTTACTGCCTTGCATGCTCACCCTTCAATGGCTCATTGTGAATCTGGAAAAACCCTGCATTTATTACATTATTCTTCTTTAAATGCCAAGAAGTTGTACAGTTTCTACCTGACAGTGCAGGGTTGAGCAGGCTGCTGATTAGAGTTCCACAGAAAACCAACAGGTTCAGACTCATGTCTTCTGAATCCCTCAAGTCATCGACATGCACCGAGTGCCAGATTCCTTTGATGGAAAAGACAAAACATGGTTTTAATGCATGAAACAAATAACTACTTTGTTGTAATGATCAGACATTCCACCTGATCCTCACCTCCTTGGAAACCGATGTACTGGGACTGACTTGGGATCCTGGAAACCTTCACAATGAAAATAACCCAACAGGTCTGATCCTCCAGTGACATCAAGTAATTCATGGTGCAATATCTGTTGGCAGAGAGACTCATGAACACATCTGGGATACCTACAGTATTCCACTTTGCATGTATAAAATCAGGAGTGAGCTTTACTTTGCTGATGCTATGAGTTCGTCATTGCACTGGGATTCCTCGAGGTCCATCTGGATTAACATGATGTGAAGAGAGGGACCGGCATCCTGAAGGAAGCCCCTGATACAGATTGATGAGGAAAGACAAGATTAGCCCTCAAATTATTCGTACATACCAACATACCAGCGCTTCTACTTTTCCTTAAATTGAGCATATTCATTTTCTCCTACTTCATACCTTAACTCTACGACATTCTAGTGGGGAAATATTGTACATTCTACTCCACTACATATCTGACAGCGTGTTTAAAACAAAGATTTCACCCTGGAAGCTTGGTAAACCCTGAACAGATTACCAGATTCAACCAGTAGTTTTAAACTTTGTGGCTTCTTCCAAAAAGCAGTTTGTACTTGTTTTGTCACATTTTAGATGTCTACAAATTGTTAACAGTGATTTTTCCCTCTAAACTTATCAGAATTCAGCTAATGATCCAATGGTTTGACATCTCAGCAAAGACTTTCCTTCCCTCTCCCATGAATCGTGTTTGGAGCCCTCAGATTTATCTGCTGTTCCTGTCTATAAAACTGGATATAAACTAGTTCACACTTGTAGCAGATACAACCGCAACATGTTGCTGACACACTGATGCTTCCTTCATAAAAATCTAATGATGGCAAATATAATAACATGTCAGTCATTGGGACCAAACCAGGACTTTTGTTTTAATATTCTAACTACAATTTGCTTCAACATACTCTTAGTTAAGTTAGATTTTTCATGCAGGATGTTTGATTGTGTTCGAGTATTTTATTTAAGTAAATGTTCTAAACACTTCTACCACTGCATTTCAGAGCTCTTTTTCATTTTTGACATTTTGAACGCAGAGCTTTATTAGTTTGCAGAACTGAATACTTAATTTCACAAAATTACAGAAAAAATAAATAAATGAAAAATTGAAGTTTTACAGAGAAAACACAAATAAGCCATGCTGCTGTTAGCTTAATAGCTTGTACCGTATTTTGTTGCAGAAGGTGACTTCAGTGTCAAACTGGTGCAGCGATAGCAGGAGGATTCTGTCAGTATGTAGGCCCAGTGCGTGGGCTACAACTTTCACATCTGATCTGGTCAACAAGCTGGAGAAAGTCGTGATCTAAAAAAAACAGAAAGTAACCAATGCTGTCACCAATTTGTAAAGATTGTGCAGGATTGCGATGAAATTTGAAGCGTCGTGCCTTACCTCCAGGAACCTGCTAGACTCCTGGTGCTTCTTCAGACCATCTTCCAGAAAATCTCGGAGAGAGTGGTGATGCTGTTGCTGGAAGTACAATCTCTGGAGGTTTTCCTTCTCCTGATTTGCTAAATCTGAGTATTTGAGTCTCATTACAGCGTCAGGGGTGGCACAGTTCAACAAGAGGCGTTTGGCTAAATCCAAGACCTCTTCTTCCTCGTTTTCTCTTACAGACCCAACATCGCTTTCTGTCTCCATCATTTGTTCGGTTTCTGACATCACTTTATCGACATCACGTTCCTCAACGGTTTCATCCTCATTTTTTTCCACTGCTTCCATTTCTTGGTCATCTTCAGCAATCTCTATGTCCATCATATCACTTAGCAGGCCATCCGCCATCTCGATCACCTCTTTCTGTCTGTCGGCCTCAAGTGTTTTGTTTGGTTCATCTTGTTGTTGCTGTCTTTCTTGACTGTCTCCAGCTTTTTGTGCTCTCCTTTTTAGCGCCTGCAACAGAGCACTGGCACAGGCATCGCCATGGAAGCCAACAAAAATGTCAGACAGCTTGAAATCCTTCATGGACTCGCCTAAGAATTCCTTCACCCACTCCTTCAGTTTGTGAAGAACCCTGTGTTGCCATGTTTCCAGATCAGTGCTCCTGTCCACTCTATGTTTTTCCAGTCTGTTGATGAGGGGAACTGGGAAGTGCTCATAGACCTTCTTCTGGTCCTCCACTACCACCAGTCTGAAGTTTGTATGAACACGACATTTGACTCTGTGGGAACCAAGACCAAGATCCACATACTGCTGCTGACTGAGGTAAACATAGTACTGGTTCAAGGCATCGTACAAGCTTTCGTAAAGATTTTGCATGTTAAGGAGGATGACAGTGCGTCCAGTCTCCATGCATGTTTTCACGCGGTTGACATTGCGGCAGATTTGGGCGTACTCCTGGTCCTTTGGGAATCCAGAGCCAAAGATGATCTCAGGCGGTGGATAGTCTCCTTTGGCAAAAACCTGTTGCTGAAGGATGTGGAGAGCTGCGTTGTTAGTGGTCAGTAAAAGCAGGTAACGGCTCTCCTCGTCTGTGCCGTGATCAAGGTTCTTTTTCACCATTTGTAAGGTGCTTGGTCTAGGAACTTCAGTAAGGTCTTGGAGAACCTCTTGGAAAAATGTGACAGGGTCAAAACCCTCTGGCTGTCCACTGAAGTTACGTAAGATGGCCTCGACCAGCTGTTCACCATCTGGCTCTTGTTGTGTGGATTTCACTGCAGCAAATAGCATTTTGACAAGGCTGTAATAATCCCTCAGACCAAAGAACTGGTTCTTTGAGGTCTCGTTACAGATTTTCAAGAAGGCCTCTGCCAAAGATGGGAAGAGGTGTTTGATTTTCAGGAGGATTTGGCTGGAAGATGAACAAATTCCCTTGGCAGTCTCCACGAGTTCGTCCTCGCTTGGATCCCATCTGGACACAAATATTCCTCTGTTCATCTTTGCTGGGTCGAGAGCCCAGTTAGAGATGCCAACAAAGCCAACCTTCATATGTGGATCTGGCCTGTCATTGTCAATGCAACCATCTTCCAAGAGAGGGTGAAGGGTCTTCAGTGGCATCTGAGGAGAATCTTCTGCCAGTCCGATCTCATCAAGCACCACCACTGACACATACTCAGCCATGTTTTTGTCCTTCTGGAATCGGGCACAGTTCCTGAAAGTCCCGATGATACCCTCTGGACTGGAGTGGGGGCTGCACTGGAAGGAAACCATGTGAACTTGCTTGAGGCTCCTAAATAGTTCACAGTGGGAGTTCTGGCCCTGCATGGCATCCGCAACCACTGTTTTAGCAAGTGACTTAGAGCTGCCTGGCTTCCCGACCAGAAACAGTGGGATCCTGAGCTCTATGCAAACCACCATGAGGAAGACATTCTCTTTGAGTGCAATGTTTTTGGCTATTGTCTCCCTTGTTCGTATGTTCTGAAGGAAGAAGTCTTGACAGGATGAAATCTCTTGCTGCAATGCAGCTGAGGAGCGAAGAGGGTCAGGAAAGTGCCTACAAATTTCAGCCAGGTACTCCTCCTTTTCCACCAGAGATGGGTAGTAGCAGACTCCAACAGCAAGAATCAAGCACTTGAGAGTTTTATAATTTTCGCTAAGGTGAGTGCAGTCGTTCAACAGAACCTCGCTATGCTGGTAAAACCAAACAAGCACTTTCATTGACCTCTCCACATCTCTGAGACTCACAAAGCTGCATTCATTTTTCCGGCTTCTCATGTATTTCTGGGAGGCTGCCAGCACATTTGAAATGACACTCTTGCAAGCTGCTGGCAAACGATGGTCAGCAACATTCTTCTGAACAATCTGTTTGATGTAGGAAAGCTCAGTGGAATCACTTAGTTGACCAAAATCCCACACCAATGATGCCATGCTTGGAGGCAGAGGATGAACCCTGTATACCAGCTGCCTTAGAGGGACTTTGCCAAGACGGTCTTCTGTTTCGTCTGCCTTCACTCTGTATCCCAGTCCTGCACGTTCCAGACGTTCCACCATTTCAGGGGAGTGCTTCCTGTAAGGATTGCAGGCAGCTATTATTTTCAAGCCACTGTTCGCCTTCATAGGTTCCCCTTTCACTGTTTGGTCACACAGGATTTCCTTGATGGCAAAAATGGCCTCTGTGGTGTTTGCTTCGTCAAAGAACAAAATGGTATCCAAGTTGTGCGTTTTGCGATTCTTGTGAGCAAGTGTCTCAGCCTCCCTCACCTTTCTGTAGATCATTTCCGCTGTAGTTCCACCATGTACTTTCACAAGTACCATGTTCTCCACTGGTCTTTCCTCCCTCTGCAGAGTACAAAGGAAACGAACCAGTCTGGTTTTTCCACAGCCGGTCTCTCCCATGATGACAACTGGAATTCCACATCGGAATCTCATGTGTATGGCCAACATCTTCATCACATTGTCAGCGGTGAGCTCGTATGTTGAGTCTGGATCAAAATTCCTGTCCATAATTCCTCTCTTTGCACCAACAACACATGAAATCCTTTTGATTTTGTCTGGCCGGGACAACTGATCAAAGTCCTCGGTGAGAGAAATCCTTTGCCGCTGCAAACCGTCAAAAAGTTCTTGCGACATGACGTGCTGTATCAAGACCTGTTTGCTGTGAGGATCAACTGCATTGAGTATTTTTTGCCTCGGACATTTCTGCACGTTAAAGCCGAGGAAAGACATCGAGAAATGGTCTGCATTGAAGAAAATGTAGGGATGAGACTCGTTTTCCCAGTGCTTACGAATTGTTAGACGGGCAAGAAGGTTGTCTTCCAGACTGTTTTCAATACGCAGCATTGGGCTTTCGTCAGATGTGTCCAGAGATGGCGAGGCAAAATCTCTTGCCATCAGAATCATGAACTTCACAATGAAGCCTTTGAAACCAGGCAACTGGTCAGCAAGAAAATCCGGATCACAGAAAACGGAGTTCTCACAGTCTTTCAGTTGCACATTGAGGAACCAGGAGAAGTTCTTCAGTTCACCCCAAGATGGATCCTGCATTCCACAGAATGACAGGAAATGATTGAGACAGTCATTGGGATCCCCTTCTCTGGATCCTTTCTGGTAGTTGAAATGATCCAGATTCTTGTTCTGGTTGTAGAGCTTTAAGTACTGATAGGGTCTTTGAATCCCCTCACTGCAAAACTCCTGCTCATCCATGAGTGGATCAAAGGTCTTTTTTGCTGATACCCTTCGAGTGGCCACAAGCTGATTCACCTCTCTTGGAGGTCGACAATTAATGGTGGGCACAATGTCAAGAAGTCCGAGTCTCATCTGTGTGAGCAAATTTAACACATGAATAGATTATTTATGGGGGCTTTACATTCAAACATTAAATGCTTCCCAATACCACAGACAACGAAAAAGTTTTTGTCAAAAAACATGGAAATTTAAGGGCTGAAGTCAACCAAAGAAAATCTGGATTTACATCCCTACTAAAAGACATTTCTACCTCTTTTGGCTGGTTTTGAGAGGACGTGTTTGATTTCAGGACCTCCACAGCGATCAGGTGAGCTACATTCCTTCTCCACAGCACACCATGACTGTCACTCAAACAGCCCAGAACTAACAGATGGAACAGGAGCTCCTCCAGACCTGAACGAACCTGACAGGTGACAAAAGTTAAAGACAGGGCAGATCCTTAGCTTTAAATAACAACAGAACAACCTATCTGCTGGCATAAATGCTTGTATACTTACTCCTGCAGTGTCAATATGCAGAAGAACAGGGTCCTGCTCTCTCAATGGTGCCAGTTTCTCTGACAGACTCTTGATCAAGGAGTCAATGTCAACACATGGTTCAATCAGTTTGATCCTGATGTGTTTGGCTCTGGGAGACGTCTGCTGGAACTTCTCAAACAAACGATCCACATAAAGCGATTTCCCTGTTAATGAGAAAAAGATCACAGGGAAAATATTGAATGAATTAATTAGAATATTGGTATAAAAAGGAAAACATGTCGCAGTATATCTCGACAAATGAAGTATTGTTGTGCTGTAGAGATGCCTTAGCCTACAATTCACATTTATCAGATATAAAAAAAACATGCTTGTTAGGTACTGACTGCAACATAAATCAAATACCTATTTTTGTACAGTTTTTTAGTGGAAACTAAACGCACAAATTACCATTAACCCAAAAATTGTGACTCATTTCGTGCCATCTGTTAAATTAGCTGCAATAAGACTTTTATTTGGTACCTCTAATATGGATACAGAGGAAAATTGAGACAGTCTCTCTAACATTTGGTCCATGTGTTGCATCTTTTCTGTTGCAACCACTAAAAGGTGGCAAAGTGATTTTAAACTGTAAATATCTAGCTGCAATTGGCAAAAAATCCCACAGCTTTTACATAACAAACACATTCTACATTGAATGATTTTCATAATGGGATGCCAGTTAGGTTTATCCTTACCGACTGCAGGGCGCGTAGATGACACCATCCACACTGAGAGCTGATCAGGAGAAACCAGCCCGACAGGGTTTTGCATGTTTTGCGTGAAGTGGTGATGAAGGTATTTCCTGGCAGTCTCTGCTGTTAGACTCACACCAGCTTGGACTTTGTCGTTGCTGAAGAAAGAGGGCACATATCGGTGCTGGTGCGCAACTGGACTGACTATCACCAGACGATAGTGTGGGCTGGCACTTCTCTCCAGACTCTCAAAGAGCTCGCCTAAAGCCACACTGACATCGTATCCCAGCAGCCCCGGATTGACCAGAGAATATATCTTCTGCCCGCTTTGTTTGGAACCTTGGCCGAGAGCTCGGTGCAGAAAGATCTCCACCTCCTCTTCTGAGGTCTCTTCTCTGCAGACTAGAACCTCGTCAGCAGATGGCAGAGGCTGCTCTGGACTCTCCATGTAAAAAGACAGAGTGGTGGTAAAAACCTCGGCACACGGGCAAAGCACAAGGTTGGGTTTCCCCTCCTGAAGAGCAGCTGGAAGGTTTCTGATCATGTGTTGGTGGTTGCTGTCAAAGAGGTAGGAGAGGAAACGGGCCAGAGTCGGGATGTCCAGTGAGTCCCTGAGATACTGTGTCATGTTGTTCTTGAATCGTCCCCAGAGGTTCTCAAGATTGTCTTCATCGGTGGCACCATGGTCTTCATCCTCAGAAGAAAACTCCATCAGATCACGAGCCTCTTCCATGTCTTCTTCAGTGTATTCTGGTGAAGCTGGAGTTTCGTCCATCAAAGGTTCGTAACACAGATCTTCATCGTCAGACTCCTCCAGCTCCTCACGCTCTGCTGCACTGTCGTAAGCTACTCTGACATCATTGAGCGTGCACAGAGGTTTTATGGGAAACAGTAAGTGCCATAGCTGCTGGGGAACCGACGCCTGCCGTTGACACACTTTGTGTATCCATTGGCACAAATACACCATCTGCTCTGAGGTGTAGTGGTTGAGCAGGCTGAAGCTGGAGCGCATCTCACTGATGAAGGAACGCCATTCTCTCTGGCAGCTATCCATGGCGTGAGCGAGCTGTTGCAGCTGCTCTGTCACTTCACCATAGTACGACATCTCTTTACCCTGCAGGGACACGAAGGTAACTCTGATGCACGGTCCATGTTGCGGGCAGCACTGGACCTCAGCATTCCACTCCCTGAAGAGCATGTTGCCAGATGTTTGCATCTGAAGAAGGATGGTGGCCAGTCTCTGAACTCCTTCAAAAACCTGCAGAACATGTGGACATGAGTTTAGGAATGTTAATGTCCATTCAGCACACAGAGTACACTTTAGAAAAATAGACCTTTCCTTTATTTTTAACTATTTAACAATCATGTTGCCGACTTGCACTGGTTGGTTCTTTTAATTTTCAGGCTGATCAACCCGTGTTTCCTTTGTGCTTCCTCAGTTAACACACAGAAACTGCTTAGCGTTCAGAGCGTTAAGAAATGTTTCTGACCTCTGTGAACCTGTTGACTTGTTCTCTGCCATGTTCTCCTTTGGACGACATGAGCATGAGTTTATTTTGCAGCTCCAGCAGATCTTCGAGCTTGTAGCTTTTCTCCCCTCTGGTCCCTCTCACTGTGACCTGCACCATGTTTTGCAGGCATCTCTACAACAAGTGGAAATCAGAAAGTAAACGCTTCATAAAAATCTTAAATCATGTAAGTTACAACTTTGGTTTTTAGTGAAGACTGACCACTTACCCTCTCTGTCTTTCGGTCAGACCATCCTACGTGATAAACTCCATCAGTGTTGATAGAAGAAGCCAAAGAGAGCGAGGATTGCTCCACAGAGCCGTGAGTCTCCTTCAGTGCTTTCAGCCAGTTTAGCAATCGAGTAGACTCTCTCTGAAAAACAAAGTCTACAGCATCATTACTGTCACTCTGCCACAGAAACAAGGCTTTCTGCCTACAGTGTCTTTTGAGAGTCTCCACCCTTCTTGGAAGTTTTCTCTTTTCATTGCTTTTCAACACTGAATCATGGTTTGATTTAATTTGGCTTTTTTGAGAAGAATTTACAAAAAAGTGTCAGCGGCTGAGATGGGAGAGACTGTTCATAGAGAAAAGCCACTGTTGAAAAAAGTTCATATTAAATCTGGACGAGAGTTCACCAGAAAGCATGTGGGACACTGAAGTCAACTGGAAGAAGGTCCAGTGAGACCAAAAATTAGCTTTCAGTCCATCTGATTTGAGGCTATAATTGGTGGACAGCAAACACTGCACATCCTTACAAACACACCATAACCACTGTGAAGCACTGTGGTGGCAGCATCATGATGTGAAGACTCTTCTCAGCAGCAGCCCTGGAAGACTTGTAAAGGTAGAGGGTAAAATGAATGCAGTAAAGTGTAGAGAAATCCTGGAGGACAATCTGATGCATTCTGCAAAAAAATTGGGATTTGGGAGAAGATTTGTTTTCCATGAAGACAATGAGTCGAAGCAAACAGCCAAAGTTGATTGAGACCAACACAGGCTCAATGATGTAACTGCAGCCAAAGGTGCATCTACTAAATACTGACTGGAAGTAGGTGAATACCTATGCAATCACCTATTTCAACATTTATATTTTTTCAGGATTTGACATTACTTTTTATAAATCTGTTTATTTATTTTTTTTGTGTGTGTAAATTCTTGTGAAAAAAACAAACTGTATTGACCATGATTCAGTGTTGAAAAGCAATAAAAGGGATACACTTCCAAGTGTGGTGGATCATTTTTATAGGCCCAGCACATATGAGGGAGAAGACGCAAATACCAGTTTGTCGGGGAGCTTCTCATCTCGACTTTGGGTATCCCACACCTGGTGAGCACACCTCATGAAGTCCTCAAAGTCAGCGTGAGGTGACAGGGAGTACAGCAGAGGGGAATATCCCATCACTGCATCGTGAAAACAGGCCACCTGGTCGATCTCTGTGTCGTTCTCTCCAGCAGATATAGAAGCTAGGTCCACGTAAACTTTCACATCGCTCATACCTGTTGACGGGAGAGGAAAGTCAGTATTTTCTACAACACCACAAGATCATTTATGTCGAGAAAAAAGAGCAATTACTTACTTTTCAGGTTCTCTTTGACCCAGTTCACGAGAGTTTGGCTCTTCAGAAACTCTTCCAGACAGGCAGTGTGCTGCTTGGTGACTGTGGAGAGCTGTTTTTGGGCTCGAAACACTTTGATGCTAAGAGACCCCAGGGTCCTCTGCTTAAATGTTTCCTCCTCCTAATAGTCAAGCATAAAATTTAAGGAACATACATGTTTAAGAGCAAAAATTACACATCTATAGCAGCCTACCACAAAACTGCAGCATCCACATTTCTGTTTCTGTTGATAATGTCTCTCTCTGCACGTTTTACTGTCAAATAAAGGCCCCCCCCAAAAAAAGCACAGAAAAGACGAGTTTGTTTCACCTAAAAAAGTATTCTTGTGCATAGAGCATGTGTTATTTCATAGGTTGGATGTCTTCAGTTTCCTTCTACACGGTGGAAAACAGTAAAAAAAATAAAGAAAAACTGTTGACTTAGCAGGTGTTTCCAAGCTTCTGATTTATATTCACATGTTGAATATGCATTTCTTCTGTAAACACTTCAACAGGAGAGAATATCAGAAGCTAGGGTTGAACACAAATATCATAAAAAGCCACATCCCTAATAAGTGCTACTCAAATCCTTTGTAAATACCGTTATTTAAGTTTAATGTCGGATTATAGATCATTACCAGTTGGCTGAGGGTGTCAATTTCGGAGAAGTTTCCAGAAAGCTTCATTTTCTCAGCTATGTTCAGCACTGCGCTGGCTGCAGCCGCCGCCTCATGCAGCTGTCGATAATCCTGAATCTGACCAAGTCTCAGATCCACCCAGTTCTCCTCAGCTTCCAATCCCCCAGCCTCAGAAAACATCTTTGACATCAGATTCAGCTCCTTCTTCAGCAGCTTCCCATCACCCGGGTCGCCGGACTCCGACAAAACCCGATCGACCTCCTTGAAAGTGATGTTTGCGTTTGCAATGCTGGCGCCCAGCTGGAGGAACTCTGCCAGCAGAGGCTTCCAGATGTATTCGTAGATCTGTGCGAGGCTTACTGGAACAGGAGCTGGGGAGGGATGTCCTGGTGATGCCAAAGATGCTGCTCCTTTCACCCAGGAGGACAGAATCAGGTTGCTGTCACGCAGTTTGTGCATCTCGCTGGCCATTTTTGACACATTCATGCTGGTTTTGTACCAGAGGACCTGTGGAGAACCAGTCATCTTCAACGTCCCTTCAGCATCAAAGGACTGAACAAACACCAGCTTGTTCAAGCTCACAGCGTGGAGATCTGCAGCGTGCTGCTCCTCCAGAGTTGACACCTCAGGAACTGGTTGAATAAGAACCACATAAGTGAAGAAAACACCACATTAACCCTCTGAACCTGCAACATAAGGTCCTGCACCTCTATGAACAAAGAACAACCATGACTAGAAGGACAGGGAACGTAAAAACATCCTCTATGCAGTCTGACACGGGTAAAATGTCACAACTCATAAAAAACTAACAAAAGTTGAATTTATAAAATTATTTACTTTCCAAAACTTGAAAATGGAATCAACATGTACAAATACTTTCAAAAACATCTACAGCTGCTATGAGTGCAAAAAAATACATGTATAGATATTTACATGCAAGTAACCCCGAACTCAACAACTCCAGGAAGATGTTTCCTCATGCTGAATGTATCTTTCAACAACTTGCTCCTCTGTATAGGGTTTTTGAACCATGCTGCATTTATTTTATTGATCAGGTATGGGGTTTTTTTTGCTCCCAATCATCCCTAATTTGTTTCCATTCTTGTCTCTGCAGTTTAGTCAAATATTCAATGGACTGTTGGTTGCAGATCAGTCACACATGGATTGTCAGTTTATTTTGGTTAATTATTCATATAAAACATGTAGAATAACATGATTTTGAAAAACTATAACAATCTTAAGCTCAGATTTGGTTCATTTCTATGAGGGAAAGGGTTGTCGGAAAGTTGACAATCTGATCATTCTTCCTGTTTTTACAGTTTCTGGCTGATAAATGGTGACTTATTGGTGATATTTTAAGTTTTGAGGTTCAGGGGATTAAACCATGACACAGAACCAAGCAATTCAAATAATTCAAGTTAAAATGAGGCACTTCATTATTTGTCCAGCGATACTCACCCGTGATGCTTTCCGTAACCTTTGCTATCATCTTTATCAGTGTATCTATTTGCTGCTTCCGCTGAATGAAAGAGGTCAAGTCCTTCTCCCTCTGAGCCAGAACAACATCTGCATCGACAGGAACCTTCTCAGATTTGGTGTTTTTCTTGTCTGTTGGGGACATAATGCAGCCGTTATTGAGTCATACATTAGGTGGCGCTGAATGTAGTCTTCACAGAAGGCTGTTTGTGATGCAGAAGCTCATGAGGGTTCGTACACTGCTGGTAAAGTCTCTTGAATTGCTCTTTATATTTCAGGCAGGTCTGCAGGTGTCCCAGGGGAACGTCTCCTTGAAGCAGAGACGTCACCAGGGCCTGAACTGCCTCCACACAGCTGTGGACCACATGACCAGCGGTGTCATCCACCCGGATCGCCCTCCAATCACCTGGACCAAAACAACAACACAGCGGACTTCAGAAAACCTGAGTGAACAGCTTTAGAACAAAAATCGATCAAAATAATTTAATTAAATGAATAATTATTACCGTTAGACAGCAGGTGGTTCATGGCGGACTGTGGATCGAGCAGCTGGACCACTACGTTGTCTTTGAACCGTGATGCTGACTCGATCACAACAGCAGACACGACGGCGACTGGAAGATCTTTTACCTTAGAGTTGAGACTCTGCATCAGGTCCCCCTCCTTACTTCTCTGAAACACAGGATATACACGGTACAATAATATAAATACTCTATAGCTGTTCATTATGTTAAATACTTACCTCACTTGCTTGGTCCAAAGTGCTTAACACTGTTCTACAAAACTAAACACTAACTACACAGACTTTCAGACAGATGTGAGACTAGAAAGGTGTAATTTTTGACAGAAAAACTATGCAAAAATGCAAAAGAACTAGAAAACCCAGATTAAAAACAAACTGCGGTGACTCGGGCCAGTTACAGCTCATAAGCTAGATTCAGCCAAACCCAATATATCCACTTTTTCAGCCTGTTTTACACATTTACAATTCAGTTTTGATGCTTCGCTTTCGGTGGATCTAAGTTTGTTAAAACACATAAATAATACTAAAGCTTAAGCTTGTTAAAAGCCAAATCACACCATCATTATTTACATGGCACATTTAAAACACCAGACATTGACCCACAGAGCTTTGTAATAGAGAACTAAGATTAACATTACAAATCCATCTGGCTGATTAAATTTAAAATGAAAGGTTCAGTGAAATATTATCAAAATGGCCGAGAGCAATGTCAAATCACAGGAAGCACTGTGGTAGTACAGAGATGACCTCTAGACGTAAGGAAATCTGCTAGTGTGGTACAGATTACAGCAAAAATCCCATTATCAGTTTTCATTTGTTAAAATGAAAATGAATGAGAACTTGTGAATAATTGTGACACATACTGCAAAATCTGTGAAAATTATTTAATATAATTTTTTTTGTATATTGTTCAGCCCTAACAGCTAACTAGCCTAGCTTGGCTTGTTAGGATTTCGTGTTATTTTATCTTGTAAAGCTGCCTTTAAATGACATGTTTTGATGTTTTAATTTCATGATGGGTTTATTAAACAAGGTCCTCTGTACAAATGGAGAATTGAGCTGAAGAAGCACTGAGAAAATATTAAGCTTTTTGATAATAGACCTGCCCTGAGTCTGTTAGGCATTTACAACTTGTACACCTGTTCCACAAATGTCAGTCCCTTTTTCCGGACTTCATAGTTTCTGACTGTGTTTGTACTGGGCAGCAGCCAGGAGAGGTTTCTAGTGTATGAACTGACTGTTTGGAGAGAGGTGTGGGTCACTGTGCAAGTTGTTTAAAAACTATGACTCTACTGACCTTAAAAACACAAGAAATACTGCTGAATTTTAATTTATTGTAACAGCGAAAAAGACAGAATTTGTTGAGCATCTATCCCAAAGAGAAGAACAAGAGTGACCGCTTATTTATGGTATGACAGTGAACACAAAACTCTTTTCATATTTTTTGGTTTGACAAAGGAGCTTCCTCAGACTAAAAAATCAATTTCTCATAAAGGCCTGAAGTCCTTATTTTTGAACGTATTTATGTAAAACATGCCACATTCCTTACAGCTGGTTTAAGATACATACATGCGCCTTTTCTTACTCTGAAAACACCAAACGTATATTTAATTATGAACAGATGATTAACACCAAGTCTGATGATACACCAAGTGCATCATATGAAATGTAAAACAAAACCATCTCCCGACTTTGTACGGGAAGAGTTTTAAGAGGTCTCACCTCAAACAAAAGAATGATGTGACATTAAAAAAAATCAAAGCTGAACTTGTTCCGTCCGTAAATCATGAACCAACCTGGCAGATTGTCTTGATCGCTGAGTGACACATCTCGTCGAAACAGGACTGGACAGCGTCATGGCCTGTCCTTATAGCTGCCGAAGACGATTCAAGGCAACAGACCAGAACTCTATCCTCCTCTGCTGCCTGCAACGAAAAACAACCCAGACGAGCTGTGAGAGGAGAAGATCTACCCGCTGGCCCTACATTCCTCATAGAATTAATGTTGGTCTCAGTTTGAACTGGATGATTATAGCAGTGCTGATTCAAGAATGATCAATATACAGTCCCTCACCTGAGAAATCCTCTTCTTCAGGTCTTTTGTCAGACTCTGCCTCCAACGGGATGAAACCTCCTCAAAAGGGCATTCCACCTTCATCATCGCATTCCACATCTGATGAACCAACACAGGCAAAATTATACATGACATGACAGAGAGTAAAACCTGGTTCAACTGAACAATTTCAGACCAGACCATGAATAAAACCTCATTATGTTTCTTTTATAGTTTTAATTTAAAAAAAAAAAAAGCCCATGTAATTGATCTGTTTTGATGAGTAGAAACTTGATAGCAAGAAAAACATTCACATCTTCTTTCAGTTTTGAAAATGTTCTCTTTTTCATTACCTGGTGCACATGAAAAACTGCTGAAATGAGCAGATGACATTCTTTAAACTGTTGTCTGTCAGGCAGCATAATATAAACTCTGAATATGAACTCAATTGAAATCTGTTTGTTTTTTTTAAGAAAAATGCTGTTTTAGTTCAAATTTAAAACAAGAATAAAAACAGTGAATAAAAAAATTATATAACAAAAGATAAATTAGGATAAAGAGGTAAAATAAATGAGTTAAAACGAGAGTATAGAATGGCTTCCTGAAGCATTTTTTGTTGTATTTGTCAACAGTCTGTCTACATTCCAACTTTTTATATGTTTCCAGCCTCTACAAACTTTTCCCCTCTACTCTCCTCATCAGCTGTTCCACCATGCTGAATGTATCTTCCAACAACTTGCTCCTCTGTTCACTGTTTTTGAGCCACGCTGCATTTATTTAATTCATCCGCTATGTTTTTTGTTTTTCTCTCTCTCTTGTTGTCTCCTCTCTGCTCTGTGGAAACACTGCCTGCAGTTCAACCTGAAAACAATCGCAGAGTTTTTTTGCACAGCTGAGTCAGTATAGCTTCTCAGGTGTTGTTTTTACAGGATCGGGTAGGAACAGTTTATTTTTGATGAATTTTTGTGGACATATCTGACATACAGATTGAAGTGAAAGTTAATAAAGTTAGATGAAATATCTACTTCGCTTTTACAGGATCAGGGGCAAACTGTTTATTTTGGAGGATCCTTTTAAGAAATGAGAAATGTACAATATATAATATAATAAAGGAAATATCACAATTTTGAGCAGATTTTTTTGGTTATTTTTTTCCTGCTGGAACCCTACATCCCACATGATACGTTCTAGGACTGTCTGAAAGTAGAAAATCAGACGGTTCTTTCTCTTCTGACAGTTTGTGACTCTGATAAATTGGCATCTTTTCAAAGAGTTAATCAATTAATCCAAAAAAAATAAATAACTACTAATAGATATTACTGTAATGAACTTTGTCTGCTGCTTACCTCTATTTCCTTTGGGTAGGTGGGAGATTTAAATGTCATGAGGGGTTTTTGCAGTAATTCATCTCTGCCCTCACTGATTTGCTTCTGCACGGAAAAGAGCTTCTCGAACAACTGCTGCTTTAAGGTCTCAAACTCATCTTCTTTGGACTAAAAGACACAAAGCAAAGTCACTTAAGTGGTTTATAATGAGGTAGGCGTGTCTGTGCAGATTCCAAAGCGCAAAATAAAACAAATATTACCTCTTTTTTCAATGCAGCGGCCAAAATCTCTGCTAATTTCAACACCAGCTGGTAGGACAGGACTGCTGTCGGGTACCAGGGGACGAGTCGCACAATACTCCAGGTTCTCCTCATCACATCGATGCTGCTCTTGAAGGCTGAGTGGATGTTTCCAGATTCAGTCATTCTGCAGACACGAAGATAAAGTTACAGGGAGAACAAAGCACAAGACGTCAGTGGGGCATGAAGCACATGTCAGATGTCCTACCTGTCTTTCTCGTTGTCGACCGTCGGCAGGATGTGGGTCAACGATTTCTGAGCAAGCTGCAAGTACATGTGACAAAGATTAATGAAAACGATCATTGTTAAGGTAAAACAATGCTATTTTGTGTTTGTGTTCATTTTTCTACCTCCACATTCTCCTGTGCTCTATTGAGATCCATTTGCTCTCCACATCTTCGCAGTCTGTACAGCAGACTCTGGATCAGGTGTTCGGCAGGAATTCCCGTCAGGCCTGAAAATTCAGGAAGATCCTCAAATGCAACCAGAGACAACCAGCTCATCAGGAGCAGAGGCATCTCCTTTGCCAGTGGTAGCTGTTTACGGATCAAAGACAGCATCCTCCTGTGACAAAAAAAAAAGTTACTTCAATAAATCTGATCATCACTTTAGGAAATAAAGAAAGCTGAGGTGGCTTTGAGGTCGACTCACGCTCTTTTGTCGGAGTAGGACTTTATATTCTCTCTGAATTTGCAGAAGTTGATGCCATTCAGTCCTGACCAGTTCTCTTCCTCGACAGCTGGACCCACTTTAGCTGCATCAGCTCCTGGTTTTCTGAGTTTAAAGAGCAGCGGGACGAGCTGGACAAGCTCCGACACCATTGAGTGGGCACAGATGTTCATTAGACCCAGCACAGTACTGCGGGGAAGAAACAGAGTCGAGGGAGGATGAGAACACAAGATCAAAATCTTCTGTATCGTTCCTGTAAAAGTCCAGCGGAGTTGAAGGCTGAAGGTTCTGATGGTTGATTATCTACTTTTTATTGTTTCTAAGTCAATAAAACATAAATGCATTCTTCAAGGTAATTAAAATATAATTGACAGATTTAGTTTGAGATGAGATGAACTTTATTGTCCCGAAGTAAATTTGTCTTGGGCTAAAAGTACTCAACTACTATAAACGTCTAAAACCCAAAACCCACCAGCGGTTCTGACAGTCTTATTTTCTTTCCAAAAATTGCCAAAATTACACAATTCATCTGTCTTTGACCATTTTCTGTAAAAAAAACAAAACAAAAAAAAAACAATAATAACAATAATTCTAAACTCTTCAACACAACCGTGAGGCCATTAGTGACTCAGATGACACCAACAGTCATGTGACAAAAATTGTTTTTTTTAAAATGATTTATGACATTCTAACATTTCTGAGCTCTCTCTGCTTCTACTCATGGTTTTGCTGTTTCCATAGAGGTGTAGGATTTTATACTGCAGTGATAATTGAGGCCACAGAAAGTACAAATGCGACAGGAGCAGAAAACGCCCAGAAACTGCTTGGAGTCAAAGAGAGTCAACCTTTCTACACAAACAGTACTGTATTTACAAATGAGCTGGAGAAACCCAACAGTGATGTAACTGACAACTGTGCTGCAAGCTGAGGAAGACTGAGCAACACCTATCAAACTCAGCACACAATGATATTTCACACTCACTATACAACTTGAAGCTTCATGCGTTTGGAAAACTTACAATTGTGGATTTTCAAAAGAAGTTCGCAACCCATCCAGGTTTTTCTTGTCCATCGCCGTCTCTGAGGACACCAGGTCACACAGCTCAGCCCAGCCTTTAACTCCAAGGTTGAAGTTTAGGCTTCTGGTCACCATGAACACAGACAGGCCCAGAACAAGAGGGCTGCAGCTTCTGCAGCTGCCTGGGATTTTCTCCTTCGGCTCTCCTCGTAAGATTTGAACCAAACCCTCTGAAACCAGCTCTACTGTCTGTAAAATAAAACATCTGGTCAATGATGCAATACAGATGTTTATATATTGAATGAGTGCTTTGATTTACACTCTTCTCAGTGCACCAACCTTGACCATGGGAGGATGTGAATTGTCTTCATATCTCATCCTTGTATCAGCAGAACCTAGGCTCCCCATAAAACACTTCAGGTTGTGACACATGCTGTCGGTGCTCTGTTTGTCTGATGGAGTCCATTTCTGGAAGATTCTGTTCAGAAGAGTCGTCGCTGAGGCCTGCCAGGCGTCTGAAACCTCCACACCTTTCTGATTACTCAGACCCATCTTGCGAAGGCCAGTTTGAAAAAGACTTTGCCCATCATAGCGGCAAATGAAGCCTTCATAAAGGTGCATTTCTAGATGAAACACAAGCAGATGTTTGATGTGAAAACACTGAAACCAGCAGCTAACACTCTCAGATTAAACATTTCACACTTGCCTTACCTTTAATCCTTGGGTCCAGTGGAATTTGAACATTTCTGTAGGCACTTCCCAGAATGTCTTTACGTCGCTGCTTTACTCCGTACCAGTAAGTCAGCGGCATGCCTCTCATCAAGAGGCTTTCTTCAATGGAGAGACTTGCTTCTACCAGATATCCTTCCTGCTTTAGTCCACTAAACACAAATTATTGAACATTTGTTATAAATATACCTTTATTGAAGCTGCAGCAAACACCTCAGGATGCAGGACAATTCATGTCAAATAATTCACGATTTGAAACAATGCAATTTATAAATGACTAAGGCTGCAATTTCCGACATGGTTATACACAGCACTGTCACATCATCCTCCTTGTGTGACAGTCAAACTATTCATGGTATCTCATGTGGCAACGCTCCATCACATGTTTAAATTTATGACAAAGTGAATGTTGAATTGAAGCTTGAATTATATCACAAATCATTCATCCATTATCTCTACACCTTAATCCTCACTAAGGTCATGGGGGGCTGGAGTCTATCCCAGCTGACTCAGGGTGAAGGCAGGTTCACCTGGACAGGTAACCAGTCTATCACAGGGCTACACTTAGAGACAGACAACCAAGAACACTCACATTCACACCTACGGACAATTTACAATCACCAATTAACCTCAACATGTTTCTGGACTGTGGGAGGAAGCCGGAGAACCCGGAGAGAACCCACGCTGCACGGGGAGAACATGGAGACTCCACACAGAAAGATTCTGGGTGTCCTCACCAGGACTTGACCCAGCGACCTTCTTGCTGTGAGGCAACGGTGCTAACAACCGAGACACCTTGCAGCTATCACAAATCAAATGTCAACATTTGAATCGCAATTATTTCCCTCAAACCGTTCAGCCCTGGTTCAAAGAGAGAAAAACTGAACACAAACTGTTACCAAAACGCTGACATTGCATTTGAATCACCTAAAATGTGAATCTGAGAGGCGAAACATCAAATCTACAGAACAATAACACACATTTCATTACATTCTGTGTTTATACAAATGTTATTTATACTCACACAAAATGTGTTATTTCCAGGGGAAAATACCCATTTCCATGAAACAGCACAAGCGTGTCATGTTCTTGGTTGAATCTAAACTTTTTGTCCAGGACAGCATACATGTGAAAGGTGAACATGGGAGCACCAGACGGGGGTCTCACTGGGCTTCGATCACTGTGGAGGGAAATAAACAGACATTTACATCTCGGCTTTAGCTCCAGGTTTGTGTTCGGACACAATACACGTGAATTTGAGTCTTACCGTGTACTTGTGGATGTTTCTCCTGCCGTCTTAGAGGCTGCCACACTGGACTGTTTCTCACCTCCTTTCTCTCCAGACACGGCTTTGGCATAAGACATTGGTTTAGCATCTTTTTCTGCTTGAGACGCTGCTGCATCACCTGAGACTCCTGCAGCAGGATTCTCATCTTTAGGCTTTGACTCTTCCTCAGCGTTTTGCTTCTTGGCTGACTCGGGCGAAGCTCCATCTTTGTCTGGATTTTCATTTTGCCCTAACGGAGTCTGAACAGTGTTGTCATCTTGCAGCTCTGGTTCAGGTGTGTGTTTGTCTGGTTTCTTTGGAGTCTCTTCTGCATTTTGAGCCTTTCCAACTTTTGCATCGTCTCGTTCCAGCATGGTGAGGTCCGTCTGTGTTTCCTGGCTCCTCTGAAGCACAACTGGAGTCTGTGTGACTTTGTGCGTGCCTTTGTTTTTACTTGTTTGCGTCTGAGCATGAACCGTCTTAGTATATTTCTGCTGTGGTTCACCACTTTTTTCCTCTTGCTGCAGGTTGTCTTCAGCCTGCAGATCCACATGTTGTGTTTCTGAAGCTACACTGGCCTGAGTTTGGCTGCTTGAAGTCTCTTCAATCTCCGTCTTGTCTTTTTCTGTGTCTTCATTTTTGACATTTGCATCTCCTTTTGCATTTGAGAAGAACTTTTTTCTTCTTTGATTTCTCCTCCTCCTCCTGTCTTTGTCTTGACCTCTCCCGCTGGTTTGTCCTGGTCCTTGTTCCTGGAATACACATTAATATAACTTTCACAGTGGCTCAAATACAGCTAAAATGCCAAACTCGAAGCTGGTGTCATTTCTACCTTATTTCTCCACTGTCTTTTGGTGGCAGCATCTTCCACCTCCTTGGTTTTCGCCTGCGATCCGTGGTTTTCTGTTCCCTCCTCCATCTACAGGGACGACCCGCTCAGGGGAGTCGCTGCTCCCTTACATAAAAAAACTACAGTACAGCCTGGGGGAAGGAGTATTCCAACTTGTTAAAAAAAATAAAATCTCAATACCACAGAGTAGAAATACTGTTACAAGTAAAAATCCTGCATTCACATTTTTCCGTACCTAAAAAAACATTGAACACATACCCAAAGTACCAAAAGTAAAAACACTCATTATGATGAATGGCATATTTCAGAATAATATATATTTTACATGGTTTAATTCTAATTTGTAATGCATTACTGTGTTCATCACTGTAACGCTGTAGCTGGTAAAGGTGACAAAGTTTTATCTTTTATCTCTAGTCATAAAACAGGACTTTTTTAACAAAATTACAATATAATGAAACATAAATATTAGTTGGTTATAATATGTATGATTCATCTGAATATGCAAAGTAATCAAAGTTAACAAGTGAATGTAGTGGAGTAGAAAGTACAATAGTTCACTCCAAAATGTGGTGAAGGGGAAGAATAACACAGCAGAAAATGGAAATACTGAAGTGAAGTACGAGGACCTGAACACTGTACAAAGTACTTGAGTAAATGTACTCAGGTTGAGTCTGCTGCAGCACAGTGTGTGTGACTGTAAATAACATAAAAATACAGCACACAACAAAACATGTTGCTTAACATGTGATGCAATGACTTAATCTTTTTAAAATTCTTGTTATTATTATTAATTCATCAGTGACAGTAAAAGTATTCAGATATGCTACTTTAGTGAAAGTACCAGTACAGCAGTATACAAATACTCCATTACAGGCGAAGCTTCTGCACTGAAAATCCTGCTTACATTACAGTAACTATCAGCAAAATGTAGTTAAAACATTAAGGTAGAAGTCTGTCATTACACGTCAGTATTAGATTAATAACAGCATCAGTGTGTCATGTTACTGTTGTAGCTGCTGCAGACTTAAACTGTTTTTTAGATATTAAGTACAGGTACTTTTTTACTTAAGTCCAGTACTTCTGTGAATGTGCTGAGTTAACCTGCAGTGCTGAGAGCAATACTGAATCTGTCTGTTGTATTTTATTCACATGAACAAATGCATTCATCATTTTTATTTACTTAAAAAGCACAGAATCCGCCTTCAAAACCATCAAATACTGTAATTAGCATGTACCTCCACTTCAGGCAATTAACACTTCACATTTTCTAGAAACAAAAGCAAAGATGTGATCTTGTTGTTGCCTGGATGAAATTAATACTACCTCAAACAGGTAACTAAGTACAGTACCTAAAAAAAATAAAATAAAAACCTTTTAATGTGATTGAGTAAATGTATTTAGTTACTTTCCACCACTACAATTAGTTGCTTAGTATTTAAAATGTCAGAAATTGATGAAAAGTGATTTACATCGCTGGTTTTGTCCGAACAAAAACTAAAAATGGATGTATTATTTAATTTACTTTATTTAAAAAGTAGAACAGGGGGAAGAAGAAAATCAATCAGTCTAATGACACGACCAGAAATGACCATAGATCCACTCAGAGAAACAGAGAAGTCACTGTGATGTTAAATATAGCAGGAAAACAATAGAAAACACAACATCAAACCTTACACCGCATGTTTAAGCTAGCTCATTTAAGCTAGTGTTAGCTAATTTAAGCTAGTTTCGTGGTTATTTAGGGATACAGACGCTATAAATAACGTAAAACTAGGGATGCAGATCAGCTCCATTAATGTTTAATAAAGGTAAAAGTGAAGAACTGCATTTAAGACTAAAGATACTTAAAGTTTTTGCTTTTTTTTGCCTACCTTCTTAGTTGTCACCGTCGCACCAACAGCCGAAAAATCTGTCAAACTAATGTTTATCAGACTGCAGATGTAAACGCCTTCAGCAACCGTAAGGGACCGTCCACAAACATCTACACCTCTCTGCAGGCGTTTATCTTATTGTAAATTCCGAGTTATCGATGTAAGCTAAGTGTTTTGGTTATTAAAATATGCCCCAGTGTAATTAAGGTCTATTCAGTTCCATATATCGTCAGTTACTGCGCTGCTTTACAAATTTATCTCTACTGATTTAGTGAGTAATTTCTTGACAGTCCCTAAACCGAAAGGACTCCGTTTCAGTTTCATTTCTGTCAGAATCTCATCAAACAAGAAACTTATGCTGCGTTCAGGTGATCGTCGGTAGTTTTCTCTTTCGCTGCCAGCACAAAGGAAACCCAAAGATCTTTTTTTTTTTTTTTTTGGTTTTAATCTGACATTATCTGTTGTTAATTTAATTTAGATTTATTAATATGCCTGAAAGAAAAACCTATGCTTGTCACAGGCTTGCAAGTGATTTGCAGGGAACATTGAAAATTGACAAGGAATGACAGTGCATGTTGGAAATACACTGTATAGGGTAAACAAAACCATAGTGTGACCATTATGACTAGGATGATTTATAATAATAATAATAATAATAATAATAATAATAATAATAATAATAATAATAATAATAATAATAATAATAGATTCCTCAAAACCAAAATCCTTAAATACCTTTTGGTATTTAATCATCACTAATCAGTCAGACTTTACTTGCATAGCACTTTACCCACACAAATGATTAAGTTAGAAATGCGGAACTCAGCGAAACAGGGACTGAGTAACTGGGGAAACACTTTCATAAATAAATTCCATTAAAACGTTTTTTGTTTGTTTGTTTGTTGTTTTTTTGTGCAAATAGCAAAATAGGACAATTACAGAAAAGTGATATGTGAGAAAACAAATAAAACAGACTAAAATGAACACATAACTAGAAAAATAAACAAGTAAATGTTAATTAAAAGCCAAATTAAAATCCCAGACCTTGCATTTGCTTTTAACAATAGCCACGTTGTTGTTATCATTATCGGGTGTTAAATGGGGTTAAATAGCAGCCTGACGTTAGAAATACTCAAAACCAAGAAGTTTTTATTTTGAAGAAACAGACAAAAACAGGTCACATGAAAAAAAAACACAGAACATGTCAAAAAACAAGTTATTATTCTTATTGCAAAGCTGTTACTGCAACAAACATTCTTACATATGTGAATATTAAAACAGACAGACAACTGATTTCTATACCCTTGTGCAAGTCAGATACCAGCAGGTATTGGAAGCCAAACATCTAAATACAAAAGGCGCATTCTTTTACAAATTTACACAAACGTATTGATTTCTTTAGCTCTGGACTGAACTTCCCTCACTAATCTGTCTATCCAGGCAGAATAATTGTGATGCTGTGGAGCCAAAAAAACCCAAAAAGTAGACCAGTGGCTCTGTTACATTATTTTGATGCCAATATTTTGTGCGTTTAAGGGTCTAACATTTAATTTTTTGGGTTTACTAGCATAAGTTTACATCATTTAATGTTCAAGAATGTTCTTGAATCTCAAAATAACGTTTAATTTGCATCAGTATAATAAAACCAAACCTCTTGAATATAAGAACTAACTATAACTCACAATAAATTGTGCCTTTACATTCCTTATGACAACACACATTAATTTCATTGTTTCATTAATTTTTATTTGTCTTTTATGGGCAGAAACGTGTGCCACTACAAATTTGAATCACATGTTTTGAATTTTTCAACACAAATATTTGCACTTACAAAATGCATTTGAATGTAATGTCAAATTATATTATTATTACTAAAGTCAGGCTTTTAATTCAACTATTCAAGTCGAGTCATTCACATTTAGTTTGCAGTTTTTATCTAATGAGTTTTCTTTTATTTTGCTGCCGTTTGAAACACTTTTTCTATACAAAAAAAAAAGAGAGATTATTTTTGTATTTTTATGTTCTTCCAAAAAAAAAACAACTTTTTCACCTCTTGATATCTGAAGCTGTAAATAATACTAATTTTACAGTCTCTCTTGCTTCACCATGAAGTGCAGAATCATTGTGTGTGCTGAAGTTATAAATGTGCTTTTTGCATTTTTCTTATTAGGCTGCAGTTGTCCTCTAAAATACCTGTGGTGTGTATATCTTAGAAAGAGTTTGAACTCTGCTCACAGTCAAGCAAAATATAAATTTGCCCGAGACATCGACTCCTGATTATTAGCAGACAATAATAAAAACAGCTCCCTGCACAAAACAGAACATTACACTGCTGTATTAGAAAGGCCTTCAGTCCTGGGAGTTTGCAGGTTTCTTGATTCTCCGAACCACCACCCGGCTTCTCCTTCCCTGAGGTCGACCTCCAGCGTCTGGGGCCTCCGCCTCTCCCGGTGGTGGTGGTCCTGGGGGTCGGGGTTGTCCTCGGAGCGGCGCAGGGTTCCTCCCTAACCGCACGTCGTCCACGAAGGCCTCCACGCCGTCAAACTTGGCGGTGAGCTCAGCAAGACGCTCCTTCATGGCGTTGAACTCCTTGTAGAGATCGCCCAGAGCGTCTGACAGAGGCTGGATCCTGAAGGGAGGCAAAGACATTTAAAGTTAGCATCTACGGGGACAATGTGATTTGAGAAAATCAATTTTTTAAAAAAAAGGGTCTTCAAGTTCAGACAAGAAACATTTGGACCATTACACATTGTTTTCTTTGTTCAGCTTGAAATAAAAGGATGGTACTATATGAAAGATGTCAAAAGCATCCCACAGCTAGCCATTAGCATTTCTACACTAGTCACCAACAACCCAACGCTAACTATTTGCATTTGTAGGCTAGTCACTAGCATCTTAAACCGAGCTACTAACATCAACAGGCAGCAAAAAGCACTTATATAATTGCCACTAGCATTTGTACACTAGCGACTAGCACTCATAGGCTACTCACCAGCTGATTTTTATAGCATTTCTAGGTTAGCATCTAGCATCTGAAGGTTAGCCACGAGCATTCCTACACTATTGACTAGCATTTGTAGACAAGTCAGTAACCCTTGGGCTCTAAGGCCTAGGTTGACAATTTAGCTAGTTGCAAGCATCCCAAAGTCAGCCATCAATAGACCAGCCACTTTCACTCACAACTAGCATTCATAGACTTCGCACTAATATCCCTAGGCTAACAATTAGCTTGACAAAGCTACTTTCTAGTATCCCTAGGCTAACTGTTAGCCTTCAGAGGCTAGTCACTGGCACTACTATGCTGAAGACTAGCATTCTAAGCTAGCCACTAGCCTACCCAGGCCAGCCACTTGTTTTTCTACTCTAGTGACTAGCATTCATAGACTAGTCATTAGCATCCAGAAGCTAGACACAAGCATACTGAGGCTGATCATTAGCATCCCTAGCCTAAAAACTAGCATTCCTAGATCGTGTGGCCAAGGGTCCATTTACTTTTGAATCACGGCAATTTGCACACTGTTATTAAAATAGTATTAAAATAATGAAATAATAATGAAATAATAATGACGAGCATTCCTCAGCTAGAAATATTTAGTTGGTGAGAGTCCATTTACTTTTGAATGTTTGTACATTATTTTTCAAAAGGATTTTATCTATAAACTCGATATAAAATATGTCCCAAACATTCCTCTGTATATCTATGTAAACCTGCTCAAATTGAAACTGAGACTTGGCATTAAATCAAAGTATTCTTTATTTAATTACAAACTGACTGTGCTGAAGCTACGAGCGTGAAGAACAAAACGTGTAACTGTCCAAACACTTCTGCTCTGGACCCTGAGTGACTGTAAAACCGTCAGACTGAAGACGCGTCCTGACCGTCCGTAGTCGGGCAGCACTGTGTTGTGGTCGTGCAGCAGCAGATCTTTGACCTGCGTCATGATGGCGTACTTCCAGTTGTCTAAAACCAGCGTGAGGTTGGCACATCCTCTGGTGTTCACTCTCTCTGCTGCAGGTCAACAAATCAGACAGAAAGCACACTTCATTCACTCTTTGGCTGTTCGGCTTATTGCACAAACATCATTCACACTAAAGACAGACACTAAATGATCTTCAGTGGTGGAACAAGCCCCGTATGGTTCCATATTCTGGAACGAAAGTAAACCTGAGAAATTGACCAAAAAGAAAAGAGAGACGCAAGGAACTAGAAAAGGAAGAGATACTCAGGTTTCTTACTAAAGTAAAACTGCTCATACTACACGGTGAATATACAAAGTCTTGCGCTGAGAAGTGAAAACATATCAATTTAATTGAGCATCGAAGCATGAAAGCATCAAAATCAAAAGAACTCAAAGCAGACAAAAATGTCAGCGACTGAAACATCGTATAATTTATTTTACAGTATATTATATTAGTATTTACACAGGACAGCAGGTTTTGATTGTTTGGTTTGTAAATATTTAGACAGTGACAATATCATTAGAAGTTAATAAACCAGCAGCAAAACCCTCCAAATTACAACAATTACTTAAAACTACTTCATAAAAGTAAAATTGAAGCCAGTAAATTGTCACGTTTGAAAAACTGGATTCATGTAATGTTGAAGTTTATTGCAAACAAAATAACACGATTATGAAAATAGTGTCAGTTGTCAAGTACTTTATCATATTTTGTATTTAAAATTTTTCAAAACAACTGAAGCTCTTAAATAATTCTAGTGCAGTAAAACTTACGATATTTCTCAGAAGTATAAAGAGGTATGACAGTAAACAGCCAAGAAAAGTCCCTCAAAACTGTACTTTAATAAAGCAAGAAAACAATCAAAGAAACATGAAGACAAAGGAGAAGAAGGATACAAACAAAAAAGATATTTACAGACTTAGTTCATGTTAAAATGCAAAATCAGCAATCAGTAACTCCAGCCATCAGATTTGAGGATTTCTATATGAAGACTATAAAACAACAAATGTAAAATATAAGTTTCCACATATGATTTACTGAAATAATGTCTTTTAACTGCAATTTAAATACATGTAATTTACTTCAAGTGCAGTTAAAAGACAGTATTTCATTTCTAAATTGTGCATTTTGTGCATTTAGAAATATGCAACCTGCAGCAAATGCTCTCCTCTCAGAAGTTTACTGACTGAGAAGGAGAAATATTGACATAATGAAGCATCCTGTGTGGGCTTTTCTTACCTTCATTCTTGTTGTCCCACTCTGCTCTCTGGCTTGTTTTCTGTTTCTTAGCAGCGCAAAAAGTGGCACACAAGACGAGCAGAACTCCGGCGGTCCTCATCCTGACAACAAACACACAAAAACACATTTTCCTTCAGAGTGTGAAACCGTCAACGTAAGAAAGTAATTGAAGCGTGGGAAACGAACCTGCAGTGAGAGTCAGAGGTGGAACAAACACCCGTGGACGGAGCTCACACTTGCTTTAAATCTGAAACAAAGGGAGGGTCTTTGGTGTCCACTCCCATCACACTGAGCATCGGATGTCAGGATTTCACTGCAGATTCAAACCTGCTGAAACTTTTCCCTCGAGTCCAGTTTGACAACAAGTAAAGGGCTTTAATGTTGTTCCAGCTGACATTTCAAAACCACCACTCAGTTCAGCAGAGAGCGTTCATGTCCCTGATCCAAACTTAGGGTTGAAGGGGGGAAGATAAACTGATCTGCTCCGAGTAGGGTTTCATTTTTGTTTTGTACAACTTTATAGCGGGGAAAAAAAAGGAAAGGATCACCATGCAGAGGTTTGTAGTATCATAGTGGCGTCAGATCTCAACGTCCTGAAAACCTGCTGGCAGAGTTGAAATGCATGTTTTCTTCAAAAAATAATATAAAAACTTATCAAAGCGACAGCATTTATCAGAGTGAGAAACTGAAAAAACAGTACAAATCCCCAAAACTAAACTATCCAAGCATGACCAACAATTCCTTCAGGAAAATTAACCAAACCTCAGCTTGAAATGGTGATATTTCATCAAAATCACTTCATCATATCTATCAGGAGCTGCATGGTGGATCAGTGGTTAGCACCGTTGCCTCGCAGCAAGAAGGTCGCCGGTTCATGTCCCGGTGAGGACACCCAGGATCTTTCTGCGTGGAGTCTCCATGTTCTCCCCGTGCAGCGTGGGTTCTCTCCGGGTTCTCCGGCTTCCTCCCACAGTCCAGAAACATGCTGAGGTTAATTGGTGATTGTAAATTGTCTGTAGGTGTGAATGTGAGTGTGCTTGGTTGTCTGTCTCTAAGTGTAGCCCTGTGATAGACTGGTTACCTGTCCAGGTGAACCTGCCTTCACCCTGAGTCAGCTGGGATAGACTCCAGTCCCCCATGACCCTAGTGAGGAGTGATGGATGGATGGATGGATGGATATTCTATCACGCAGGCTGAACTGTCAATTCAGCATCGGAAGTTTGCAAAAGAACATCTGAACTCACCTGATGCACTTTGGAAACGAACCCTGTGGAGTCGTGATGTGAAATAATAGTTTCTGAGCTACAGAAAGCAAAGTTTGGAGAAAAAAGGGGCAGAATTTCATGACAATATCAAAGTGCGGCTTCTACAACGGAAACATGATCCTAAACACACCTTAAAATCACAACAGATGACTGCAAGAGGCTGATTTTGACTTAAACATCACTGAAGATCTGTGGATGGACCTCCGAAGAGCAGAGAAGTTCTCCGAGAACCTCAGAGAACCGAAGGTGTGAAAGACTGTCAGCTGCTACAAAAGGTGTTTCCAAGCTGTGATTCTGCAGAAGGGCTGCTGATAAATACGAAGCCTGCAGTGAGCGCAAAATTTAGCTCCAGACTCCTTTCTTTAATATTGTTAGTTTGAAAGTAAAAGATAAAAAGTAATCTTGCTTAAAATAGTAAAGAAACGTGTCACCTTTAACTTCATACCTTTTGGAAACTTGACAGTACTGGATATTAGAATCAGGGGCGTCCAGCCTTTGTACATGACGAGTACATGCAGCAGGATGAGTTCAGTCCTCGGGGAGCGTCGGCGTTTGATGTTTTAAGGTCAGGTCCAACTTAAACATTCCTGCTCTTCATCTGCTGCCCATGTGCGGTCCTGAGGAGAGCAGGCCGGACCGATTAGGGTCAAATCCTCCCTATTTAAAATGAATCTGATCGTAAATGCCACCTTAAATAACAGACGTTTACTGTGGTTTAAATGTTTGTTGAAGTCTTTAATCATGTGGAAACGTGAAAGAGGATGACAACCGGGTCTAGAAAGACTTATTTCCACTTCTCAAGGACTTGTAAGACTCTAATCTAAATAATTACTGACATGCCCATAAGTATGTGGACACCTACTACACATTACTGTTGAATATGTGACTTTAAACTTGTGGAGATTAATCTGCCACTGCAACCACTGGTCTGGTTTAAACGCTTTCAACTCCCAATCAGACACAACTGAGGCGCTCCAGTTTGTGCCAGTAAAGTTCTTCCACAACAACAAAAAAAAAGCCACACAAAACAAACACACCTTGTCCATAACGTGACATTTGTGACCTTTGATTGTGTAATTATTTGTTTACTCTTCAGAGGAGTTGATTATTCTTTGATATAACTTTTCAAAATAAGTCACAAATCAGCAGAGACCCAACACTCTGTAAGAATGTTTACACTAAATGCTAAAATCAGCATGCTAACAAGCACGTATAAGGTCTACGGTGGTCGCTAACATTTGCTAATTAGCATAAATACGAGTAAAGCTGATGGGAGTGTCGTTAGTTTTGCGAATGTTTGATTTGAATTAAAATTCTGACCTGATGGTTCCACCAGAACAAATTTACAACAATGGAATAAAATAAAGTAAAAAACAAAAAACAAAAATGTATATAAATAACTAAAATTAAGACAACGCTTGCTCACAGGAAATGTTTGGGTTTGTTGGATTTTCACATATATTTTTGTAGGGTCATAGCTTTAGTTCAAAATTAGCCAGGTTAATGTATACAGGGGCTGCAGGGTGGTGCAGGTGGTTAGCACTGTTGCCTCGCAGC